GGTGCATCACTTCAGACGATCCTTATCACCACGGCTGTGAAGACGAAAATTCCATGCCGGGAATTTTGGAGCTTTCAAACAAAAGATGTGCTCACGCATCCACTCACGACTGCCCCTTCCTGGCAGACTCCAACTCAACCTTGTGCACCGCATGCGCCGTTGCACAAGCCAGGGGGCAGCCCTGCGCATAGGGTCGAGCCACGTCGAAGTCAGATGCCGCGCAGTAAGACCTGTCACGTCGGTCAAGACTATGCGCTGCAGGTGAGCTGTGCAGCATACCGCGTCGCACGCACCTGAAGAGCTGGGAGGAAGCCAGCGAGCATCAGCAGGCAGGTGGCTTGGCAAATGCGCGGGCAAGACCTTGAGCTCTGAAAGAAACGCTTGGAGACGGTTCATGTCTGACTGTCACTTTGCGGCCTCAGCGTGAATGAGTGACAATATATGACGGGTCAGCTTTGATGCGGCAAAGAATAAATCCGTTTTCTTATGGAGCTATGTTTGCCTCGTCACAGCCGCGTCGGCAAAGAAGCTTTGAGGGTAGGGCCAAGAACAAGCACCAAGGGAAGAATCTAGCCCGGAAGTTGTTTGAGACTGGATAGCCTTGGGGTGTTTCATGTTGTGCTACACGGTCACTCCAGCAGAGGATTGTACAGCACTCCATCAACTCTGGTCATGATAAGCAAGAGTATCAACGACATGGGGTCGAAGGAGGAAATGCAGGATATGATTGATGGTGGAATTTAGAAATGACGCAATACTTATTGTTACATTGGCGTTGAGAAGATTGGGTTCGTTCTTAGACAAGGATACCTAGCATTTCCTTAGAAGTAATTCAGCGAAAGATGTTTTGCGAGCTTGTTCACTGGTCAAGCGTTGTATGCGCATGACTCGAAAGCCGGCTGGTACCAAACCAGGCAAGAGTCCGGCGACAGCCAGTCAAGAGCGCCGACTGTAGGAGAAGAAGTGGAGGGAGGCATTGACGTGCCCGCCCTGTGGGATGAGAACCAGGGGGGGGGGATACTTTGTCGGACGCCTGGCAGACTTGGCAGCGGGCTCGGAGAATAACATGCTGGTTTTATCGCAGGAATGACTATTGCGAGGTTCATCTCGCTAGGCGCTTCTGAATGTTAAGAAGCGGCAACGGAAATACGAGCGACGCGACTTACAGCCACAAGGCTTGCGGCTTTCCCTCGGATTTCAGGTACGGACTGAGGCCCATCGCGTGAAGCTCAACTCAAGAAATATGCATGACGATGGAGCGCGCGCTGATACACGCCCGTCCACCAAAAGAGGGAGAGGGAGGAGGCAACGTCGCACGTCGCACTTCATCGTGAAGAAAAAAAAAATGAACTGCATCTACAAGATGATGAGGGGGATTGCGGGTATTTCCTCGTCCTGTTATGTATTGGTCTCGCCATTTAGACCCCTGTCTTTTTGTTTCTTAAAAGAAAGGAACTCCACTACCCGCTGGTTCCCGGGTTTTTAGTTAGGGACGGGGAAAAAAAACGTCTTTCTTTTTCGACGTCTCACAGGTCGGCGACGCCTGAAGACATCGCATGGTACGACAAGAAGGGTCTCAAGCTTGGCATGGACGATGGACGGCAGATATTCCGTGGAAACACTGAATAAAAAAAAAAGGGACAAAGAGAAGGACAGAGAGACGGATACCATGTAACTGCAAGGAGGCAGGGCGGGGGTATTCAACGGGAGAGACATCGTGAAGGTAACTGCAACGAGCACACGAGTAATGAATGGAAGCGGTCGTTGCAACGGGGTCGTACGACAAGCTCCTCTTCCCCTGGCCTCGATATCCGTGCCCATCTAGTTGCGCAGCCTGACGAGATGGCTAGCTGCTTGTTGGCTTGAGAGAGGGGAGGGGGGGAAGGAGGCTGCCCGGCTCCGCGCTGTTATTAGCAGTTTTTTAAAGTTCCGTCCTGCATTGCCCAAAGGTAGTATCGGGAGGAAGTGACGACATGTTGTCATCGGCTGTCCGCACGTGTGCGAGTTCCGTAACAAATTGTGGTGGTTTGACTGGGCGAGAACGTGGTGTAGTTATTATCAAGTTGATGTCGGAAACGCGCCCTTGGCTGCCCCTTGGCGTGTGGACCATTGGCCAATTAACTAGTTATACACTATACAGGGTATGCCGGCTGTTCAAATTGCCGTTGTGTTGAAGATCCAAGCCCCCTTGTATACCGGACCCCAGGAGGGACAGTCTTGTCCGGACGTCGGCTGTCAACGTGACGTTTCCGACGGAATCCTCGATGGTGCTCACCGTGTTGACAATACATAAATTAATTAACTGGCCATCCAAACGTATTAAATTGAATAGCCGTATTGCCGGCTACCCTACCTATATTCAGCTTGATATCCCCCCTCCCCACAACGGCTGGCAGTAGTTAGTCCCAGTCTACGTACATAGCTTCATCTCCCCCAGGGCCGGCAACTTCGGAGAAGCTCCCAACGAGGGTGTTAGTCACAAGAACTGGCGTTTCGATACCTGCTAGCTATCTAGTTAGTGTTGAATCTTTTTTTCTTTTCTTTCTTCCTTCTTTGGCTTCGTCTGTGCAGTAGTCGCGCAAAATGACGCCTCATTTGGAAGTACACCAAGAAGAGCCTCGAAAAAAAAAAAAAAAAAAAAGCAGAAAACAATTAATAAGAGCCGACCCGGGCGCAAGGGATAGCGGGGAGAGAGTCGACGCACGGCCGAAGGAAAAATGCTTGTTCGCTCGGCAGACGCCGGTGCCGCGGCTGTTGTCTGTTGTCAGCGTTGAGACATCGGCCGAGACGGGACGAAGGAAGAGGCACGGACGGACGGAACCTGGCCTAGTTGACAGGGTCCGTACGGTACTTGAAAAGAGGACCACGCATGTATGTACGTGCCACTGTCCCAAGTTCCAGGGAGGTGGGAGTTGGCTGATAACTACTACCTTCGCGCCCCGGGGTTGATGGACTCGATGACACCCTCCGCTCGGGAGGTGGGGGAGGATTCGCAGAAGATACAGGGCCAATCTTGACATGGTCAAGTCAGTTGACATGCGTAACAAGCACATGTATGATTCATTGGCGTCTAATTTCCTTTTTCTGTCTTTTGTTTTCTTTTTTCACTTCCTCGTCGACGACAAGGCTGAATAGGTGTGCCCCTACCAACAACAAATACCAAGCAAGGGTCCGTGTCAACAGCAACTGGTTCGCCACAAACGTAAGATGATTTCCAACACGGAATGATTACTCCCATGACGACTCCGTGCCGTGGCACCATCGTGCTTTCTCTTTTGCCCCTGTTTTTTTCCCTGTGTATTATGTGCGCTTTGTTGCTCTCACTGTTCATACCATGACAGCTTGTACGGCCTGGCCGCGACAATGTCTCGTTTTTTTTTTTTTTGGAGAACTCTTTTTGCTGTGTAACTAATGCGGCGAGCCGTAAAAGCGGGCGATCTTTTTCCATCCCTTGTCTTGCCGGGCTCGGCAAGTCCTGGCCGAGGGGACCGTGCAGGGCTTGCCAACAAGGTGCGTTGGTCTGTTGGGAGGAGAACGGACGCTCGGGGCTTCTTGCGGGTTGGTAAATGAATTACAAGGGCGTACTACAGCAAACATGACCAAACGAGCGCACGAAGGTGACTCCAAAAGGTGCCCGGCTCGTGTTGTCGCGAAGTCGTCGGGCACGCGACACTAGAGCTTTCTCTATACCAACGATAACGCATGGAGCGAGCCAAGATGGGACGAATCGCCAAGTATTGGAGGTCCGTTTGGTAGTACCCCGGCAGTCGTGCGCTTGTAAGAAGTGCAAAAGACATTTATCATGTGAATGCCGATACTTGGTGCATACGTACATGCCATTTAGCCTATCTGCCACACCTGCCGACGAGTACTCCTCGCTTAAGAGCCCAGGGTGCCATTGCCACCCTGCCCAACTAACAGCACTAGAGAGAGACGATCTCTGTCTCGGTATTGTCGCTTAACCAATTACAGTGGGTATATGCTCATAATTCCTCACCTCCCGGTATTTACCTGGCTTCGCCCGAAGAACTTCGCAGGACGGAGTAGTGTTTGTGCAATGCTATCAAGTGCATGCGTGGCAACTCGTGACCTTGTCCTTCCCGTGCCAGATAGAGTGTGCAATACACCAACCGTCACCCACACTCTCCCTAGAGAGGGGCCTACTTGGTACGATCGAACGAGCTCATCTGCTTAATTAATATCGAGCTGCATGCCGAACGGGAGGGTGGGCGGATTGGCGCGGCCGGCGCGGGGCGATCTATGCCCGGCGGGCAGCTGTCTGGCATCGGTCCACGATTTTCAGCTTGACAGGATTATTTTGACGTCGCCCTTCTTTCGTTGATTTTCCGGCAATGCTATTCTCGGCAAGGGCCTCGTAAAATGAAAGAGGCCGGTCTGGATGCTGCAAGTGAGCGCCGCCAAGGCTGGGCGTGGACGGCACGGCACGGCATACAACAAATAGGCTCAAACGGGCCAGACCGCTCTGCAGTGTACATCCGGCAGGCAAGAAGCGGAATTGTAGCTATAGACATACATAAAGGTAAAGGGTGGTGGTTTAATCTGTGAGAGTTCATCAATTCTTGGTTTCTCGCCCGTGGGTGGGTATTTGACAATCAGTCCAGGAAGCACGACACGGCACGGGAAGCATGGAGAGTTAGGTAGTTCAGTAATGAGTCATAAATTGTATTCGTTTATTCAAATATCCGTCCAGTCCAAGTGAAAGTGGTATCAAATCTTTATAGTAAAGGATTCAGGACGTTTCGCTGCTTTCGCAGGGTGGACCTGAATTGTGGTGTCCCGTCTAGCAACAGCAAGAAGAGGAAGAAAAATCACACCTATTTCGCCATATCGTAAAAGAATGTATAGACAAAAATGGTCTCCAAACATCCATCCCCGTAGAATTTGTAGCGTATCATAAAGGAGCGTAGCACCTTAACCTCATGCTGAGTCCAGCCCAGAGGTTAGGCGCATGGGTGCGCAAGCGGGCCCGGCGACGGCATTTAGAGAGCCAAGGCGACGGCGGCGACGGCGACAACAGCCATGGCGCCGGACTCAAGACGGGCAGCAGCGCCGGTCGGCACGGTAGGCACCGTGGGGACGACGCCGGTACCGGTAGGGTAGACGGCGGTGGAGTTGCCGGCGGGCACGGTAGGGACCACGACGGGCACGGTAGGGACCACGGCGGCATTGCTGGTGCTGGTGCTGGTGCTGGTCTGGCTCAGAGGGCAGTCCGTGTAGGTAGAATGGCACTGGGTGACGGTGACAATCTGCTTGGTGGTAGAGGTGACGACCTGGGTGGCGGTCGTGTCCTGCGCGACGGCGAGGGTAGCGAAGAGGGCGAGGGGAGTAGCGAAGCGCATCTTGAAGGCGGATGAAGCGAGTGGTAGAGAGTGTGGGTTTATGTTGAGACGACGAAGAGTGTCTGGAGAGAGCGAGTGCAGACTTGATGTTTGGTAGAGAATGAAACCGGTGTTGTCGGTGAGCAAGGCAGCTTCTTTAAAGACGGTGGTTGAGAGAGAGAGAGAGAATGCGGGTTGTAGAAGGAAAGATCTGGATGAGGGCGGGGGAATCGGGAGCTGAAAAAGGAACGGATGGGATGGGCCTGGATACAGGAAGAAGAGTGAGCGACAATGAACAAGTGAGTTGGTGTGAAGAAAATTTCCTCATGTAATGCGCGATTTCAATAAATAAGAGTCAGTCAGGTACCCGAGCCGCGAGGCCAACCATGACAGCGCACTGTGCAGGGCCACCAGGCACAAAACGGCAAACGGGCAACGGGCAAACGGGGCGAGACAAGGAAAAAAGACGGAAAAAGAATTCAAGCACAGATAATAAATCCACACACACTTGCTCGTCTCGTCCAGTCAGATGCACGCGCCGGCCAGATTTAAACTGGTTCCATCTGCACATCGCGGACAAGACGGGCACAGCTGGTTTCTGCATCTGGCCGGCGGGCAAAAATGAATGGAGCAGAACAAACGGACGAAAAAAAGGTACGCGAGGGTCTGGACCAGAGAAGGGTGGGCCGCGCGAGGCCGCTGATTGGGCAGATGCTGGGTCTGCCAACCCTCACAAGAGGTGATGCTAGTCAGGCACCAAAAAAGCCCGTCTGGCTGTCCGAGAACCGGGCTGCCTAATCGAGAGGGGATGCGTGCGTGGATTTGCTTGTATTGCTTTGTACCGACAGCTCTGATTTCAATGTGCACAACATACCAGCAAATACGCATGAAAAGGTGCAAAGATGCAACAGTTAACTAAGCTCGCGGGGTCTAACAAGCAATGTTCCGATTTCCGTGCCGCCTGGAGTGAAAAGGCTCAGGCGCTTAGAAAGTGCTGTATGTACTTCCACGGAGGTTCTGTCTGGTACAGCATCACCAAAAACTGGTACCGACTCGTAATCAAAGAGATACAATGAAAACTGAGATAAGCCGAACCCCAACAATAGAAAGTTTCGAGAACAAACCCATTCATGAATAAACTTTACTCACGTAGATCATTGCCACCTGGGCACCAGGTACCTGTTGTACTGTTTATAAAATAGACTTTCACACGGTATACTCGGACCCTCTACCAAGTCACATAGCCGCTACTGGTACACTTTTCCTCTCTCCACTGTGCCTTTCTTCCCCCATATTAAGCTTCAACCGAGTCAGACTTCTCCCATCACCGCCTTCACACAACGACTCGGGCCTGCCATTTTAGTCAACTTACGAATCATTCTTCGAAAATTCTACCAGTCTTGACTTGCAACCTCAAGTCTCCTCTGTTTAAACCTCGGCACGCTCAAACGTCTTGGCTCCTCGGCTTGATCCACGCCAGCCCCCAAAGCAAACGGCCTACCTAACTATACCCGCCTAACCGTTTGAGCAACGTGCAGAGCTACTAGCCATGTCTGCAGGAACTCTTATCCAGCATCGCTGCTCTCCAGGACCAGATTCCTTCAAGCCGTAAATCAGTAAATTCGCCCAGGTTGCCTTGAAAATGTTGCATCAACCTTCTCCTCTGCTGCCGACTATGACGTTACCCCAAGTCCTCAAACGCTCCCGCGGAAGGGAGGGGCTTAGTTTCAACCCCACCCCCGCAGCTTGGGCGCCGCCAAAGCTACCCCTTTCTATCCAACAAGCTTCAACTTCAAACGGGCGCAAGCCATCTGTCCGCCTCATATCGACCGCCGAATAGACTCCAAATTTCTCTGCCTTCAGAGCCATCATCAATTCATCACTAGACCAACTGCCGAGCGCGCGCCCACCATCAGCCGATTCGATCCAACCGAGAGAGAGCTCAACCATCGTCGCCCATCATGTCAACGCTTGCTTTTGAACAAGATCCGGCTCTGTATATATTCACCTCTCTGACGGCGGGATCGTCGCATATCGTCACGGCCACGTCACGCCTGGAAACCATTTTGCGCGCCAATCGAGTGCCTTTCAAGGCAGTGGACATTGCGACGGACGAAAACGCCAAGAGGCTATGGGCACGCAGGGCGGGCAAAGCTGAAGGTGGTCGTATAAGAAAGCTGCCTGGCCTCTTTCAAGAAGGCTTCATAGTAGGGGTATGTCTTGAGCATGATTTTCAAACTGCATCCGTCCCTTTCATGAAGCCCCGACGCAGTCCATCAACACAATGTACTAACGGGAGTTGACATCAGGATCTTGTCGAGATCGAGGAGTGGAACGAGTATGGCGAGCTGAAGCAGCATGTCAAGATTCACTATGACGAGCACACGATACCAAATATCCACAACAAGCACCCCGCGCCGAAGCTGAAACGCACCGTCAAGAAAACGACGGGCACAACCAAGGCCGCCACGGCGATTTCTGGCGTCGTTGCAGCCGGTGCGGCCGCCGCAGCGGCGGCATCTCAGAAATCACCCAGCGAGAAGGCAGCGAGCAAAGCGGAGACAAAGGAGCTGCCAGTGCGGTCTCTCGCTGATAAAGCGGCGGCCAAGGCGAAGGAACTCAAGTCTAAGAGCCTGAGGGAAAAGGTGCACGGCGCAGAAAAGAAAGATGCTGCCAGTGGTGATGGCGCTGCCGAGTCAAAGACCAGTAGCAAGGAAGATAACGAGAAACAGGCTGAGAAAGACGCCAAGGACGCTGCAGATGTGAAAATGGACAGCTCAAATGTCGAGCAAAAGAAGGATGCTGACGGCAACAAAGAAGTTACCAGAACAGGGGAAGCTGGGAAGAGTGTTGCGGACAATCAAAAGGGCAGCGAGCGAAAGCCATCTGCAAGCGGGAAAGCCGAAGAAGATGACAGCGACGAAGACGACGACGACAGCGAAGAAGAGGAAGTGGACGACAAGAAGGGAGAAAAGACAAAATCAGAGTCCAAGGCCTCTGTGCCAGCTGCTGCCGCAGCTACCATTGCCGCGGTATCATCTGTTGCTGCTGCTGCCGTCGCCGCCGTCACGCCATCGTCTCCCAAGCCGGCCAAGGAGGACGCGACGAGACCAAAGACGCCCTCCAAGGCCGCCAGCCCCCGGTCGCCCGCTGCGCAGAGCAAGGCTGCCAGTGCTGGCCTGCAGTCCCCCACAAGCACGACATGGAAGAGCGCCGGCCACGAGTCCCTCGCTGCGTCGGTGCAGAGCCCCACCAGCAGCAAGTGGCGCCAGGCGCCCGCTGCTTCGGAAGACGACGATTCCGATGATGAGGAGGACAGCGATGAGGAGGAGGACAGCGAAGACGAGAAGCCCAAGGCTCCTCCTGTGAAGAAGGAGGGGGCGCCGCCAGCAGCAGCGAAGAAGACGGGGGATGATGACGAGGATGACAGCAGTGAGGAGGAAAGTGAGGAGGAGGAGGAGGAAGAGGAAGAAGAGAAGAAGAAGCCAGTGGCAAGGGCTGCGTCAGCAGCAAAGTCAACCCCGACGACAGCGGCCAAGCCGGCCGCCAAGCCAACAAGTGACGAGGAGGAGGACGAGGAGGATTCTGAGTCTGACGAGCCTGCGGCGAAAAAGTAGACAACCACGGGCTATTGGGAAAGAGGCTCGAGGCGGATTCATCATTTACAAGACTACAATAAATCATAGCCAAGCAATTGCATTTTCAGACCCAAACTGTCACGCCAGCATTTGGACTCGAACGTGCACATCAAACCAAAAGAGTCTCTCATTTTGTATAAAAGTACATGACTACGGCACACATCATCTTCCCTCCTCCAACAAATGTAGTTTTGCAAAGAAACCCCCGGTATTCAACGCTTCCATCCCAATGCAAGAGAACCTCGGCTAATACAAATCATCGTCGTCACTCGCCGTGCCATCCTGGAATCCCGCCACCGCCTTGCCCTTGCCCTTGCTCACCACCCTACCATTCAACCCACCACCGGTGCCATTCTCCACCACCGCCCTGCCCTTGCCCTTGTTGAGCGACCCCGCCGTCCCCGGACGGCTCCCCCCCCCGGACGCCGGCCTCTGCCCCTGCTGCCGGCCACCCTCGAACATGGCGCGCACCTTTTCGTAGTGGGCCAGCTCGCCGGCCGACACGCTGGGGATGAGCTCGTCGTGGGCGTCCAGGAAGTCGCGCTCCGTGACGGTGACGGCGACGTCCTCGGGCGTGGCCAGGTGGTCGAAGAAGTACGCCGTGGAGATTGGGTGCTTGCGGGCGGGGTCGGCGTTGACGGCGCGCACCTTGGCGTCGACGGCAGAGGCGGCGCGCGTGACGGCCTTGAGCATGGCGTCGCTGCAGAGAGCGTAAAAGTCGGCGCCGGTGTAGGTGAAGGGGAGCTGCTGCGCGACGGTGGCGAGCGAGACGGACGGGTGCAAGGTGAATCTAGGGTGCGTGCGGGTTAGTACCTGAAAATGGAGGGAGGGGGTAAAGATGGGTCGACTTACTTTCTGGTGAGGGCCTCGAGAATGGTCCGCTGCTTGTCGTGCGTGTCGGACACGCCGAGGTACAGCATCTTGTCGAAGCGGCCGGGACGCAGGAGCGCCTGGTCCAGCAGGTCCGGGCGGTTCGTGGCGCCGATCACGAACACCCCACCCGAGTCGTCGCCGCCGCCGGACATGCCGTCCAGCTCTGCGAGCAGCTGCGAGACGATGCGGTCCATGACGCCGCCGCTGTCGCCCTGGTTGCCGCGCTTGGGGGCGACCGAGTCGAGCTCGTCGAAGAAGACGACGCAGGGGCGGGCGTCGCGCGCGCGCTGAAACACGCGGCGCACGTTGGCCTCGGACTCGCCAATGTACATGTTGAGCAGCTCGGGCCCCTTGACGGAGAAGAAGTTGAGGCTGTACTCGGTGGCGATGGCCTTGGCCAGCAGCGTCTTGCCCGTGCCGGGCGGGCCGTAGAAGAGGATGCCGGACCGCTTCTTCATGCCGCGCGCGAACAGCTCCGGCCGCTCCAGCGGCAGCTGGATCGTCTCCGTGATGGCGTCCTTGACGTTGCCCAGGCCGCCGACGTCGTCCCACGTCACGTTGGGGATCTTGGGCGCGCCGATCGCGTCGGAGAAGTTCTTGCGCGCGGCTTCCACGGCGGCGTCAAAGTCGGCGCCCGTCAGCGAGCGCGCCAGCGGGCCGCCCGCGACCTGCACGTCCCGCACCGTGACGGGCAGGCCGGTGCCGCTCGTCTTGGTCGAGAGCGCTTCCAGGCGCGCACGCTGGGCGAGGGAGGCGCGCTCCACGACGTCGACAAGGTCGCCGGCAACGAGCGCGGCCGTCTTGAGCGCGATCGAATTTAGGTCGATACCGGGATCCAGGGTGATGCCGCGGTCGCAAATCACGCCACGCAGAATGGCTTCACGTTCCGCTTCATCGGGCGCACCCATTTCGAGCTCGTGGGTGAAGAGAGCCCGCACACCATCTGGGACGTCGTCGATCTTGTTCGTGGTGGCAATGAGAACGCGTGTGTCGTCAAGAATCTCCTTCAAGGTTGCCTCAATACGATCTGCAGTGAGCGCTTCAATGTGGCGGATGAGTAGGGCGCAGCAGTCCGCACCGCAACTGGCAGCGCGCTCGGCGCGGGTTCGCAGGAAGCCTTCCGTCTTGACGTCACCGCCACTCCCACCCCCTTCGTTGAGAATATCGTAGGCGTCGATCTCGTAGGCGTGGAGGCCGATATCTGAGCACGATGTCGTAGCCAGTGTCGTTTTGCCAATATTGCGGTGTGTAGATGTGAGCAGAATAGCCACTGGCGGCATCTTAAGGTGGATTGCACGCTTGCTGGTGGCTGCCACCAGCAATTCCCGTAGTTGTCTGCGGAGAGGTGAAATGTGTTCGTTTTGGGTGACGAATAGAGAAGGCGGTGCCGCGGAATCACTTTCTGACTTGGCGGCCTTTCGAAGACCGAGATAATACGGCCAGGTGCTGTGGCTGGTGCCAGGGATCCGGCTCGTCACGAATCCCGAGCCGTGCATGGCTACGGTCGAGCTATCAATGCACGCTACAGAGCCCCAGAAACCTTCAGCAGTTCCGTCCTCGTCTTCGTCGGATTTTTGAATCTGAATGTGGCCAACCTTGAACCATGCGACACCATCGTAGTGGGAGTCATCGGCTTGGCCACTACCACTGAGTGCCATGACATCGTCTACCTCAGAGCCACCTGCGCCAACAGCTTCTTGCAAGGCGCGACCGAGTTGAGAGTCGACAGACACGGCTATCAAGTCACCAGAACGCACCAGTCGCAGCTTGTCGGCAAAGTAGTGCTTCAGCCCACCAAGGACAGCCGTCTGGTAGGCTCGCTCAGCAGACACTGGAGTTCGTACATGTTGGATGGTAATGTCACGCGCATAAGGCGGATGCGCTGCGCTGGCAAATCGTGGATTCGTTCCCTTGCCTTGGTAGGATGACTTCTTCAGGGCCGAGATCCGCAAATGGGTGGCGTTTTCGAGGTTGGCGAGTAGGACGGGCGATGCGTACGCTGCAGGGCTAGTAGGGCGCTGCACCTGAGATTCGAAGAAGGACATACGTCGCTCACTGCCACGCGAGCCGGCTATCCTACTGACAGTACGTGGCGCCGAGTAGCCCTCAGGAAGTCCGAATACTCGGACTGGACGCCAGATACCCGTCTCCGAGTCGTTGTTCCCAAAACTGCCCAGCCCAAACGCGCCAAAGCCGTTGGTTGGTGGTTCCTCGGCAACCTCGATGCGAGCCCAGTCACCAGAAAAGCATCCAATTTTGGATAGCGATGACATGTCGACATATATTCTGGCCTCCTCATCGTCCTGGGCGGCTGGTTTGGGGTGTAAGATTTCGGAAGGGATCGGTCGCTGCAGTCCGTATGCCTTGAACAGACGGCCGCGGGGTCGGTCGGCTCGTGCCGTCGTAGCAGTAAAGTTGGAAAATACAGAGCCCGGAGTCTGCATGCCGCTCGTCTTGCGGCCGCGGAGGGTGGCGACAGTCATGGGAGTGCCAGGGCCCATAGTGCCGGGCCCATTGATGTTTGTCGCGTGCAGCTCGGGAGCTTCGAGGGATATCATGTCATCCATGGAGTCGTCGGAGAGCTCATCTTCCTGCTCGGCGCCGGAGAAGTCGGTCTCTGTCTCCGTCGCGGTTTCGGTTTCAGTCTCATCCGGGCGCGCATCAGTCTTGTAACGCTCTTCCGCGGCAGAGAAGAATTGGTCGGCGCTGGTGTCCTCCCCATGATCGACATTGCCATTCAGCTGGCTCAAGGATGAGCTGCTGCGTTCTTGTCTACGGTGAACTCTCCCGCGCATGAGCACAATCTTGGTGTTTGGAGTGAGAACGCCTTGCGCGACCGGCTCGCAGAGCATAATCTTGCCGGGATTGGGCGGCAGGTGCGTGACCGGATGTGGTGGTAGTGGCAATGGGAATAGATCGCCCGCATGTACAACCGTGAGCGTGCCGAGAGCGGCTCGCAGCGCGGTCATGAGACGGTCTTGGGGTAGGCTGCCTCGGGCAACTTGGTGAGTGGGATGCTCTCTGAAGAAAGTGCCCTCGCCATTTTCAAGGCGCTTTGTGAGCTCGCTCTCCAGGCTCACAAATACAGTCTCGAGAGGAACAGCAGCAACATCAAGAACGAGAATCTCGATGCCGCTCCGGCTATGACTGGTAAGCTTGGAGGGCGCAATCTTCTGCAGGGTGACGGCGAAGCTCTGGAGGGCGGTAGATGAGGGCGAGAAGTGAATTGTCGAATGCGCAAGCGTGGAGGAGCGAGATACAGGCACAATACACCAGGCGCTACCGGTAGGAGAGGCATTTGGCGTCCAAGGCGCGATGGCGATGTGGTGGATGTCGGAGGCGTTGTCGTCGTCGGTGGCTAGGTCTAACGTTAAAAACTGCATATGTGTAGCAGAACAAGGCGCGCATAAACTTACTCTCGCCGAAATGGGGAAAAAGGTCTGCGAAGAGGTCTGCGGAGAGGATACCGACATCGCTCTTGATGTGGTCGTCGAGAATGAGGCGCGAGGTTATGGCAGGCTTGTCGGCACGTCGGCGACGAATCTTGCGCCGGGACGCCGCGGCGGCGGCCGCGCTGGTCGAGGTTGCCGTCATTTTTGGCGACCGTAGTGAGGCGATTGGTGTCGAATGGGAAGAGGCGAAGCAAGAAAGGCCTTGAAGCTGCCGCGGGCTATGGATGGTGATGGACGGCTCAGCTCCGGTTAGCCGCCCCGCAGCATAGCTCTCGCCGGAGCAGGCCGAGGAACGCGAGAGGTGGAAAGAAAGCCTCAGATACCTAGGTACCTAGGTGGCAAAGGCTCACGCGACGCAGCGAGGCTGAATATCGGGCAGCAAGGTGCAGCGCAGCGCAGATCTTTGGAAACGGTGCAATTGGAGCGCAACGACGTTTGGGACGAGAAGTGAGAGACGCGCAGTGACGAGAGAAATGTTGGAGAAGGGTGACTGCGGGCTTCGGGCACGGCTCGGTTGGAGACGACAGCGGGCCCATTCAGACGGAGCAGTCCAGCCAGCCAGCCTCGGTAAGCCTGGAGTGAGCACTGAGCTTCCTGGGGTTACTGGAGCCGCCGCTTGCTATTGGATTGGTGGGTTTCGACGAAGACGGTTAGGCGATGATTCAGGGGATTTCTGTGGCTGTTGGGGAGATTTTGGTGGCATTTTTGGCGACACCCGCTGTATTGCCCGCTGTGGCCGCAGACCAAGCTTGTGACAGACAAAGCAAGGCCCTTGTCAACTACACCAGCAAACAACTGGCAGTAATCCTAGCCAATTGAGTTTCCCATCAATTGCACGAGATCTATTGCCATGCATTCAATGTGCTAAGCTCTAACGCCAGCGATCTGTCCCTCAATACCTACCTACTACATACGTAGCAGCACGTTACCAACATTCACCACAAGTCAAGGAGAGATGCGGGGACCAATGCAAGACGACCAACGGACTTTCCAACGACCGACTTTCTTACGTACCTTTTCGGAGAGACTTTCCTTTTTTTCTCCATTCACAATGAGGGCATCGGGAATGTATTTCACTATGTTGGCAACATGGTTTACATGGTAGCCACCAGCATCCTGTAACCTGTTAGCCAAGGATCAAGTAGGGAAGCACGGAAGGTCTGTAGAGAAAAAACTTGCTTCACAGAAAAGTGTCTCAACTACATCAACAACACTTCATTTTCTCAATCCCCAATCGCCCCTATTAGATTTATCAGCTCTCTATCTGGGCTAGCCCACCTTTACATCTCCAACAGCAAACGGAGTTAATCCGTGCTGTAACAGTTTAAAAAGAGAGCAACACACTCTGGTAAATTAAGAAAATAGGAACAATAGTCTCTAGGACAGCAAATAAATACGAAAACAATACTATTGCTTCAACTTTTATTGCATAGCTTTATCATCCACAATACGGCTGGCCATCATTGCTCTACCAAAATCACATGCGCCGTTCGCCTGCAAACGCCAACCCCAGGTTTAGCGGGCCCCTGCGCCCCCGGCATGAATCGTTCGATGATCCTCTCCCCAATAGCCCGGTTTCCTGTTCGCATGAATCAGTTCCGTACTTTGCAGATCAGTTGTATGACCGTTTGTGGGTTGCTGTGGTGCAGTTCAAATACCGATTGTGAAGGCTCGCGGCCTTGGGCACCGTTCCTCTTGCATCCAATCAGCCCAGCCTCCTGACAATCGACCATGGTTGCGGCCGAGCGAGCCCCTGTCGTCACGATACCGCCGCTGGTTCCCAATTGCGCTGTGAAGGAGCGTCTCAGTTTGCGGAGCAGCCTTGCGTCCGTTCAACTCCAAGATGCGGGCCGTATCAACGCAAAAGACGACCAAGGTGGCGGCAACATCGACAAGGAGCAACAACAAACGGGCCAAGATGACGCCAACAGCCTTCACATCACGAGCCTGTTCGCAACACTGCCAAACTATGGACCGCCCACCGCCGCCAGAAAGCTTCACTATCTGTTTCTGAAGATGACCTCGTTCGTCCTCAGCCTGCTCTTCCTCCTGAGCATTGTCCTTGCGTCCATGATTACAAGCATCCCCTCCTTTATCCACAAAGCATTTTACACATGTACATTCCGCAACTACGACAAGAGACGCATATTCTACGAGGAAGAGCAGCATCGTGCCGACACACGGCGGGCCAAGGAGCGGTCCTGGAAGCGGCGCATGTCCTGCGGTGACGGCTCTGTCGACCAGGAAGACCTTGCCCAGCGTTACCAGCCCACCGAAGGTGGTCGTGATCCAATCATCAGCGAGGTGGCCTACTATGCGCGTAGGGTCGGCCTCGACGTCGAAAAGATCAAGGTGAAGACGGAAGACGGGTTCCTCATCGACCTGTGGCATGTCTATGACCCGTCCGAGTACACGCGCGCGGAGGAGGCTACCGCCACCGACCGTCGCCGCGTGTTCCAGGCGTCCAAGATGCGCCGCAAGGACCCCAACGCCAAGTGCAAGGCGCCAGTCCTCCTGCTCCACGGCCTGCTCCAGAGCGCGGGGGCCTTTTGCTGCGGCGACGACGACTCCCTCGCCTTTTGGCTCTGCAAGGCCGGCTACGACGTCTGGCTCGGCAACAACCGCTGCGGCCTCGAGCCTCGGCACGAGGTGCTGCGGCCGGACGACCCGCGCATGTGGTGCTGGAACCTGACGCAGATGGGCGTCTTCGACCTCGCCGCCCTGGTGGACCGCGTGCTGCTCGACACGGGCTTCCCGAAGCTCGGCCTCGTCTGCCACTCGCAGGGCACCGCGCAGACCTTTGTCGCCCTGGCGCGGGAGCAGCGGCCGGAGCTGGGCGCCAAGATCTCCGTGTTCTGCGCGCTGGCGCCCGCCGCGTACGCCGGCCCGCTCATCCGCAACGCCTACTTCCGCTTCGTGCGCATGCTACCGACGGCGCTGTTCCGCGTCGTATTCGGCGTGCACGCGTTCATACCGTTGATGATGCGCATGCACGGGCTGGTGCCGCCGCGGTTGTACGGCCGGCTCGGGTACGCGGTCTTCTCGTACCTGTTCGGGTGGACGGACGGGCGGTGGGACCGCGGCCTGCGCGACCGCTTCTTCCAGTTCGCGCCCGTCTACGTGAGCGCCGAGACGATGCGCTGGTGGCTGGGCGGCGACGGCTTCGCGAAGCACGGGTGCGTCCTGGCCACCAGGGAGACGGTGCGCGGCGAGGACCGCGTCGACCGCGAGGACGCGCGCGAGGCGGCCGCCGGAGGCATCGTCAGGGCCAAGACCGAGGAGGAGCTGCAGCTCTGGCGGCGGTACGGCCGCGGTGCCACCGCGTGGTACGACGAGAGGGTGCCCCCGATGGCGCTCTGGGTTTGCGAGAAGGATGACTTGGTGGATGGGAAGCGGCTACTGCGCCGCTTCGGCAACGGCCGGGAGCCTCAGGTCAAGCTCGTCCACAGCAAGGTGATATCAGGATACGAGCACCTGGACGTCTTGTGGGCAATGGACGCCGTGGACCAAGTCTTTGTTGAAGTGCGCGATGTGCTGTGGAAGACGTGGCCGAGCAGAGACGAGTGTGTTGTTCCGGATGGCTGCGAGGGGGTGCCCGCGTGGCAACCCGCAGTCCCGCAGAGTTGAAGTCAACACTACATAAACGGGGTGCTGATTACTTGGACAAACATACTCAGGCGTTGTAAGATTTCAGAGATGCTTTTGGTTTGACGATTCTTTTACATTTTGTTGCAAAGAGTACATAGGTATGAGCGGATTACACGGGTGGTTCTGGCTGAAGCACGACAAGTGAAGCGGTTTAATTTTGGTATTGTTTTAGCGAGTCCATGCTTTTGTTGTATTCTATTGACAAGACAATGCATGAATAGACGTCTCTAAGATTTAATATACAGATAAATGATACAACTCCATTGTTGTACAGGGACGCCGAGTAGCCCAACCTTTTATGAAGCGTGTAAATGATGATGTCGTGATATGTGCAGTTCAACCCATGCGCTCGGCCTCCTCCATCAGCTTTTCGACGCTGAAGCGGGCATCCCCCGCGGCGAACCACTCGAGCAGCTGCCTCCGCGCATCCGCGCGCTCCTTGCGCGCGCCGTCCACCTCGGCACCACCCGCCTCCCAGCCGCCGTAGAAGCGCTGGAGGCACATGGCCAACCACTTTGCGTGCTCCGGGCGGACGCCGCCGCGGTCGTCGGCGAGGTGGCCCTGCATGAGGACGAGCCCCTTGTCGTCGGCGAGGTCGAGGTGATGGGTGACGGTGGTGTGCGGCTGGGCGAACTCGCCGCGCGTCTTGTACTCGGCGAGGCGGGTGAAGAGGACGGTGCTGGTGCGCGAGGGCGCGTCAAAGACCCACTGCAGGAAGTGCATCTCGGCGCCCTGCTCCTCGTGCGGCACGGGCAGCACGAACTGCGGCGCGCGCCGGGCGAGCGCCTCCATGGCGGCGTAGGTGCTGGCGGGGATGACGGCGCACAGTTGCGAGGGCGAGGAGACGTGGCGGAGGCGCCAGATGGCGGTGATCTCCTTCTCGGGCAGCACGCGCACCTTTTCGAGGTCGAGGATGTCGTCGAGCGTCTTGACGGCCGGCTTCTCTCCGGCGGCGGCGGCGGCGGCGGCGGCAGCGGCAGCGGCCTCGCGCTGACGGGCTTGGCGAGCGAGCGCCTCGGGATCGTTGTCGTCGTCGCGGTTGGGCTGGGCGACGGGCGTGCCCTCGGTCTGCGGGATGATGAGCCGCTCGACGGAGGTGTCGAGGGCGTCCTTCTTGCGCTGGGCGAGGATCTCGTCGGCGTAGGCGGCGCGCAGGTTGTCGATGGAGTCGTGGCCCTCGGCGCGGGCCTTGCTGTCGAGCTTGGCGCGGTACTTGTCGAGCACGGCCTGCTGCGGCGTGTGGTGGGTGGTGAGGAGGCGCACGTCGTGGACCTGCGCCCAGCGGCGCTGCACGGGGGCGGCGAGGAGCCGGCGCCGGAGCGAGGGCGTGCCGGCCGCGAGGTGACGGCTGATGGAGCCGCGGGCGACGGAGGCGGCCATGGCTATGATGGAAGTTCGATGAGAGGCCTGGCAAGCCGGCTGGTGCAGGAGAGGACGCGCAATGGATGGTATATTGAGATGATCCAAGCCAGATTACTTTTCGTCGACTGAGAGGTTGAACGGGGGAAATGTGTGGGGCTACAAGACGTCAGTGACCCCACCAGACGAACGATGGAAGCCTTGCAGCAATTTAGGAATCAGTTATCAGTGATAGCAAGCTGATCTCTTCTGTCCCCTGAATTTGTTTTCTGAGGAAATAATCAAAAGTTGTAAGTTTTCAAGAAGCAAAGTGTATGGTGACCTTCGGAAAATTTTCCCTCGTCCGTAGGAGGCATTTCGTTGCTGCTCCCAGCTAAATCTGGGGCTTGCTCTTTTACAGCGGTCTTTAGCGGGCGTCAGCGCCTCATCGGCGGGGCTTGGGCCGGTTTTACTGGTCGGCCGGCCATCGGCTGCAGATATTGCTCGCGGGGCTTTCTTCATCGTGACCGTTTGCTTCCTTGTCTTCCTCTCCCCCACCACATGTCATTCTGTTGCAGTGCTTGCCTCTCAGAGCGAGACATTGCTATCTTCTTTTCACCGCACTTCGTCCTTCGCTTATCTTAATCCTGCCTTTTCCTCTCCCACTTGTCTTTCGCTCGTGCTTGGAAACCAGCAGCGTTCAACAACCCCGCCTCGCAGCAAATGCCGACTCTCTGAGCTTCTCAGCCCTTGCACAATTTTGCTCTTTTGCATTGCATAGCGCGTCCATATTTCGGGAACTCGGAGACTTGTTTTCTAATACTTTTTCTTCTTCCGAGCTACCGCTGTGGCTTGCACCATGGCCGACTTTCGACAGCTTGCGCTCGAGTTTGTCCTCGCCGATGACGAAGCCAAGCAGAGCTCCTTCGCCAAGCAGGCCGCGCAAGGCAAGTCAACTCCAAAAGGAGCACCATAATGCCAAAAACCGTATTCTGACCGGCCCCCAGAACTCCAAACCGCCGCTCCCGCCACAAACCCCGTCGCCCGCTGGGTAGAGTCTGTGCAGGCATGGATGCCAGGCGCCGCTGGTGACAGCCAAGATTCCCATGAACAGCCTGACTGGACTGCGCGATCCAAAGGCACGGCAACGATCCCCGAGATTAATAAAGCTTATATACTGACCTCAGTAGCTTTGGAATTTCTGTCACAAACCCTCGAGTATGTCGCCTATGACGTTTTAAAGGCTAGCCAAGGTACGAACCTTCCGTGCGATGTCGGCCCATGCCCCAGCTAATCACACCACACATAGTGAAACTCTTGGTTGGCTTCTTCGGTGCCATGTTTGATGTCGATCATAAGGCGGGCGTTTTGCCGTCTGCTTCCGCCCTCTCCAAAATCGTCGCCATGAAGTCGTTCCAGCCCTCGACCGGTCTCGAAATCATCCAAAAAGTCTGCGCACTTAAAGAGGACTTCTCCCGCCAAATAGCAAATACTCGACTAGCAGTATACGAACTGTTACGCTCACTCATCTCGCATAATGATGTCGCCTCCAACATCAAACGCCGTGACGATTCTGCTGGCTTCATTGTTGAGCTGATTGACCTCTGCCGCAGCGAGCGCGACCCCGACTGCCTGCTCGTCTGGTTCGATATCCTCTATATATACATGCTGCAATATTCTCCCGAAAAGGATGTCCTGGAGCGTGTGTACGGTAGCTTCAAGGCCTACTTCCCAATCACCCTACCGCGAACCGCGCAGAGCAAGGTTACCCCAGAAGAACTCAAATCCCAGCTGCGCAAATGTTTCTCGGCACACCATGCGCTCGCAGAACATACCATTCCATTCCTAGTTGGAAAGCTGGATCAAGGAGATGGTGTCACTGTCAATGTTAAAGTCGACGTGTTGCGGACCCTCAAGGCGTGTCTGGAGCAATACGAGGACCCCAAGCAGTCTGTCGTGCCCTTCGCTAACCGTATATGGGGCAGCCTCAAGTACGAAGTTCGCAATGGAGAAATTGAAGATACAATTTGGGCCACTCTCGAAGCTCTCAAGGCTCTTACAACCCGCTTAAGCGGAGACGACTTGCGCGACTTTACCCTCAACGTCACCCGTGACTGCGTCAGCGACCTCTCGAATGCCATGTATGCTGGCGCGGCGGGCCGACTTCTCGTCGCTATCCTCAGCGCTTCACCAGGTGCCTTCGTTCTTATGGTCGCGCCGGCTATCACACACATCAAGGAGAACTTGCGCCACCCCAAGTCGGAGTCGCATAGTTGCGATCTGCTCAGACTTCTTAGAGTCATTCTGGAGACTCGCATATTACTCATGAAACACACCATTTCGTCCGAAGAACTCTCTGATTTTGTTTCTATCGACTCTGTCTTCAAGACCCTTTATAGCGGTGTCTTCAGGACCCCGTTGATGGCTGCTAAGAACGCGAACGCCTCTCAAGAAGATCTCAAAGTCGGTGCGGAAACAGTTCAAGGCGCTGCTGTACTCCTCTGCCAGCGGGCCTCCGTAGCTGTTGGTGGCACAGCTGAAAGCCCGCGACTACTTTCAGATGACGACTGCGCTGAAATATGCGACTCGCTATTCGAGATTTCCGTACGACACTCGCAAGACCCCCGGCAGCACCCTTCCGCGTCCGATGAGCTCGTCAACGAGACGGTCAAGTCTCTTCAGCGCATTGTTCTGGATCTGCCATCCGCCTTCACTAGCCTGCTGCAAAAGGGGACGACCATCATCCATGATGCTTGGACTGCACAGGGTATGGATGCTGCGAAAACAATTCAAGATTTGGGGTCAATGCTGGCATATGTCGGTTGCTCTGAACTGCCGTCCTCGGCCTCGCCGGGTCTTACACATTTTGTTACGCTTATTTGTGCTCTAACGAACGAGCTCTTGGCTTCTGTTGCTGCCAAGGCTGATAACAAGCTCTGGTGCTCGTTGGTTGCCGGTATCCAGTCAGCGTGCCGCTACTTCAACGATGCCTGCTTCAAACAAGACTTGGATCGCAACCAGCTGCGTGTTTCCACTACATGGCTCAGTGACATCACAAACCTGCACCCTGAACTGAAGAGTGTGGGTTACCCTGATGCAAGCCATGAAGTAGATATGCTCAAGTCTAGCACTGTGAAGGCCATGGCTGATGTTTACGGCGAGTTTCTTCTTATCACGCTATTCATTGTCAGAACTCTGTACCGCAAGGCGGCCCATACGACAGGCAATGTCGGGAATGAGAGCATAGTACTGAGCGACGACTTCCCTCGGGGCGACCAGTTTTCCGCGTCGCAATATCTGTACCTAATATCCAGCCTTGCGAGCTTTGTGACGCACAAGTTCACTGAGACGCAGCAGGCAGCACTAGCTGCCGAGACATGGGCTATCAACCTATTTCAGGACGGTTACGCAACCACACCTAGCTCCTGGAAATGGCTTGTTAACGGCCGTGTAAACTCGTTGACATTTGGCATCGTCGAGGCTTTGCACCCACCCCGCGTCGCCAAGCTGGTAAGTACTACCCACTATATTCCATTGAAGAAATTACTAACGATATATAGTTCGATGGTGACATTGGGCAACAAATGCTTGTCGCCATCATCTCAAGTACAGAGCGAGATAACAGCGCCACAGCTACCGCTGTCTCCAAGTCCATCTTGAGCATACTTGCCAACAAATACACTTTGGAGACGGCCGAGCCAGTGCTAGATGCAATCAACACACAACTAGCCAACGCACTTCTAAACTCAGAGGAATCATCCATCAACAAGGCTATCCCGATTCTTGCGATTGCGGCTGGCCTCTTGCGCCGATACAATGGAAAGCAAACGCAGCGCCTAGTTGAACTTATTCGTGACAGCCCCAAGAACAAAGTCATTGGCTATCAAATAGCTCGCCGACTTGAACTCATTGCTGCTCCGCAGAGCTTCCTTTCCAAAGACGCCTATGCAGTTGTCAAGCCGCTCTGGCTACAGAAGCTTTATATGCAGATGGCTCAGCCGATGCTCCAATGTGCCTTGTCCACAGGCCAGTCCCCTTACGATAATCTAGCCAAGACCAGCTTTGGCCTGGGCGTGCTGATGCTCGTCAAGCATATGCCCTACTCCATATACGAGGATGACGTCGAGCAGCTGCTGCGCGTTGCCATTTCTGTCGCCCAAACAGTCGGTCTCGGCACGGACACGCTCGCCTCTCTGGACGTGCTCAAGACGGCGCTGACAGAGGCGCCGGAGAAATCGCAGGACCACGTCCGCAGCATCATCGGCATCTGCACCAGCACCTTTGCCGTCGACGCGGCGCCCAAGCCCAAGCCCGAGTGGGTGCCAGAGGCCGTCGCCGCGCCGTCGCGGGACCCGGAGACGCTGGCGCGCTGCGGCAAGGCCGGGCTGCAGATCCTCGGCGGCCTGCCGCGGCTGCTCGATTCGCGCCACCTGTTGGCCTATGTGCCCCAGGTAGAACGGCATCTCGCGGCGGCTTGCGGTCACAGAAGCCGTGACGTGCGCGCGTCTGCTCGCGCGGCCCGCGTCGCCTGGGGAGAAGTCAAATAAGACTGGGGATGGATGGCGCGAGCGGCGCTGCGATGGGCTTGCGACCAGGTGACGAAAGGAGGGAGAAGCTAATAATTTGCGCATTTACGATTTTTCCAAGTACTAAAATGTATTGCGATGAATGTATGAGTGGAAAGGCGGTTCATGGCTGTTTCTTGATACCATGATAACATCCACGCATAGCACTCACACACATGTTGGTCTTTCACATATGTAGATGCAGATAGGTGGAAATACCATTTTGTCATTGACTCTTTTTTTAGAACTTTATATTTGATTCGCATTTGATAGTACAGTGCTCTTCGCACAGCAGCGTATCTATATATCCGAGAAAAAAGCACCCGCTAAAAAAAACGCCTGTTCTCATGCCAATGGCTCTATTGGCTTCGGAATTATCCCCTGCCCCCTTCGCCTCAGTCTCCTTTCCCTCCTAGGCTGCGACCACCACGCCGGACCCCGCCTACGCCTTGCGCTGCCGCGCCTCGCCCTTGCCCTCGGTAGCCGACGCCGCGAGCACGGCGTCGAGCAGGTCCGGGCTGGCGTCGACCGTCGCGGCCGAGGCCTTGACGCGCTTGGGATCCTGCTTGCCGATCAGCGGCACGGCGGACGCGAGCATCTCCTGGAACGGCGCGGCCACAAAGAAGCCGACCTCGTCGAACCAGCCGGCAAACTCCCTGGCGAGGGTGTACTTTTGGGGCTTGCCGTCGGCGGCGCGCTTCGGCCGCACGGTGATGTCTAGGTTGTAGATGGGGACGTTCTTTTTCGTTGTTGTCGAGATTGTGATCTGTGTTCCGCAATTAGCCACCGCTTCTGTTTGAGGGAGGAGGAAGGGGGGTTTACCTCGTCGCCGGACGGCGCTGTGCCTTGGTAAATAACGTTCTTCTCCTTGTAGGTCATCCAGTACGTGAGCGCCGCGTTGAGGACCATGTAGACGGCGACGGCGGCGGCGGTCCAGTACTTAGTAGCGTCCCAGCCGAGCCTGTAGTCCCAAAGGAAGCAGAGCGCGGCGACGGAGAATGCGCCGTAGCCGAGCCCGAGGCGCACGTCCTGGAGGACGTACGACTGCTTGAACTTTAGGGAGTTGAGGTAGTTCGGGATCGCATCGTCCGAGGTGTTTTTCAAGTCTGGGGGCAGACGGCGCGTGTCAGACCAGGAGCGTTGGTGGACGGTTTGTAAGTAGGGTATTGGTGTTGCTTACCGGCGAGGTTGTAGAGCGCAATCTTTTCGGTCGCCATTGCGGCAGTGTAATTGGGCGTTGCGGCCGTGTGGTACTATAGAACAAGGGAATGCAGACGAATCGGGAGGGTTGGTCGTGATGTTGATGTCGTGGCAGCTTGTATAAGTTGTCGTGGGGAAAGGAAAGCTGTCCCCAGCGATTGACTGACCAAGGTCAGAAGTGGGTACCATTTTCTGGGCAGTCGCGGCGCTTTTCCAGCACCTACTGCTCTGTAATTCGGTAAGGGTACCTGTACAGTGGAGAGATGCGGCTGGCGGCAGAATAGTAGCTCCGGCTACGAGAGCTATGCCAGACAGCAAGTCCATCCCACCACCTCCAACAGCTTCCATCAATCCTCAACAACCAAGTCCTGCCGCCGCGGCCCCCGACATCCAACCCGAAAGCGCTGCGGACCGATAACCAATTTGCCCCCATCATGGCGCAGATTCCGGTGCAGACCCTCCACAGGGACCCCCAGTTGTTGTACGTCACGAACTGGCGCTTCTCCCCCTCGGGAATGGGACATCGCTCGCTAACCACGCTCCGTCGCCAGCTACTGGATCCTGATCCCCATCACCGTCGTCATGGTGCTCACCGGCGTCCTCCGCCACTACGCCTCCGTCCTCATGGCGCCCACCCCGAAGAAGCTCGAGGCCCGGGCGATCCGCGAGCAGCGGGCGCTCGCGCGCGGCGTCTCCCTCCGCAGTAACTACCACGTGCTGTCCCGCCGGTCGTTCGAGGCGCGACGCGAAGCCCTCGCCGCCGGCTACGAGTCGGGCGAGTTCCTCAAGGACCCGGACGCGCGCGGCAAGCCCGCGGCCAACCCGCTCAGCGACCCGGGCGCCATGGACGGCATGATGGGCATGATGAAGAACAACATGGCCATGATCATCCCCAACACGCTCATCATGAGCTGGATCAATGCGTTTTTCAGCGGCTACGTCATCAGTATGTGTCGGAACGTTTGAAGAGGAGGTACGCGGGAAGTTTTTGCTAATCACGGGCGGGGAAATGTAGTGAAACTACCGTTCCCGATCACCATCAAGTTCAAGAGTATGCTGCAGGCGGGCGTGCAAACAAAGGACATGGACCCACGGTGGATGTCTAGCATTAGCTGGTACTTTCTGTGCATCTTTGGTCTGCAGTTTGTCTATGTCTTCCTTCTGGGCAGCGATAATGGTAAGTTGCTCTGCGGCCTGCGGCAAAAAACGCAACGGAGAAATATACTGACTGCTCTTCTCAGCCGCTAGCCAGCTCGCTCAGCAAATGCAGGCCCAAGGAGTCCCGATGAACCCCATGGGTGGTCCCGGCGTGGACGTTGACAAGCAGTTCCAGGCCGAGGCGGAGAACCTCCAGGTCATTGAGCACTACTCTGTTCTGGACGATGTTGAAGATCGCCTGCTAGCCCGTTTCTAGCGGCAGTATTTTCAATTACATTCGGAGAAAATAGACAGATGATAGATGAATGTGTACAAGATATGCGCCGTCCCATGAATGCCCCCCAAAACAAAAAGAGTCCAACTCATGCTTTTCGACAACATGACTATGAGTCTCCGCGCTATGAGTCCCACCACAGGCATACGCCGAGACCTTCCTTGGCCATGCTGCCCTTGATGCGGTAGGGAGTCTTGATGGGTGAGTCTTCGGCTTGCGTAGGGCCAATCGGGGTTTGGTCGTGCCACTCCTCATCAATGACCTGCAGGCGCACCATTTCGTGGGTATCATAAAATAGCATCTGATCATCCAACTTCCAGATCCAAAGCTGCTCAGAGTGGTTACTACGAAGCAAGTTAGCATCGCCCTTTGCAGCGGCGTCGAGAGTCGGGACCGCTTACTATTCAGCGCCGGGAGGCAGCTCTTCAAAGGGCACGAACATGTCGTCGAAGAAGTCTGTCCGTACGTTGATGCCGGCGGGCGTGGAGCTGCGGATACGGCCGACGATGACTTCGCCCTTGAATGGGCGGAAGACAATCATGCGGAACTCGACTGTGAAATAGTTAGCTTGAGTGCTGGGAGGGAATCTGAGCTTGGAGGCGCATACCATTCACATTGACCAGCCCAGTGCCGTTGCCGATGAGGCCCTCTGACGTCCAGAGGATGTCATACAGGCATATGCACAAGCCGATTTTTTGGATAACCTGTTGAGGGTGTCAGTTTGTGAGACCAAAGGGCTCTCACAGGCTAACTCACCTTGTTGGCATATTTGGCATTAATGTTGTCTTCAATGGCGATTATACTGCGCTTAGAAAAGTCTTCTGGTGCAATCTGCACAAGATCTGAAATTTTGGTCTAAATAGGGTATTAGTTATCATTTGACGCTTCAAATCGTATGAGCTGCTGCGTACAAGAATGAACATGATGGGCTTGTTGCGGTAGCGGCCCGCGCCAGCCAACAAATCCAGTCACGGTACCCGAGTCTCAGAGAGACAGAGCAAAAGTCAAGTGGCTGCTGACCGGAGAAAAAATGCGGAAGATGGGCGAGCTCTTGTTGAAGCTCGGTTGACTCGGGCGCAGGACGGCTTCTTCTCTACGGTCTTAGAAAATGGAAAAGCTGCAGAATACAGTGGTCGCCAAAGCAGGCTTAGCGGTAAAGCCTCACTGTGGCTGCTGAGCTCTCACCGCCTGCCTCTTTATTGGGGTATCCCGTATCATTTCTGCTCCACAGCGACCGTTTTATGTAGCGGCAGAAAAAGGACGACCTTCCCCTTGTTAAGTCGTGACCCAATCCTGAGAACTGATGATCCCGCTTCTCTTCTCCCATCGTTACCGATTCAACAAAAACCCACTGGCCGCAGCGCTGAAACATCGGCAGGGCACCCATCTAGTGCTTCAACCTGAATCCAGTCGGAGTCAGGCTATTGCTTGTTTGCTTCCTTGCGCTTCATTCTCTGCATTACCCGCCCATTTGCTGCCTTGCCTTCTCTCTGCCTTGGCGCTCTCTCTTGCGCACCCACCCCTTGTGTTCCGGGGCGACATCTTCTCCTCTCTTCGAGTGAACTTCAGCAAGCGCACATTCACCTCGTCATCTTGGAGCCATCTTTAAAACGCCCTGCTTTCTCTGCATCCTCATCACATCATGTCTGGCTACGGGTACGGGCCGCCACCGCCACCGCCCCCAACTTCGAGCTCCTCGGGAGGCTTCGGTCGCGGAGCCGGCTTGCCGCGACGTGGAGGCCCTCATAATAGGGGTCGAGGAGGACCAGTGCATCACAGCGTGCCTCGTCATGATCACCATGCTTCGCAGCCGCGATACGAGTATCCGTCGCAACCCTATCCCCATCATCCTCCTGCCGCCGTGAGTTACCCTCAGGCGCCGAATCCCGGCTATCCGCATCAGCCTCCTCCCCCTCCTCCCCAATGGGGCCATGAACACGCCAGCCATCATACGCATGCGACTGCAGCGATTCCGCAAGCCTCGTATCCTCCAGCCTATCCTCCGCAAAGCTACCCCCCGGTTCATTACTCCCCTCCGCAGCAAGTCCCCTACGCGCCACCACCTCAGCATTATCCCTATGGTGCGCCGCCGCCGCCGAACCCATCTCAGTGGAATGGATCGGTACAGCCGCACCAGGTTGGTGGCCGACCACATCGCGGCGGCTATCATGACAAGGGCCCAAGAGGAATGGCAGCGCCTAGACCCCCAATTGGTGGCGGCTACGCGCAGCCCTACCCATCTGAGCTACATGGTCATCACCCTCCTCCGCAACACTATCCCTATGGACGGCCTCCCCCGCCGGCGCCGCATTCAGTATCGCACCACAAGGACTCGCAACACGGGCAGTACCCGCGTCGCGGCCGTGGAGGGCACAGGGATGGCGGTAATCGTGGCCGAGGTGGCCACCACAACGACAGGCGTCATAACAAACCCACCAATCAAACTCCTACCCAGCATAAGAACAACTCTGCATCCCTGGGTAAGAAGAAGAAACGCAAGACGAATACACTTGGCTTGACGCCTGGCATGGAGTCGGAATCCGAAGACGACGAGGGGGAGGAACAGGCTCTCAGTGAGCTAATAGGAGAAGAAGCACTGAGGTATTTAATCCCTCTGTATCTATTCTCACTTTGCACAAATACTAACGACTTTAGCATCCATGACGTCGCTTCTTTCCTTGCAGAACGTCGTAAAAATTACCCCACGAAAGCTCGTACTGAGGCGAAAAGAGCCGCTGCGCAAGCGCAAAGGAAGGTGGCTGAAACAGCCTCCTTAAAGAAGGAAGCAGACAAGCTACGCAGGCAGCTGCGCAAAGTAGAATCCTCTATAAAGCGAAAGCGAGAGCAGGGCGATGAAGGCGATGAGATGCGTGGCGCGTCTGATAACTCATCTGACGACGAACCCCCCGAGACGCTCTCCACGAAAGCCTCGTCTACTACTATCCCCAGTCGACCGCTCCCTTCTGCTTCCGGCAAGAAGGCAGACGTCACCAGGCACTGCAAATACTATTCTACGGGTGGTACTTGCGGGAAGAAGGGCAAGTGCCGCTTCGTGCACGACCCGGAGATTCGTGAAGCTGCCATGAAGGAGCGAGAGGCCAACAATGGCCGCTTGACTATTCAGCAGCGATTGATTCTCAATGACAAGGAGCAAGAAGATCTGACGGTACTGCGGTCTATTCAGTACCTGCGCCAGAAGGGCATCATGTCTGAGGCACTCGCTGCGAGTGCGGCAGCCTCAAAGGGTACCAGTGACAAGGACAGAATTCAGGACAACAAGGTGAAGGAGGAGGTGAAGGAGGATGACAAAATCGCGGATCAAGACCCGGGTCCGCCCCTTGTCGTTTCGTCTACTTCTCCATACCAATTACCGCCGCCCCCGACATCGCAGTCGCCGTCAACTGTCAAGGAAGACTCGGTTTCGAGTTCGACACAGGTTGTGTTAAACGGCCAAGGCCAGTCCAATGAGGAGGTCGACCTTGACAGCGGTGAGCCAGAAAATACCAAGCACTATGAGGGCTGGCTCCTCCAACCATATGGCTCCTCCAACAGCAAGGGAAACAACGTTGCGCCGTGAGTGCGGGCCCGTTGAATCATACACACGCGTGAGAGAGATGATAGCCTATAATCATGTCTCAGATATCGTGGATGTACAATCAAGGGCGCAATCGACTAGATGTGTCGCCTAATATCTTAATAGAGTATTGAATATTACTGTTTTAACTAGACACAACAGCATTGCACTGGTGACAATCGTGACAAGATATACTATTACGTAGTATTGAATAAAGAAAACTCCTTCGCTAAATGTCTATATAAGAGTAATGCTAATCAACAGCGTATCCTTCCGTGCAGTCTCCCCTCTTACATTCTTGGAAATCATCATTCAACGAAAAACGGCAGCCTCTAAAGTCGAACAGGAACAGGCCACAGAAAACAAAGCAAAAGATATCATATAAAGACAAAGAAAAGGCAACGCCGTGGTATATTCCCCTGTTGTACTGCTCCCCTCCGGTTACTCGTTCGACGCTTCCCGCTCAGAGAGGGAGGGAGCTCCGCCTTGCAATCACCTGTAGCCGTCCAGAGCGCGACGGCGACGCTCCTCCTTGGCGGCCTTGAGCTCCTTCTCCAGCTTCTCCTCGCGAATGTCCTCCTGGCGGGCGATGCGCGCCGCGCGGTCCTCCTCACTGTAAATGTCGTCCATGCCGGCCTCCATGTCCGACGAGCCGTCTGACGCGTAGTTGAAGCCGCGAGGCTCGCCGCCATCCTGGTCGTCCTCCTCGTCGTAGTCGATGAAGTCATCCATGTCCTCGTCAAACTCGTCGTCGTACTCGCGCGCGCGGCGGACCTTGGGCCCGCTGAGGAGCGCGCCGCCGCGCGGAGCGTCGTGGCGCGTCTTGACGTCGCCGCCGGGCTTGGGCCGCGCGGTGCCCGCGTACCCAGTCGTCGCCGTCGCGGCTTTCTTGACCTTCCTCTCGGGCTCTGCGGCCGCCGCCGCAGCGCCGCGCCTGCGAACGGCAGAACCTGACGCCGGTGGCCGTTGTCGGGCAGCGGTCGTGGAGGACGAACTGCTGGCACCTGGCCGTCTGGCACCGTCGCTGCCCACCGGCCGCTGCGAGGGCCGCGACGTTCCGCCGTACGCGGAGGCGGCCGCCGGCTTCTTCCCGCGAGATGCCTGCGCGGCTGCCGCGGCTTCCTGCAGCTCCTCCTTGGACCGCTTCGGCGGGTTCTCGACCTTTTTGTGCTGGATCTTGCCGACCTGGCCCATGGATGCCTGCGCGGCCTTGCCGCGGGCCAGGATCTCGGCAAACGACCCCTTCTTCGGCGCTATCTTGGCGGCGGCGGCTACGGCGACCGATGAGGATGTGGACGGCGCGGGTCTTGCGGGCTTGCTCGTCATCGACACGGCAGGTCGGCTGGCCGCTGTGCCGGCGTACCGCGGGCCGCCGGAGGAGGGGGCCCTGTCGCTGGTCGGTCGAGACGTCGGGTTCGGCCTGGACGGCGGGGGCGTGATGCGGCGCGCCTTGCTGGTGGTGCCGCCGCTGGCGAGCTCGGAGCTCGCCTTGCGCTTGATGTTGGCGGCTGGGCTCTGGCGGCTCGACGTCGGTGCCTTGCCCGCACCTCCGCTGATTGAAGCTAACAAGTCACCGATCTAGAGAGTCATGGTCAGCAAGCCGTGGCGCAGAGAGCACCTGGGGGCCGTCAAGGCTCGTGGGTGATTTCAGGGACGGGGTGCTTACAGGCATCGTGCAGGTTTTGTTGGTCCCGGCCGTCGAGCTAGATGTAAAGATTTCAGACGTGAACGGTTGTCGGCTACTCAGCGCTCGGTCAAAGCCTCGGGACCCAAATTCAAGGCCGTTGATGATCCTCGCAAGTTTGGGTCAAGCTCCGACCTGGCGCGCCGAGGCAACACTCTTATCGTTTTCTTTTTTTTTTTTCCCAACCTGGTACCGGAACACAGAGCCCCCGTCGGGTCAAGAGAGGGACCAATAATAATGTAAGAGAATACGGCCAATAAGCGGTGTGAAGAGACGTATGTAGTACCCGTGATTCACGAAGAATGTTGTGTCGCGGGAGAGTTGGTGCGCGGGCGAAAGGATACGTTTAATGATCGTGTGGTATTTGTGGCGTGAGCAACTGCTGCCAACTTTGCCCCCCAGCTGTCGAGCCAAACCAGACGCCTAATCAGCCGCAAGTTGGTTGGAAGGAAGAAGATAGCACGCGCCACATTAGCCGCCAAGCATCAGACGGAGCACGTGATGCATGCTAGATCTGTGTGGCGGGTGCATATTGTGGCTGGTGCAGGAGGTGGAGCGAGGACCCCTCCCACGCCCTAACCTGAGTGGCTCGCCTAAGCACAAGCTGTGGTTCACCCACAAACTGGAAAAATATTGTGTGAGGGAATCCACCGACTGGGGCTTCACTGTGCCTTTTTCTCGCGACCCGCTGAACGAGACAATCCTCTCCTTCGGAAACTACTACTTTTTCACGCCAATCCAACAACTTTGAACCCGAAGGTTTCAGTCTCCGCCTCAACACCCGCGGTTAAAGTGATTGATTTCTCGTGTTCCTTTTCGAACTCCTAAACAGTGAGTAACGCCGTAACTCTACATGTTCTGCGCCAGGCTTCTTTCCGGAATCTAAAGAGGGCGAAATCCCACCAAGAGCGCAAAGCCATTTCTGCAACATTGACTGACAGACGTCTCTTCTTTCGGAACAGAACATTCAAAATGAAGCACCTCGCCGCTTACCTCCTCCTTACCCTCGGTGGTAACGAGTCCCCCTCCGCCAAGGACATCACCGGCGTCCTCTCCGCCGTCGGCATCGAGGCCGATGAGGAGCGCGTCAAGACCCTCCTCTCCGAGCTCAAGGGCAAGGACATCAACGAGGTACGACAAACAACCCCCCTCCCCGAGCCTGTCTATGATCGAGTTGGCCCTCGCTTGCGAGCACCACCGCAGCGAGTCGACTGAATAGACTACCACATACAAGCAAGAGGAGCCCCGAAATGCTAACATTGTTTCCCGCAGCTGATCGCCGAGGGCTCCAGCAAGCTCGCCTCCGTCCCCTCGGGCGGTGCTGGTGGCGCTGCCGCCGCTGGTGGTGCCGCCGCCGCTGGTGGTGCTGCCGACGCTCCCGCCGCCGAGGAGAAGGAGGAGGAGAAGGAGGAGTCCGACGAGGACATGGGTTTCGGTCTGTTCGACTAAGCGGTCCGCTCACGACTGTTACGGTAACGACGACTCACAACCAAAAAATAAAGAAGAACACGAAAACAAAGTTGGGCTTGTTTTTTTTTTTTCTTTCTGGGAAAAACGAAACGGATTTCATTCGGTTATGGTGCAACAGACATTGTTGGTTCAGAAACTGTACCGATGTGCACACTTAGGGTTCACGGCTTGGACTCGCCTTTCTGCGATAGTTGGAGTTGTTCGGCCTCTAGGATTTTTACGATGAATCAGAATCATTTTTTCAGAAGTTCTTTTGCGGTCGTGTCTTGTTTGGCTCATTAAAAATATGTGACTTTGTTCTATGTCTTCATTCCCCAACTCGGGGGTACTCTCGAATTTTACATCCCACGATAAACTCCGGTATTAAAATAACCTTCTCGCGGCCGAAGCAGAACCTCCGCATTGCCCAGCTTACTCCTCCCTCTTCTCCGGCCGGTAGTCGGATTCATGCCCCTGCCACGAGAACCTTCGCGGCTGGGCTACTTCTTCGTACGCGGGCAGATCGGCGCCACAATGATCAGCCTCCGGGAAGTGCCCGTCGCCGTGCTCCGGCTGCAGCTGCCTATGCGTGCTGTGGTCGTCGTCCGACTCACTACTACTGCTAACATCAAAACCAAGTTAGCCAATGACGCACACATCGCCCGACGACCGACGATTTTCCACTCACGAATACCAATCTTGCACCTCGCCGGGTTGGTAGCCCAGGAGGTTGTGCACAGCAGCCTGGAACTCCTCCGTGCCGCTGTACGGGTTGCCCGCGCCCGGGTGGCCGCCGCCTGGTTGCCGCGGCGACGTGGCTCGCATCATCATCGGTTGCTGGATGAGCACCTCCTCCGCCGCCACGGACGTCGTCGACAACGGGGTCCCTTTGGCTGCGACGCCGCCGGCGTCAGACGCGGCCTTGATGCCAAATGCCGCCTTGAACTTTATAAAGAATCGCCCTCCTTCTCTTGCGCCCTGGTCGCTGCTGCTCACTGACGGGTCTTGGGTCGCCAGCATGCGCGTGCGCGAGGGGCTGTGGCGGTTGCGGTGGTGGTGGTGGATGTGCGAGAGCCTTCGTAGCGCCTGCTGCGTAGCCTTCTTGCAGTCGTTGCAGCCCTTGCGCTCCCCGCAGAGGTAGATGCTGATGCCGGTGAAGACGACGATGGCGAATATGCTGACCGTCAGCGCGGCGATCTGGGCCGGGCCGACCGTCGCCGTGTCCTAGATTTTATTAGCCCTGTTGCCTTTGGGGGAACGTTGGAGCCCAGCGCTGAGTGGTGTAAACTCACAGCGTCGGCTGTGCTCGCCATGTTTTCTTCTGACCGTGAGAGGGAGGCCTGGTAGGGTTGCGCGCCGAAGAGGCGGATGGTGACGACGAAGTTGTACAGAAGATGTTCCTGATTGGCTCGTTGGACGGACGGGAGCGGGATGTTAGAAGAGAGTAAAATTGTCGGCAGGCAGACTACAGAATGGACTCGAGGGTGACAAAAGTCGGGGAAAAAGTGGCAGTTCTTTCGGGTGCCGTGCAAGACAAACAAGTAGTTATGTTCCAGTCGCGTCACACCAAGGCTGACACACATGTTGTATGTAGGTACATACATACGAACGACCCCAGTGCTGAGTTTACAGCCAAGGCACTGATTGTTAATGTGTAAAATGAGCTTGCCGATTGTGAAGGATGAGATGTCCCTTTGATGATGACTCCCTCGAAGGGACTCGAAACGAGCTGGTAAATGCTTGCTTGCTTGTCTGGGGCGCCCGCCCAATCAATCAATCGAATACCACTTGGCTCATCCCCCCCGCGACGTCAACCTGGGTTGTGCGCCCGCTGGTCTGCCTCTCGAAAGCAAACAATCAACGCAGGATGACACTGACAACTCATCACCCTATAGAAAAGGGGGAAGGCTTCTAGAATCAAACTATTTGAAAGCGGCCCTCACTACCAAAAACCAGTACGGCTGCATAGTAAAATTAGCAAGGCTGTGCCGTGAATGTGCCGTGTCTCGGTTCTCGAATGCACAGTGTCAGATGCGTGCCCTGGTCTGCATGGGCATCGGCTGAGCCAACAAACACACACCAGAACGGGGGTCCAGCCAGCTCATCAAGCTGACACCAGTCTGCCTTGTACGATAGAAGTCTTGGAAGTTGGTATTATCAAGAGAAAAGCTCCCGTCTATAAAGCTCATGTATATTTCAAGTCCTAGCCCAGCTGGCACCCAAACAGTCACCTTGTTTTGTGTCCTCATTGTGTCTTTCTAGCCCTGCTTGTCTTGGACGCGCTAGGCAGTATGTCGCTCTCGACAATCAGTCTGCAGAAGCACCAGGCGTAGCATATCATGAAGCCAGCGGCACCGATGCCAACGTTAGCCACTACCCATAGATCGGGTTTGCTCGGCGGTGGTGGTATGAGCGCCTGGGCAATGTGCCACGCGACCATCAAGACGTAAAATCCGGAATGCAGCGCCAGTGTGGCATATTGCATCAGAGGCTTGACGTGGGCGTCTTGAAGCGGCGCCGTCCAGGACACGGGAGGGAGGCCAAGCAAGTATGCCCAAAGAAGGGTGAGCACTGCATAGGGGACGGTCAGGTCGACCCGCTGCAATAGGGGGAACATGGTCCAGGCGCCGAGTATGTTGGCGAACCCGACCCAGGAGCGCACGTTGCCATTCAGGCCTTGCTTGCCGGCAAGGAGCATCGTCATGGGCATCAATGGAAGTAGAACGCTCTTTTCATGGACCTGGTAGCTGAAGAGGAAGAAACCCCAGGCAGTCGTGGCAAATGCTAGCGGCATGGTAGACTTTAGTGGCTTGATGAACAGGACCATGTTCGGTGGGATGATGGCGAGCAGCGTCAAGACGAGAGAAGCTTTTTGCAGTAGGTCGGTAGGATAGTTGCGCAGCTTGATGACGACATTGGCAGCGCACCAGAAGTTGGCGACCTTGTCTTCAAACAGACCGCGAGCAAAGGGGAATACGCGGTGAACCATTTGCACCAGCTGCTCCACCACGGGGTAGTAAAGTGCTTCTGTGTCGAGATAGTCTGAGAGGAATGAGAGGATTGGCAGCGGCGGCGGGGGACCTCCAAGTTCGGCGCGCGAGGAGATGCCACGATGGGCGTCATACAGGGCGCCGGCGACGATGGGAAGCACCAGGGCGGCGAACGAAATGACAGTAACGAGGGCAATTCCAACGAGCCTTCCAATGCTAATCTGAGGCTTTACGCAGCGTCCGAGAAGATATGCAAAGACGCTGAAGGCGTAGTAGAGCGCCATCTGTTTAAAACCCAATGCGCCGACGAAAAAGACGGCAGCCCACCGGTATCGCTCGGCGAGGAGGCTCGACATGCTGGCGAGCACGAGCCCCAGCATGACGGTATTGTACTGGAAGTGGATGTGGTCGATGAGGATGGTGCCGGGCTGCATCAGGATGGCGACGAGCGCAATGTTGCTGGCCCAGGTCGGGACGCCGCTCAGCCTGCTGAAGCGGCGGACGAAGACGACGACGGCCGGGATGTAGGTCAGGTACTCGGAGACGACGACAGACGCGCGCATGAAGACCTTGAGGTTGGCGTCTTGGGACCCGCGTGACGTGAAGAGCGCGAACCACGCGGGATCAAACAATGCGCCAATCTTGCCGAGGAGCCAGCTGTGGTAGGCTGTCAGGGGCGGGTAGTCGAGCCCCCACCACTCGAGATCGTGAAAGTACCATTGAGAGATGGGAAGGTGGGTGGTGATCTCCATCCAGTGTCGCTGCGCCTCGTAATCGCCAAACATCGGGGGTCGCTCGAAGCCTGCGGTGAAGGGGAAGAAAAAGACGCGGTCAGCTTGCAGTCTATTGGAGGTAATCCAGAGTAGGGACAAACGTACCGGAGTAGCCCCAGACTCCTGCTGCCCAGCGGAACAGTCCAGCGACCATGAGTATGAGGGGCAGGACAGTCCATTGCGACGATGCGGTGCGCAGAGGCCAGAGAAAGGCTGCCAGCGGGAACAAGGGCGCTTTGGCGGGAGCTTCCGCGCGCGGCCGAAGATCGAGGTCGTCGCCGTTTGTCTTGGCCTTGCGCCGCGGTTTGTGGGAGGCAGGGCTGGCCATGGCCATTGTTCCTGGACCCTGTATTTAGATGGTAGGCTGCAAAGGGGCTGACATGCAGAAAGGCCGCCGTGGTGTGGAAGGGAACAGCTCGAAAGGAAGAAACAAGACAATGAGAGTCGCAAAAAAGAGAGTGACGTGTGAAGTTCAAGGGAGCTTGGGGAGCATGCAGAGTGGGTGTGGAGAATTGGAGCTTCACATAGCCTACCCTGGAGAGCCGTGTTAGATTCATCAGGTGCGTGAGTGGCCAATGCTCGTGAGTATAGTCGACTTTTCTGATCTTGGCTTTTTTTTGTATACATATGTTTTTGCTTCCAGTGGCATTTTTTTTTTTTTTGTGTGGGATGGTGTGTACGGAAATCTGTAGTCAATGAACCCTTGCTGTTAGCATTGGATTCCTTATGGGAGCAAGAGCTTGAGCATGTGATGGCGATGATGGCGATGATGGCGATGATGGCGATGATGGCGATGATGGCGATGATGCCAATGATAGTGATGATAGCGATGATGGAGCTCAGCAGTGACTTTAAAAATTCCAACATCGACTGAACAAAAAGTAGCGTTCCTGACTGCTAGTCGTCGACATCTGGTCTGGTTCTACCCATCGAATGGTCAGCGCGTTGATAGCCTTTGGCTATTGGTCATGAATATTTACGTCATCATACCAGGAACTCGGGTATATAGCAATTAAATCATGGCACGATAGGAGGTAGTAAAATGATACTGGCTAAAGGTCAGAGCCAAATGGGCCCAGACCAGGAGACTGGAAGAATGTCTCAGCGGTCGTCTGATGGTTGTCTCTAACAGGAATGCGCCAGCGTGGAGAATGTGACTTTGAATAGCTGAATAGCGTGAATAGCGTGAATATGTGGCGGTAACGAATGACGAAGTGGCAGGTACTTTTCTTCAGATATTGTTTTGGGCTAAAACACTAATCTTTTTTTGGGTTATATGCTATATGTTCACCTGGAATAATCAAATAAACATATAAACAAATGACTCGTTTTGACGGTCACTTATTAATATTAGGTACAAAATATCCATACCTTCCTCCCTGTGGCGCCCATGGCTTCAGCTCCTGGCAGCACATCACCAATTACTGGAGCTCTGTGGACTCGTTTTCTATTTATTAAGTTAGAATGTAGATTTATGCGCTTTCTTACCTTGGAGATTAGCGTCCATTGTAATTTTCCTTATACGGGATGCCTTCCGTTAGAATAGATAGCTGATACATGATACATCGTCGCAGTTACAGGGAGGGCGCCTGTCCCACTAAATTCCTGCGCAGGGACGACAAAGCAACATCCCAGGACGAGCTGAGCCGAGCCTCGCTCCCTCCAGCAAACAATCCACTCCGTCCATGCCAGTCTCACATTTGTCATCTTTAGCATCGTCACCTTGCCTCTGCTATTTCATCCAATCTCGCTACCTGCGGCAATCGTACCCGCGACTCGACTCGAAGCTATGCTGTCGTCCTGATTACGCCCTCTGGCAAGAAGCTCGTCCTCTCCGCTGCCCAGCCGCTCTGCATCACCACCCATTTGCGCGCCAAACGAGAAGCGGCCTCTGGTAGCGACCTGTCACCACCAGCTATGGCTTCCCTACAAGCCCATCGAGGCGACACAGATGCCGACGATGGCCAGCCAGAGTCTTCATCGCGCGCCTCGCTCTCCTCCGCTTCCACCACTAGCCTTGTCTTTGACCGCCTGCAAGACGAGGTCGAGAAGCATCCCTCCGACCGCAAGACAAGCTACCGCGATGCCGACACAAAGTACAAGCCCTTCCGCGACGACGATGACGACGATAGCAACGAACATGATCTAGAGAGCGGCCCTTTTCTGCCCCAATCTGGCACTCGCGCCAGCGTCAGTGCTACCATTGGCAAGCAGATTCCCATGGACCGCAGCCTGAAGCGTGTGCTCTTCATCGCCTTTACTGCCCTCGTCGCATTTTGGTGCCTTGGTCTGGCACTATTTCTATTTACCGGCGGCCACAAGCATGCAAGCGAAAGCGAGCACGATCCAGACGCCAACTCGCGAGGCTCCGGCAAGGCCGTCACCCTCGACCAGGTCCAATCCGGATACTGGTACCCCAACTCCCAATCCATTAGCTGGGTTGCTAGCCCAGACGGTCAGGATGGCCTGCTCCTCGAGCAAGGCACCAGCGACCTCGGTCACTTGGTTGTTGAAGATGTACGCAACAGCCAGGACACACCCGAAGCTGCTGCCAACGCTGTCAGAGCCCAAGTTCTCATGAAGGAATCCTCCTTCAAGTATGACGGCAAACAGTTCTATGCTACAAGGCTCACTCCCAGCCCGGACCTCAAGAGTGTCCTCATCGCTGTCGAACAGCAAAAGAACTGGAGACACTCATTCACTGCTGTATACTATATCCTGGACGTCGAGACGCAAGGTATACAGCCGTTGGTCCCCTGGGAGGATGACGTCCGCGTCCAGCTCGCCACCTGGAGCCCTCAGAGCGACGCAATTGCCTTTACCCGTGACAACAACATGTACATTCGTCATACCAAAGGCAGCAAACAGATCGTTCAAGTCACAAAGGACGGGGGCCCCGAATACTTTTACGGTATTCCGGATTGGGTGTATGAAGAAGAGGTCTTCGGCGGAAACAGCGCTACCTGGTGGTCTGCTGACGGCAAGTATCTTGCCTTTCTGCGCACCAACGAGACTGGCGTGCCCGAGTATCCCGTCCAGTACTTCAGATCAAGACCTAGCGGCAGCAAGCCCGCTGAGGGCGAAGAGGCCTATCCTGATGTCGTCAACATCAAGTACCCCAAAGCGGGCTCCCACAACCCAGTCGTCGACCTCCTCCTGTTTGACGTTGACGCAGGCGAGGTCTTTTCTGCGCATACCGAGGGCGAGTTCTCTCCGGACGACCGCATCATCAACAATGTCCTCTGGGCTGGCGACAAACTCCTTGTTAAGGAGACGAATCGGGTAAGCGATTTTCTCAAAGTCCTTCTCATTGACGTGTCCAATCGCAAAGGCAAGGTGGTCAACTCGGTCAACGTCAACGACATTGACGGCGGCTGGTTTGAAATCTCACACACCATGACCTACGTCCCCGCCGACTGGTCCAAGGGCCGCAGGTACGACGGCTACATTGACGGCATCATCCACGATGGCTACGAGCACATTGGCTACTTCACCCCCCTCAACAACAGCGAGCCGGTCCTCCTGACCTCGGGTCCGTGGGAGGTTGAAAACGCGCCCTCTGCCGTTGACCTCGACAACAACCTGGTGTATTTTGTCGCCACCAAAGAATCCTCCATCCAGCGCCACGTCTACTCGGTCAAGCTCGACGGGTCTGAGCTAGCGCCCTTCACCGACACGTCCGAGGCGGCCTACTATGGCGCCAGCTTCTCCTCGGGCGCCGGCTACGCGCTGCTCTCCAACCGCGGCCCCAAGGTGCCCACGCAGCGGATCGTCGCCACGCCCTCCAACGCCGCCTCGTACAGCCGCGTGCTCGAGGACAACGCCGAGCTTGCCGACCGCGCGCGCAAGCACGCGCTCCCCCTCCTCAACTACGGCACCGTCAACGTCTCCGACGGTGTCGCCCTCAACTACGTCGAGCGGCGCCCCCCGCACTTTGACCCGAGCAAGACGTACCCCGTGCTCTTCCAGCAGTACTCGGGCCCCAACTCGCAGACCGTCACCAAGCGCTTCGCCGTCGACTTCCAGTCGTACGTCGCCGCGAACCTCGGCTACGTCGTCGTCACCGTGGATCCGCGCGGCACCGGCTTCAAGGGTCGCGCGCACCGCGTCGCCGTCCGCGGGCAGCTCGGCGTCGTCGAGGCGCAGGACCACATCGCCGCCGCGCGCCACTTCGCCGCCCGGCCGTACGTCGACCCCGCCCGGCTCGCCCTCTGGGGCTGGTCCTACGGCGGCTTCCAGACGCTCAAGACGCTCGAGGCCGACGCCGGCGCCACCTTCTCCTACGGCATGGCCGTCGCGCCCGTCACCGACTGGCGCTTCTACGACTCCATCTACACCGAGCGCTACATGCGCACCCCGCAGGACAACCCGGACGGCTACACCGCCGCGCGCGTCGGGAACAATGCTACCGCTCTGGGAGGGGTTGTCCGCTTCCTGCTCATGCACGGCTCCGCGGACGACAACGTGCACTTCCAAAACTCCCTCACCCTCCTCGACGACCTCGACCTCGCGGGCGTCGAGAACTTCGACGTCCACGTCTTCCCGGACAGTGACCACAGCATCTCCTTTCACAACGGCAACAAGATTGTCGAGTTTTTTTTTTTTTTTTTTTTTTTGCTTTGATTTCAAGATGTACTTTGATTTGAAAAGATGCCCGTCCCTCTGATGAACTTGCTGAATTATCCGCTGACGCAAAAAAACGTAGAACTCAACAATTGGCTCATCAACGCTTTCAACGGGGAATGGCTCAAGGTCGCCCATCCCAAGCCTAACCCCGTCAGGCGCTTCTTGGAGAGACTGGGCTTGTGAATTCTTTTGTAGCGATGAATAGAAATGGGAAGGCTACTTGCGAAATGTGTATTTTCTCAGTCTTGTTTATATCAGTTAGCCATCATGCGAATAAATAGCATTGTCCTTTTTTTTTTAACCAAATCGAAATTCAAATAGCGACATTAATTGGATAAGCTATCATACACATACAACACGCAAAGTTGCCATCCTGGCTCGCAAGTTTCATGACTGCAACCCCTCGAATCAGCTTCCCTTTACCTCCCCGCTTCTGTCTTTCAACAAAGAAATCATTCGCGTCAGCCGAATGTATATGAGCATCAAGATCAAACGCGAATAAATATGCCCATTTCTCTTCCTCTACTCTAACCCCCATCGAATTCTTTCGCTTACTTGCCCCCGTGTATTTAGTTGCTTTCGTTTTCAGTACGCCACCGCCTAATCCAAGGCTAGGAAGGAGGTTCAACCAATACCAGTATAGTTTTGACCCTCCAAGATACAGCCTTTTCTGCGTAAATAATTTGTCATGACAGTGCACCACAAGGATTCATATCTTGCAATGCTTAAAATCCGTAGCCGGTAGGCTGGGGAGCGAAGCCATTTCCTTGGCCATAGCCAGGAGCAGGTGAAGCGGCGCCTCCAGGGCCGGCAGTGATCATCAGGCGGCCAGCACCAAGGATGGGAGTATTATCTTCTGTCTTTGTTTGCTCCTGTTCCTTGGCCTTGCGAGCCTCATTGTCAGCCTCGAGAAGTGCAATCTTCTTGGTCTGCTGGGCGAGCATGTTAATCATGTAGGGCATGGTGAAGTCGTTGAGGCCATGGCGCCATGACAGCTCGAGAACAACGTCGGGCCGGATGAGCTCGTTGCAAGAATACAGCATGCCAGTATAGCACTCGCGGTGACCAATGTCGACAAACTATGGCGCAGTCAGTAAATTGTCAATTAGCAGGACCGAGACGGTACTTACGTAGCGAAGGAGATCCTCCACAATGTCGGCCTTGGCGGAAATGGCAGCGGTTTCAATGGCATCCTTGAACAACTTATCTTGCTTGGATAAAGCAATGGATTTCTCCCAGCGCTTGTTTTTGCGGTAGATGCTAGCAGCGATCTGGCGGAAGAAAATCAGATCATGTTTCTCGAGGCGGCCAGCCAGATCGACGGCGTCGTAATTATCGTAGTTCTGGACCGAGTCACGAAGCGTCTTGTAGTCTTCTTCCTCGATGAGCAGGTCATTGACAGCCTCGTTGACAGTGCGCTTGTTTTGACTCTGCACGTTCAGCAGGAAGGGCTTGATAAGTGGCAGGCTGTCGTTCTTCTGGAACATCTTGACCACGCGGTTAACATCGACACGGGCCGTCAGGGCAGCAAGCAGGTCCGTCAGCAACGAGGGGTGCTGCTCGACGTAGAACTTGATGGCACGGTAGTAAATTTCCAAGTTGGCAACCTTGACAACGATCTCCTTGAACTGCTGATGATCCCAGGAGTTCTCAGGACGTTCAATGACAGCAAGGGCAGCATTGTCAAACTCGTCATAGTGATAGTAGCAGAAGACCAATTCGGGCCACAGGTTGGCTTCCTCGCACGCGCGGATCATCTTAGGCATGTTCATTCTGGACCAGAAGATCTTGATGTGCTCCATCAGGCGCTCGGGATGATACTTGGACAAGGCAATACCAAGTTCGGTGAACATGCCCATGTGCGCGCGCTCAAGACCCAGGCCCTGCTCGAGGAGGCTGATGAGCTCATCAAAGTAGCCGTTATATTCGTAGTCCTTGACAAGCTCCTGCAGCTGTTCGGCATCGACGATGAGGTTCAGACCGCAGATCTGCGCAAGGCGGAATTCCTTCTTGGTTACGCAAGCGCCATGTACCTGCTTCCAGACCTTGATGTTGTTGGCCTTACGCGCGCAATCAACAGCGGCTTGGTAATCCTCGAGGTGGACGAGGGTAGTGGCGAGCTTGGCCCAGTTCGAGATACTGCTGAAGAAAATCTTGGATGCCTCATAGAGCCCCTCATTGTAGGCCTTATCACCAGACTCTTCAATATTGGCGACGTTGGTGGCACGAAGGAAGTCCTCGAGCTCGGACAGCTGGTCAAGTCGAGCGTACGAGAATGCGAGAGCGGTATCAATAACAGGCTCACGCAGAGTCTTGCGAGCCATGCGAAGGAAGCGGACAAGGTCCTCATTCTTGCCAGCATGGGTAGCAATCTCGATAACTTCGTTGTAGTTGGAAGGGTCCTCAGCTTTGATGTAAGAATCAATACCATCAGTGACACGCAGACCATCCAGCTGGGCTTTGGCGACCTTGCTCCAGACTTCAGGCAGGTCAACCTCCTCAGCATAAGCTTGGGCGCGGTCAATGCTCACGACGTGCTCAACAAGAACGTTGACAGCCTCAGACTTGTTGTCGGCCTTCTTGTAAATCTCGAAAGCCTCTTCGTGGAGGCCAACGTCAATGCAGGAGGTGGCGATCTCGTCAGCGTTGTAGCCGTCAAGCTTGTGAATGTAGTCCATGACACGGCCCTTGTCGGCCTTGGCGGCGGTGAACAAAAGAAGGTTCTGGAGGTTCTGGTTGTCGCTGAAGGGAGAAGGCTCGAGAACGATCTTCTCGAGCAGCTCAATGAGCTCGAGTGGCAGATCATTTTCAAGTAGCGCAGCGACAGCAACAGAGACCTTTGCAGGGTCCGTAGACTCAGGAACAGCAGTGGCAGTGACCTGGTCGACAACAGAGCGTCGGTGAATGTTGTTCTCGCTTAGGACGAAGTTCCACAGCTCATTATCGGAACGCTCGAGCAGGTAACGAGCCTGGGCGCGGTACATGGAGTTCTCATTGGTAATGTTGACGAGCTCGAGGTCATTCTGGCCCTTGGAGTAGGCAATGTAGGCAAGGTTGGGATCACGCTTCTCGCAGTATTTACCGACTGTGAGAGTGTCGTATTGGTCGTTCTCTTTCAGAAACTTCTCAGGGTTGTTGTTTGAGTCGATGTAGATCTTGGCGAGAGCGTTGAAAACGGCCTGCTGTTGGTTGCCCGCCTGAAGAGTGGCCTCGAGGAAGGGCAGTAGGAGCTTGAGACGATTGCGAGACTCAACTTCGGAAACAAGCTCATCAATGCTGATCTCCTGCGCGTTGACGGTGCTGAGAAGCTGCTTGATGATGTTCTCCTCACAGTCGACATCGAGCAGCCCACCAACAACGGCGGGGGTTCGCGAAGGGTTGACACGTTGGACGTATGCTTCGATAGCCTGGAACTGCTTGTTCTGGTACAGAAACAGGATGAGGTCGTGAACGAAGTTGAACCGGTCGCAGACAATGATAAGAGGAAGTTGCTCGGGAAGCTTGGCCTCCTTGAGGAAGTTCTTCACCTTCTCGGGGTTGTAGCTGTTGCTATCACGGCAGATGCGCTCAACCTCGTTGAACTGGCCCATCTTAGTGGCAGCCTCAATGTACTTGAAGTGCACATCGGGGTCCTCAGATAGGTTCACAATGCTTCCCAGGTAGTAGAAAAGACCCTCAGAAGTCTTGTACTTCTCAAAGAGGTCAATAAGACGGACAGGTCCAAGAAGCTCAGAGTACTTGGTGGCGATGTTGACGACGGACTGCAGGTTCTGGCGGATGTTGGCCTTCATCATCGCATCGAGACAGTCTAGGGACTGCTCAACAGAGAGCTTGCCAAAGAAGCCAGAGAGCCACTCGGGGTTGAAGTTGGGGCTGCCGGGGATGTTGACGATGACACGCTTGATGGCCTCGGGGTCCTCGTAGAGCTCCAGGGCCTTTTGCGGAAGGCCGGCCTGCTCGCAAAGCTGGGCGATGCGGCCCTTGTCAAAGTGGGTGAACATGTCGTTGCCCAGGATAGCCTCAGCGACCTGAGGAGCGTGCATCAAATTCATCTCCAAGAGTCTGGTCTGGAGACGCGCGTGTTCGGGCTTGTTGTCCTTGAGGGCATCAAGGAGGAAAGCCGTGGCCTGTTGAACCATGCCCTGGGACTGGAAGATGTCACAAACGCGCTCAAAGTCGACAAGAGGGCCCTGATCGCTGTTAGCGAGAGCAGTGGCAAACTCGGCGCCCTTCTCCGGGTTGACACGGATGATGTGCTGAAGTAGCTGGATGTAGTCCGGCTTGTAGCCGGTCTGCGCAGAGTAAGGAAGAATCTTGTCAAACTGCCCGGTCTCGGCAAATCCAGCAACGACTTTTTGGGGCACATTGGCCTTGAGGTAGATGGTCAGGGCCATGTTGACGTCGTACGGCCGAACCATGTCGCCGAGTCGTTCGGAGCAGTCGAGCTTGTTCTCGCCAAGCCATTTCTCGAGGAGGTGCTTGCGGTTTTGCTGCAGCACGGGCTGCGCCAGCTCGATCGTCTCGTGCTCGTTGAGAGTACCCTTGTCGAGCAGCATACCGAAGTACTGGAGGGTGAAGGCCATTTGGCCGGGTTGGGTAGGAAGACGCTTGAATTTTTCGATGGTCTCTGCGGTTCGCAGGAAACCACGAGGCGAGTTGGCGGCAATCTTGGCAGCCTCCTGGTAGTTACCGGCATTGAAGAGCTGGTCAAACTGTCTGGCGTAGAGGTTATCGGCACCAGGTAGACCAGCTCGTGAAGCCAGCTTGATGGCAATCTCGGTATTGGCGGGATTATCCAGAAGGTAGGGAATAACGGTGGTCTCATCGACGATCACCGAGAGCACTTGACCCTTGCGATTGATGCCCACGAGACCAGCCGAGGCACTGTCCGCGCACGTTGTGAATATGGTTTCACTTGAGATGCGGTTCATGAAGATGAGAGTGGCTGTCTCCAGATCGTAGAGATGGATAAAGCCGTACTTGGTGACCATGTAGACAACACCATATTTCTGCGAGATTTGAAGGGCGACGGGGAAATCGTTGGTGGCCTCTGGAGGAAAGAAAATGTCGACGGCCTTTTTCTGAAAAACAGGATTCGAATCGGCGTGGTCGACCTCGACAACGTGGAGCTTGGCGCCCGTGGCAGTGCGCACGGCGAAGCTGAAGAGTTTGGTATCTTGAGGAGCGCCCTCGAGGCGAAGCGTGCCGAAGGAGGCGGCGTGGCCCTCGATGGCCTGGCTAATGCCACGGTCCTTGGAATACAGTTGCATAGCGCCGACGACACGGCCCTGCTGCTGGGAGATGCCGACGACGACCATCCACTTGCCGTCGCTGTTAACGCGGTAGTTGATGATCTGGCAGCCATTGAGATTGGCATTACGCTCAAACACCTTTACAGGGCTCTCCTGGGCAGCATCGGTGATGTCCCAGTGGAATACACTGGTAGTGGTGACAAGACCAAGAGTGCTGTCGCTGACCCATCTCCAGAACTGTACGTCTTCGTTCATGGTGAAGGACTTGAGCTTCTTCTTCTGCTCGAGGTCGAAGATCTGTAGCGTTCTGGACTGCGCCTTTAGGGCAATAATGTTCTTGCTCCAATGCATGATGGCGCTGTCGGCCTTGATGGGCCGACGTGTGACGTTGTTGCCATTTTTGAGCTCGACAATGACGACCTCTGGTGAGGCACCCTCTGTCTTTTGTTCTCGGATGCAAATGTAGGAGTCGGATTCGAGAGTCTGCGGGACAAGGTAAAGTGATCAATTAGCCTCCTCGAGATATTTAGCATGGCTGTGAGCAGGATGCAAGGACTTACGCAGGAGTTGAAGCCAATCGATTGCGCGTCAACGCCGACACTGCCGAGCTGGACGAGCTCCTGAAACTTGATGGGTAGGGGCGCCATGGCGCCGGGTGTGAGTCTCTATCGGGCGACGAAGGATATTTCCGCGGCAATTGGGATGCAGACTCGAGGGTTGTAGCGACAAGGCGCTATTCAATGACGTTTAAGGAGGTGGGAGCTTGTGGCCCGACGCCCATGCAACAGTGCGGGCGCTGTAGAGGCGCAAAGCAGCTCGAGTAGAAAATGAAAGGGGACGCAGGAGAATTAAAAAAAGAAAATGAAAGGAGAGAATGTAGCGAGATGGTGCTTCCAAAGCGGGGGGAAGGGACGGAAGAATCGTCGCGTGTTTGCAGAGGATGAAGGTTGTTTGATGAGGTAAAGGAGAAAGGCTGGTGGTGCTAGCTCAGGCATTTGGGGCTTACCTGTCACTTGCGCGACCTGTCCTTCCAAAGAGGGCCTGGGGAACGGCAGGCTACAGCAAGAGCAAGAGGAGCAGAGGTACCTACAGTAGGTGCCTAAGCTACGAAGTACATACGTACCTTCAGGTACCTTACCTTGAGCCATTACGCAGGCAGCTAAACACAGCGGACGGACGATTGGCTCAGGCACGCCCGCCTAGTGGGCTTGCCCCAATCAAATTGGAAACTGGTGGATCAATCATGTTCCGGCCTAGTACGACTTCTGGTTGGCTGGCATGTGCGTTTGTTGCTGGGCACTGCCCACCACAGATGGCCAGTGCGGCAGTGCTGCCAGCTGGCAGAGATACAGTGTAACAAGGTCTAACTAGTAGTTAATTTACCTCTTGGTGATGGCTTCAATACAGTGAAGCATAATTCCGAATTCACTTCCATAGCTGCTACATATTTCATCCCCTCTCCTGATTCTTGCCCGCCCCTGCTCGGATTATTTCATCTTTTCCCACTTTCAGTTCTATAATCACCAAAAATCATTAAAGCTGTCACATCATTTAATAACCTCTGCAAACCGAGTGCATTCCTCCCTCCCTCCGCACCGCACCAAACCTGACCTTACATCAGGGAAGAAAACAGTCTGCCAAAGTTGGCCTTTTACACCCGTACTCATGAATCGCTCATGGTTGTGAAGAATTGTTGCTGTATCCTGAAAATCTATCTTGTAGCATAACCTGCGAGCCTTTCGTAGTAGGTTCGTAGTACATATGTCATTGCCATTTGGATTCAGAGCATCCCTGGACAACATAATACTTGAATATCCGCAGTCTCAATATCCACCGCAGATGTTTGATCCTGATCGGCGTCAAAACCTCCTATCAACTGAGATGCACCTGGTCTATATGATGCGTCACTGCCGTCTCGTCGCCCTCAAAGTCCTGGCACATGGGACAAGTCACCGTCGGGGCTGCCGCCTGCTTTGGGGCCGTAGATTCTCCAAAGCCCGGGGGCAGAAAGTCTGCCAGGCTCCTCTCCGGCGGCCCCTCCAGATAGTCGTCGTTGCGCACATCCGTGTATCGATGTGAAAACCTCGTACTGCCGCCGCCTCTGCGCGCCGGACCTTCAGTCGTCAATCCCGTGTCGTTCTCGGAAGACGGCAAATCCTCTCCATTGCTCGGCGTCTTGTCGAGGCGCTGAACTCGGCCGACCTGGCTGTCGCGCAGTCGCACTTTGATGCCCCGCGGATGGTTGCCCGCGGTGAGCACCTCGTCCACCACGCCGCGCGTCTCCCGCCCCGTAGGTTGATCCTCCTTGAGAATGATGAAGACGCCGGCGCCGGGCACGACTTGTCGGATTGTAGGCACCGTTCCGGCGGCCTGCTGCGGCGTGGCTGGAGGCCTGTGATGCTGTCCGCCACCTCCTCTGCCTCTGCCGCCACGGCCGCCGCGGTCGTTTCCTCTCGGTGGCCGCGGCTGGCGGTTCCGAGGGCGTTCCATAGAAAACTCCCTGATATGGATATTTTGGAGATTTTTTTTTACGTGAATGCTAGCGAGTGCGCGTTGCATCAGATGAAATTGAGTGTTGGTGAATAGTTGAGGTTTGCATCCTTCCGACCGGCTGGACCCATTGCTAGAACGCCAGCATCAGCGCATGTATGTCGAGAGAAGAGGTGACTACCAACGACGAAACATAGGGAGCCTTTAACTCCGACTTCTGAGTCAATTATTTACATTCTTCGATGCTGAATACAGCAGTCTTAAAAATAAAGATTTGGTACATTTCTGTTCTCTGTGCTCGGAAGACGTAATATGCCCTCAGCATGCATGCTGCGTAAAATCATTCTTGAATAAATCTCGAATATCTAAAATATATTCCACGACCCAAAAATAAAAAGACCAATCCCAAACTCCATGCATGCAGAGACAATGAGCGTGAGTTTGTATGAGGAATGATGAGCAACAACCACCAGCTCACAAGTAAACGCGAACCGCCGTCCGCACAATTAACCTTTCGAAAGACACTGCAACAATAAAAGCAACAAAAGCACACCCTCTCAAACCTGGCCCTTTTCCGGCTCCGGCTTCCTGCGAATGTCGGTCCAACCGGTGCCCCACGAAAAAATGAACATGCACACGCAAATGGCCGCAATGGCGTAAAACACCTCGTTGACGCCCAGCGAGTACGCCTCGAGGACCTGCGCGATCTTGTCCGCCGAGACGACGCTCTTGATGTCCGCCGCGCCGGCGTTGATGATCTTGTCCGCGCCAATCTCCGGCAGGCGGCGGTTCAGCTCCTGCTTCAGCTTGGTGTTGAAGAGCGTGTTGATGATGGCGAGGAAGACGGAGCCGAAGAAGGTCTGGAACAGAACCATGGTGGCCGTGGCGACGGAGGCCAGCGCCGGCGGCGTGTGCGCCTGGATGGCGATGACGGGCATCTGAAAGGCCATGCCGCGGCCGACGCCGAGCAGCACCTGGTACCCGGCCCAGGTGAGCGTGCCGGTGTGCGGCCCCCAGGTGGACAGCAGGCCGTTGGCGACGGCGATGATGACGGCGCTGACCACCATGAAGGGCAGGTAGTAGCCGACGCGCTGGACGACGCCGCCGCAGACGACCGTGGCGACCAGCTGCGTCACGATGGCCGGCAGCATCGACACGCCGCTGCGTAGCGGCGACATCCCCCGCACCGTCTGGAAGTACACCGGCAGGTAGTACCCGGCGCCCAGCATCGTCGAGAACATGAACATGCTCGCCACGCACGCCGTCCACACCTCGCGCTTCCCGATGATCGGTAGCGGGATCATCGCCGTCATCCCCGCGCGCCTCTCCCACAGCAAGAACAGCACCACCTCCACGCCGCCGCCCACAAACAAGCCGATAATCGTCGGCGAGCTCCACGCAAACTTGCCGCCGCCAAACTCCAGCGCCAGCAGGATCATCACCGCCGCCGGCGCGAACAGCGCGAAGCCCGGCACGTCCATCGTGCGCAGCGTCAGCTTGCCCGTGTTCTGCACGTACCGGCGCTTGTCCGGGATGGCGGTGACGAGGAAGGCGACGACGGTGACGGCGCCGACGGGCAGGTTGATGTAGAAGCACCAGCGCCAGGAGGTGAACTCGGTGAGGGCGCCGCCGATGAGGGGCCCGGCCACGAGGCCCATCTGGCAGACGCCGATGAGGATGCCCATCAGCTGCGGGCGCTTCTCCATGGGCGCGCAGGCGGTGACGATGGCGAAGCTGCCGTTGGTCAGGCCCGAGGCGCCGGCGCCGGCGACGGTGCGCCCGATGATGATCATGGTCGACGAGGTGGCGACGCCGCAGAGCAGGTTGCCGAGCTCGAAGACGAGGAAGAAGGCGAGGAAGGTCCACTTGGCGTGGAAGTAAGTGTAGAACTTGCCCGAGAGCGGTTGGAGAGCGGCGCTGCGTGATTGTCAGTATGCATGTATGGGTGAGTTGAGGAGGGGAGGAGATGGATTGATTCCGTACCTGGCCAGGTTATAAGTGGCGCCATACCAGCCAATGTCTGTGAGGGAGTGAAAGTCACTCGTAATCTTGGGGATCGCCTGTGGAGTGATGATATGAGCAAATGATTCAGAATTGTCTGTCCAATCCCTCGTCCAACTTACCGTCACAAGAATCGACACATCCAGCAGGTACAGGAAGCACGCCAGCGTAATCGCCACCATGACACTGACCAGTCGCCAGCCATGGATATACTCTGGCACCACCTGCTCCTCCTCCTTCTCCGCCTCGGATTTCCGCAGGATCGACTCTGGCGTGTACGACCCGTCCCGCTCCACCTCCGTCTCCTCACCCGGATCCATACCCAAGACCTCCTTCATCTTGGACGAGTGCAGCGTGCGCAAGTCCGCCGGCAGCTGCGGCACCGCCGGCACCGCCTCCGCCTCCCCGAGCGCCGAGAAGTCGATCGGCAGCTCGTCCTTGTCGCGAATCAGGCTGCGGCGCGCCGCGTTGTACGACAGGCGCACGTCGAACATGTCAAGCCCGTAGTTAGTCTCCGGGTTGGTCGCGATGGAAGCCCGCTTCTCGCGGAGCACGGCGAAGTCAAGCGGCTCCAGGTCGATCTCGGGCAGCTGCGGCGCTCGCTCGGCGACGGTCGAGGCGGACCGGTTGTGGGAGACGGTTGCGGTGGCCGAGGAGGAGGACCGGCTGCCCACGGGGTTGGTCAGGCTTCGTTTGGAGCGACCCATCTTGGGGATCGTTGTCGTGTGATGCTGTCTTCGATCAAGCACAGGGGATGGCTGGTTGTTCTCGTCTGTTGGCTCTCCGATAAAGTAAGCTCCAATGCTGTTCGATGAAATGAGCTATGTCGTCGCAGTATCGCTGTATCGCTGTACTGTCGTGTAAGTGAGTTCGACTAGCCACCATGAGTGTACAAGTATGCAACAGTATACATGTCTAAAGACAGAGCAGGTGGGCACAACAGTATAGATAAAGAAAACACTAATTCCACTTGATCAATTACAGAAAGCCTCCGCATGGCCCTCCCCGGCCATGATCCAACTCCTGTCTGTCACCCCGGGGTCAGCTCTGGTGCAGCCCCTGGGGTTGGGTCATCTTACACGATGGAGCCCTCCGAAGTTGCCACGCCTTGCAGCGAACTTACTTCCCTTATTGAGACTATACCTTTTTCTTACTTCGCCCTGTCTGCTACCTCTGATTGCCTATTCGATTCCCAATGCACCGCCCACTCCGCCCGAATCCCGTATTAATAGGGTGGTGGCTGCCCGCAACCCCGTCAGCAACGCCGCACGGGAAACCCTACCTCAATAGGACAAGAGGGTAAGCACAACTCAAATCCCGGTTTTGCGCCATATTACAGCTGTCGTTTTTCTTCTAGAACGCCACTACACTTCTATTCTCTGCTTTCGGTGGCTGCGTGATCGAGGTCATTTTTAACACAAACCTTGCTGTATAGAATGTCTCAGTTGTCGCGTGGCTATCCGCCGTGATCGGTGAAGATGGATCCACAGTTCCAACTTTCGACAACGTCTGGCATCTGCTGGAGAGGGACTGTTGTTTTTCTTCTTTCTTATGATGTAATATAATCTCTCGAAATACTCTCGACCTGACTAGCTCTTATTGTACCCTTGTTACAGCCAAATCATAGGCAAGATAGTCACTACACTACATGAGACCACCCACTCTGCTGGGCATGTAAGCAGATTCTCTCGCCCCAACTTAGCTTTTTGAACTAAATTTCCAGTATCCCGATCCGGCAATCGTTATGCTGCAGAAGAAAAGCCGGTCCTGCTCCCCGTATTTAATAATTTTGGTGTTGGGGGGGCGGACAAGGGAGCCGCCGATTCCCTCTTGCTAATCTGCGATGTCTGTCCAATCTCGCCTTACCTGTTCTAAGACCATTACTCAAGGCGGGGTAATCTTTGCGACTCCCCTCATGGCGACCGCCAACAAAGACCATTTACGTTACTTGTTGGGGGGGTTGATCGTAGAGCGTGCGTCATGGACCAGCTGTGAATGTCCTCCAGGATGACATGCCTAAGAGTGCGTCTTGGAAGGGGAGCCGTTTGGGGTCATTCAGTACGGATAGCTGGCTTTTGCATTCAAGGCTGGCCAAGGTTGCATCCGGCATCGACAAAGTAAAAAAGCCACATGGACAGCCCTGGCCTGGTCGACGGGATTCGCGTAACTCGGCTCCGCTCGGCCGCGTTCAAGACTCGACAAACACCTGACTTGTGTCTCGCGAACGCCTGTTCTCGAATAAAAAATGCAAGCCGAGGGGCGAATAGAATTCTGGGAATTTCCATCAGATGAATGGGGCTGTGAGCTAAAAACGAGGCTCAACTGCGGTGCCATTTATCAGTCTCTATCGGAATCACCACCGGCCAGAGTCAGTGACAGGCCGAGGGTCCATTCCCAGTAATTAATTACATACAAGAGATTCGCAGTTTAGTGCAATGCTGGGTAGAATGAATTTCGCTAAATAAAGAACAGGTAGGAACTCTCGACTCTATTTGTTGGTGTCGGTGTGTGCATGTCCGCTTATATCGTATCGCATCGTAAGGTACGGAAAAGAAAGAAAAGAGCGGGATGCCGCGCAAGGTCGTCATTGCATATCCCCCCAGGGGCCAAATATATCCGCCATCCACGACATGTCGTTAAAATCAATGGGCTCGCCGTCTACCATTGTATCGAGAAGCATCGGCTGCTCAGTTGCAGCCCTGCTGGTGCTGTTTTGCTGGCTATTGGGAGTGGGCATGGTGCCAGAATGCTTCGACACAATGGGCTGCCACATGAGACGCAGGTTGCGCATCTGCTTCGCACCTTTTTGGAAAAGATTACCCTGCACTTGCTGGTCGCGCATCGGGTATACACTTGCCACCTTCTCAAAAAGCTCAATCGTCCTGTCCACAATGTCCATCACGTCCACAGTCTGTCGTACCACCTCTTTGTCCCATGTCGGGTTGTCGGAGATGGTTAGCCTGTACAACATAACCTGCATCGTGGACAGGGCTACATATGTATGCAAGGGAAGACCGGCAATCTCGCCGAGCGGGATTGAGAAGAAGGCGTCGTAGAATGCTCGGATACACACGAGACACTGGTACATTGACTCAACGCTCTGGGTGTCCGGTATGCGTTGATTGGAAAATAGGCCGATGGCGTGGATCTGGCATTCTGTCGCAACCAGATGTGTAACAATGGTGTCTGGCATCTGTTAGCAATGCTGGGATGATTGGAGGGATGATTGAACAAACAATTGGTGGCAAAGCGTGGTGGCAGATTGGCTCTGATCGTGTTAAGTCTCTCCAGGAGACTCGGTTTATAGAGATATGATGGAATGTCTTTGGCGGGTGCGTTGGGAAGTAAATCTTGCATGAGCAGTCGGTGTGCTTCATCGCACACTTTCTGTATTTTGATAACAGTTGCCAGCATGGCATCGAGGTGTTGGTCATCACCGCGCTCGAGGATACTTAGAGACTCGTCCATGTGGCTTGTCCATGGCAATGTCTCTGTTCGCGCAGTGAGCGCATTGCATCTACTCAGGTCAGCAGGGGTATAAGGATGGGGGGTGCGTGACTGCACTTGCATTGATGTAAGAAACCATAAAGACAAGACGGCTCTTCTCTCATCCATTGTGCGAGCTTTAGGCGTGAGGGTGCTCATGTTCCAGGCCTTGAAGCCGACCGAGGAAAAGTGTTCCTGATTCGGCGGGCGCATCATGCCCTGTTCATAAATGACCAAGGTTGCTAATTGTGAAAACAAGACGACGAATGGCCTGGCACCTGGCCCCGTGTTTAATGTGGCCCTGTATAATGTGTTAAAAGTTGAAGTGTGACACAGATAAATAAGGGCAGACATACCATCCCAGATTTGCGATTAGGCCTTGCACAATGTCCATGTTGCGCTCGTGGTTCATGATGATGCGCTCTGACATTTCTCTGCGCACCTTCTCCCGTAGGAACTGCTGCTGCGAGTGTGAATCTGAGGCCAAGTTCATGATGGAAAGCCAGAGAAAGGGTCGTTCCATCTTCAGCGCTTTGGCACTCATGTCGGACGGCAGGTGAAGGAATGGTAAGCCTGGCAGCCAAGTGCGAAATTTTGCCAGGTAGACGTCAGCCTCTTCAGCTGTTGGGTCACGATGAAGCTGGCCTGAGGTCATGTTCGGGTCAATTGGTTTGCCGCCACGGCTCAGGACAGGCCCGCCGTTGTGCCTCTCAGTGGTCGCGGCCTGGGCAAGCGAGTCCAGCGCCGCAGTTTGCGATCTTGTTTGTTGCGGGACATGCTGCATGTGAGTGTAGCCCAGATGCTGGCGGTGCTGGGCAATCTGTTCTTGCAGATGCTGCTGGTGTTGTTCCTGGCCGGGATGACCCTGGGAGCTCTTGAGGATGGAAACGAGGTCGTCAAGTTTCTCCTCCAGCTGAGCTGTCCGTGACGCGGCCGTTCTCTTAGCGACCTTTTTCCTAGCCGTCGCAATCGGCTGGCAATCTTTTCCGAGACGATTGCAGCGTTCGCAGGCGCCACCGATGGCGGTAAGGATGCACTTGCACTTTGCGCGGGAGCAGTTGGTGCAAGATTGTCCGTAGCCAGCCGGCCGCGAGCCTCCTCCGGCAGAGAGGGTAGTTGACGGGGGCATTCGTGCAGACACGAGCGGCACTGCAACCGAGCGAGCGAGCAGAAAATCAAGCCCGAATGGACACCACTGGCCGGATAGGCGCAAAACCCGCTGCGAATGGGCGGCCGTTTACTTACTGACTACCTGCTGTGGGCAACTTGGCAGTGTTGGGCGTTTGGTTGGCCGCTGAACCCCGGGCGGGCGCTTGACTCGCGCTGTAAAATAAGAGAAAACGAGCTAGAGGGATGCTTAGGTGCCTGTAGGTAGGCAGATCCGGCGACTAGCAGTGTAGTGGGCGTTCAGGCGTTGATGGCAGAGCAAAAGCAGAGCGTGGGCATGACAAGAAACGGGCGGGATTCATCGAGTTAATGTAGGACGAAATCCGAGCTTTGTTCTTTGGTGGCTTTTGGTGGTTTTGGCAAGACCAAAGCCGGCATGACAGGCTGATGTAAGCCCCGCAAGAGAAGATCTGGCCCGCGCGCTGGCTGGGCTGGGCTCTTTGGCTGGCCGCTACAAACGCTGACGAGACGTGCAAAGACAACACAATTCAAACCGTCACAATAATATTTTAATCACCTCAAACTCATCTCGCCATCCGTTGCCACGGAGTCAGCCTCCATGGACTTGGACTCGCCATTTTCCTGCATAATCACACTGCAGATGGTGTGACGTGCCTTGTTGCTGGCGCCTGGGTCGCTGTCCTCCCTCCCCGCCAATCCTCCTCGTTCCCTAGAGACGGTAGGCTTTGCCAAGTTGCATGCGAAAAAGATGAGCAGCGCCTACATAATGTCAGCTCCAACTAACCCGTGCCAAACTAGGATACTCCATCAACTCTGGATACTAGAGCAATCAGCGATTCAACGTCAGTATAACTAGAAGGCGATGCCCCGAACCCTCGCGCCACACCTTGATCCATCCGACGCCGCTCAGCTCTGCGCCGGCAGCTGAGACACGCATCTGCGTTTGATAAGGTGGCGGCCGGCCGAGAGCCTGACCTGCCAAACCGGCCGTTCCTCTTCAATGAGTTCCGACCAGCTCTTCAATAGCTCTAAACTCCTTCGGTGAAGAAGTTCTACAAATGCATACGATACTCAAGACTTTTTAATCACATGTTCTCTTCAGTGCCAACTTTCCCTCTAACAAACTGGTTACCGATTTAGGAACACACTGATCCATCATCCGATCATCAGCATAGCGGGAAACCTTTCCCCATGTGGCAAGGCCCTGGAACTGTTGATCAGCCAAGAGCCCAAGGCAAGCCACACCCTGCTCATTGCGCAACTCCCAGAAACATGTTCAAGCCCGAGAAAGTACAGATTACTTTGGCCCGGATACTTGTAAGCGTATCAACGACGATGGTGTGCTGCAATTGTGAGTTCCAAAAGAACTCGCTAGGCTATCCACAACACTCTCTACATAGCTTGTCTTGATCCGGAGAGGGTGAGTGAGACCTTCATCACTTGGCAGTGCCCCAGGGCATCAATCCTGGTCGTGGTACTATCCCAGCGCCAGCATCGTAGAACTGCTGGCTGGACAACAGCGTGGGCGAAGCAAAACTCGAACTTCCTGAGTTACTAACACAGCGATTATGCCTCGAATCTCCGTTGCTTATTTTAATTATGATTTACCAAAAGTGCGGTTCTTTTCAGGGCTACGAGTATTCGAGCCTGACCAGTCTGCTAATCATTTAGAGGCGGCATCAACACCAAGCAAAACTCGATGCGCAGTTATTTCATTTTCTTAAAAGAAAACAAAAAAGAGAAAGAAAGAAAGAAAGAAAAGCACAGATCACTGTAGTTTTCCTACGCCGCGATTCATAAAATGATTGAATTTGAAGCTGGATCCGATGCCCATGTTAACGTGGGAGCCATCTTACCCTTACCCTGCCGAGATCACCACACAACTGTCCTGCGGAGAGCCTGCATTATTAGTCACGAGGCCCACTGGAGTATATTTGCCACAGTCCTCTTATAACTGATCTTCTTATGTGTATTTATAGAGATCTAGGCAGCAGGCTCTATCGAGTTGATGACGACTGGTAGCCTGGACTAGTCTGCAGCCTAGCCAGGCTGCCTCATAAGTTGTGCGGACTGACGTATGCCTTCCTGAGAGAAGGCAACGGGTTGGGCTGAAAGGGCTGTGGTTATAAGCGGTTATCGGAAGAGGGGAGTCAGTGACTCGGGCAGATGATTAGCGAGTAGACACGGCTGGAAAGTTTCGGCATCGTGAATGTACTGCTACCATATTTTACACAGATCCTTCCTTGAACCCTCGCCCGTGCACCTACTTCGTATATACATACTCTGGAGGCCTGTTCTTTTTCGATAGATTTACAAAGGCCCTGATTGGTATCAATAGGTCCTAATCCAGGCGCTCTTACGCATCACTCAATTCAAACCAGATCATCTTTATGAAGTTCGCCGTCGCCTCCTACTCCCGGTCTGCGGGCCGACGGTACCTACCAGTATATACCAGCCAACTGAGACATAACAGTAAACACAAAAGTTTTAGCAGAAACTGAGGCGACTACGGATTACTACTGGCTGGATTTCACCTCTTTTATGAACTCGCTCATGAGGACGGCTGCACCCTACGATCGACATCTGTGCCGCTCCCGCGCCGCAGATCTCTGGCAAACGTCCTTCTATCCGTAGTATTTCCTGGTGCCAGCTCCAAGAATGAGATCTCCGTTCCCACGTGCAGCTTGGATACCTAGTAATTCGGCCGTTAGTACGGAGTAATCTGTATTGGTGGCACATGCCGTGAATGTATGCAGGTCTTACCGGCACAGGTCTTATCCGGCCAGGTGCAGTTGTTGATAATCCACAGTACCGCATCGGCCACGTCACGGCTGTTCCTCTTTTTGTCAACACACGATGCTGCATCTTCTGAATCTGCTCTCGTTGATAGAATCTCATACCAGTGCGACGAGGCGCCGCTGAACAGGCGAGCTTGTCCTACGATGACGGGCGTCACCTGCGGAGCAGAAGTGGGAAGTTTCCCGCCCGACTCGGCAGTCGCGGGTCTCGAGTCGCAATAAACAATAATAGCAGGGAATTATGTTGTCAACCCATGTGTAACGCTTATCGTCATGGCCGCAGACGGGCTGGTAGGGTGCTGCACTCTGGACGGAGCAGCGCCGACAAGCGACAAAAGACCGAGGGCGATGACGGGCAACATTATCACTCAGCAAGATGTTTCAAGTTCAATGATGTTATGGCAACTCTTTAGCCGGCAGTGGTGTCGGGATTGCCAACGATGCTGCTTGTCTTATTTATACGTTGATATACTCGGTTGAAATCAGGCTGAGCCTCTCAGCAAAACATTCAACAGCAAACATGATCCTGAAACCGATTGAAATGCAAGGACGGTATTCTGAACAGCCTTCTTCCGCCTGCACCGCGGAGCGCCCGCATTCGCCTGTCTTCGTCACAGTTGGGTGCAGCAGGTCTTGGGGCGTCGCGACAGCCGACAGGGCGACGAAGCGTATCAGCTTGGCGCATTTACCGTGGATGCCTGAATGCTGACCATGGGGTTTTGATCCAATCAAAATCGGGGTAAAAGAGTAAGTCTCTTTATCGCCATTCGGCCGGCTTTCTTTTCGTGTGCGCCCGACGACGCCTTCTCCTGCAGATTGCGCTGTTATCAGACCTTCACACATGCAGGCTTTTTGTACAATCTGCATGTTTTTCAACCTGTAATGAGAAAAGTGTATGCTTTCTATTGCTGCGTGACTCTGCATATTCAGTCTTACAAATCTCATCCCGGCGGGGGGGGAGGGGGTCGAGATGGGTAGAGCCTGCAGATTCCGCCCTCTTCAGCAAATACTTGCTCCAAGAGCTCTAAGGTAAGGCTGATTCTCATCTTATACTTGATCGGGGCGGCGAAGAATATTCCCGTCCCATGGATGGGGAGAGACAGGCGGCGTCGCTGCCTGACCGGACCGGGAACTTCGGGCTGGATATAAGTCGCTTGCTCCTCCTCTACCTTGGCTCTCGCGGCCAGCAGATAGCGCACTCTATGAAGCCCCGAAATAATGTCCTTGAATATGCAGGCCAGTATCTTACTCCAAGTGCTCATGCTCGCCTTTGCCGCTACGGTATCGGCTGGGACGACTGAGCTGCCCGAGCTCGTGCCCGGGCCCGGGCTTCCCAGCCTGGAGTCCCTGGGCCTCACCTCTGAGCAGCTGTACAACATGCCCTCTCCTTTACCCTGTACGTTGCCGCAGATTAATTCGCATTACCATCTCCGAGACTGCTGACCATGCGGGCAAACAAAGCCGACTCCAAACTCACATTGTCCCCCGCCTTTGACGGCGTCTGCGGGCCGGCCGAGAGGGCCTACACTGACGTGCACAGTCTCATCGCCTGCTTCCAGTACTTGGACAGGCTCGGCACGCAGCCCTGTGTAGCCCCCCCAGGTCGAAAGAATATCCTCTTCTGCCGCTCCGGCAGCTCCCACGTCAACGGCGTCGCCATTACCGGCAAAAGCGAGTCCTCTTACTGGTAGGCTTCAGCAATGGGCGTTTCGAAGATTGGAAGGAAGCTCGTTTCTGACTCGAACCGGACATTTGAAAGTCAACATGTTGCCAAGGGACTTCTCTACGTCATTGACAGCTGCACGCGGCCGGACAAGAGCTGTGCCGGTGAGCCCACGTTCTTGTGACACAATATGCTTTTCTCATCGCGATTAACATCGGTCGTTTCTCACAGGCGCCCAAGCTGCATGGGGAAATGGCCATCTTATCGTTTCTGGTTGCCACAAGAACTGGGCGTGAGAACATGGGGGCAGCGTCCACGCTTGAGTAGGCGAGCGGCGGCGAGGCCGGCACAAGGCTTAAGGATTCAATGCAGGAGCAATTCCTCCTCGGTGAAGGGCCATTTGTTACAGCTCCATCCCATACCAACTTGAGTCTGTTTCAATTCTGGAAGCGGCCCCAGGGTAGCATGGGCACAACAAGCGAGCGTTGGTGGACATAATATGAGGTTTCATGTTCATGTTGAAAACGAGGTGGGGGACACTAGAAAATCGATCTACGACTTTCACTGCTTTATTAATAGCGCCCTGGCGATGGTCCTTACTGGGTGTGTATGTGTGTGTGTGGATGACGACTTGTGCATGATGCGATCGCTGGCTGCCCCGCGGGAGAATCGGACAATACGGCATGAAGTGATAAACTAGCTCTCTTTTCGGAATGATCGCGAACACGTCGCAAACTGCTACGAACTAATATTTATACGAGGAATCGCTGCAATTGTGCTGAGCTGGACCTGATGGAGGAGAAGTGCAGGGTAAGGCGAGAAGCAAGTCGTGGGTATCAAGGCGAGGGGTAATGATCCTTGACCTCGGGTGGCATCAACAAAGCAAAAAAAAAACTGGATGACTTGCCTTTTGCCCAGGCTTGGTACGGAGTACGGATAGCGAATTTTCTGCTCAATTATTTTTAGAAGCAAGCCGCCCGCCGTTGCCCCAGAATTCTGTAATGTTCTATGCAGGGATGATCAATCCCAGAAGCGTAGCAAAACAAGGCTGGAACGGAGTTCCCCGTTTTCCAATGGAGCAGGTATAAAAGTTAGGTGGCATGGAAGGGTCTTGAGTCTCTCCCCTGTTACGAAGACGAGTGCTGCTATCCGTAGTTTGTGTACTTTGTATGTCGCTGCCTACTAAGGCTCGTAACAAGTCTTTGGGGCAGACACCACCTCCAATATGCGCCAGTACAGTAGATTGGAGAATGTATGGTTGAGCAATCAGGATCGAGGCTCAGTTGCTGCTGGTCCAGGCCGCCACCAATGCGAACCCACCATGCCAATGCTTGCATGCCTTGGAAGGTGGGCGTTACAAAGTACGCTGCGACGACGCCTTGTATGGGCCTGGCGATGGAGTCTTTCGTGAGGTTGCTCGTCCAGGCTCACCTTGACTTGCCTCTGTGGCCTTGGCCGGGGAACAATCTCGGCCCTGTTTCAACCTGCCCTGGCGTGGTGGATGATAAGCTTGATGACGGGGCCATTTAGTTAGTTACCCGCTGCTGCGACCTTGTTGCCTCTGCCCTGTCAGTATTGCGATTCGGCTCCCCTCGTCAAACAAGGAGTGTCCCGGCATGACATATATCAAGCATGCTATACGTAAAGGGTACTTACCAGGGCGAACGGGCGGGCAAGCCACGCACGGCATCCTCCCTGATGCGCACTCCAATAAACACGGGACAGATGCAGGCAACATGACGGCAGAAAAGTTCAACGGAAACCTTCAGGCCAACCAGGCTGCGGCGCGAGCCGCCAGGCAAGCCACACTGGCCCGGCGCTGAAACCTTGACTGCCACGAGTACAGAGGCATTCTGGCCAGAGAATGGCGCGGGGCAGGGCTGGAATTGATACCTTTGTGCGAGGTCCGGCATTTCTTGTGAAAGGGCATCGGGACTTTGCCATGCTTTGGTGCTGATCGGACAGACGGCTCGTGATGATCAATATAGGTACATACCTCGGTGGGCGGCCTGATGACACCAGGACGGGCAGCATGAGGACAGTGGAAGCCCCTACCTACTGGTACTGGTACAGCTTCGACCCTGGACCATTTTGCTGGAAAAGGAATAATAACCTTGTTTGGAGCGAGGTACATTCCTCCGTAGGCAGCGCAGGGATAACCCTGTATAGCAACTGAGCGAGTGCATCTGCTTTTTGCTAGCAGGGCTGTCTTTGTTTACCATTGTTTGTGTGTTTGGGCAGTAAAAATGTAGCCATTCATATGTCACATTCAAGATGTTGAGGGGATTCTCTGAGAAGCCGTATCTGTTAAAATCTGCCCGCGTCCACGCCCACTAGATCTGTTGGCGCATCACCACAGTTCCCAGCATTCGCTTTGAGATGACAATGAATATTTTGTCAAAGCTGCCATGGGCTTGGATAGTGGCTGGCTCAGCAGCAAAGTGTCTTCCGCTCGTTACCTAGTTAGCACAAATTGTCAATTGGCAAGCAAGGCAGGGCAGAGGAGGGCTGGCCTAACTAACCCAACTAAACGGAGAGGTAGCGATTTAGCGTGTATCCACACAACCCTGCTGCCAACTTGCCTTGCAAGAGACTTGGCTGGGTAGCAACTAACTCCCAGTACCTGTTTTGTTACATTGGGTTAGGTACATACAGTAGGTACCTTACTTGTACGTACATACATACATACATACCTAGCTAGCACTAACCTGGGAGGTACAATTGGTGGTGCCTCTGTTCCTCGCTCGCCCGCTTTGCCTGCCAACCTGCTGCCTTCAGTTCCTCACATCCCGTCCATCCTCTTCTGAAAGCACTGCCTCCCATCTTTCTCCAACTTCTCCCCCATACCTGCTCATCATTCCTTTGCCACAGCCAACTCCCCTCAACACTCACGATTCCCTCATTTGCGCCCATGCCGCTCCTCCACACATTGCGCAATCTCCTCGCTCCTCAAAACGCTTCTGTCGCTCCCTCGACGTAGGCCACTACCTGCTTCTTCATTCTCCATTTGCGCTCCCGCGCCCGCCGCCCGTCATCGTTGAGAGCCAACCGAGCCACGCCCGCTAGCAGTCGCAACACCGCCACCAACTAGTTACTGGTAAAGCCGGCTCTACTGCGCGCTGCCTCTTCCATTATTTTGTACCTACCTATCTGCCGGTGCGACAACTTGACGACCAGCGCATTCTGCCGCCATCCATCTTCTAACGCAGGTATCCCGCTCAGCTCATACTAAAAGCAATTTATCTGCCGTGCTACCGAGACTTGCAACCCTCCGCGCCCGAGCCGCCCTCCTCGAGTCGAGGAGCGCTTATCAGCCCGACGCTCCTGGCGTTTTCCTGTGACGGAACGACAGCTTTTCAACCCGCTCCCTTCCTCCTCGCCTTCGCCCTCGCCAATCCCCATCTCCTTCTACGCCGTCCCTCCCCCGAGATAATTATACAATGGCTTCTGCTACCCCGGTTGCCAAGCAAGCCGGCTCCCAGACCGCGCCATCCTTCCAACCCTCTTCGCCGCCCAACAAACGCGATCTCAAGTCTTGGTGGAAAGGCTTCATTTTGCCATCCAAAAATCAAGATCAGCCTGGTACGAGTTATCCTATTTGACCATCCTGTTTCCCGGAGCTCCGCGACTTTCAGATACGATTTGGCCCTGCCCCTACGGTCCTGGCATCCGGCTTGTACTGCTGTCCACCTGCGGGACAGCCCAGCCCGATGCGTTGCACCTGGCCGACGTCAGGACTCCCGTAGCTGCCTAGCTGGCTCATCAGCCATCGCGCATCTGTCAACGGGTAACCCCGATTTGAAAGTGCAGCATGCTACTCCCCGACGCGCCGTCGCATAGCCTCTCTTCCGGTCGCTGTTGCGCCTTTGCTGACTTCTTTGCAGAGACCCGAGCCCCAGGCATTTTCGGCGTGCCATTGCGACAGAGCATAACATACGCCAACGTCGCCATCTCTTTGATCGATGAGAAGGGCCAGAGCTACATATATGGCTACGTGCCAATCGTCGTCGCCAAATGTGGCGTCTTTCTCAAGGAAAAGGGTCCGTCTTGCTACCCCTCGTCGTCTTGCCGCTGTGTTCGCTAATACAGCATTCATCATCTAGCGACCGGCGTTGAAGGTATCTTCCGTCTCAGCGGCTCCGAAAAACGCATCAAAGAGCTCAAGAGCATTTTCGACTCCCCGGATCGATACGGCAAAGGTCTTGTGTGGGACGGCTACACCGTACACGACGCTGCGAATGTTCTCCGCCGATACCTCAACGACCTGCCGGAACCCGTCGTTCCTCTGGACTTATACGAGCAATTTCGCGATCCTCTGCGAGGCGCAACCAAGCAGGTTGCCGGCGATGCTGAGGGACCCCAGTTCGTCCCTGATTTCGACGAAAAGGCTGCTATCCACACGTACCAACGCTTGATCACTGAGCTTCCCCCACTCAATCGCCAGCTTCTTCTCTATATCCTGGACCTTCTGGCTGTCTTTGCGGCCAAGTCGGAAGAGAACCGCATGACTTCACAGAACTTGGCAGCCATTTTCCAACCGGGTATGCTGTCACATCCCCAACACGCCATGGCTCCAGAGGAATATCGACTCAATCAATGCGTCATCATTTTCCTCATTGAAAATCAGGATCACTTCTTAATCGGCATGCAAGGCACTGCCGCCGATGAAAACACCGTCAAGGAAGTACAGTCCGGTACACCCAAAGGGCCACTCACTCCTAGCACAGTTACACCCACACAAATCAATCGAACTGCGTCCAACGCCAGCGCTGGCGCGGAAAGTGTGCGGAGAGACGGTAAGCTTCGACGAAACCGCTCTGTCTCATCCAAGCACTCCAAAAAGGACGACTCAGCTACGCCTGCTGCCGTGGTTGTCGCGACAAGCTCCCCTGCAGGTGGCCTGAGTAGGAGCAATACAGTCCCCTCCAAAAAGTCCCCAACTGTCGGCGGCAGAAAATTTGCCAAGGTAGAGAAGGATGCTTCTGGCCCCGTCCAGCCACTGACTCCGGTCCGACTAGCAGAGGCGCCCATGACATCCGGCCCCTCTACTCCTTTAGCTCTTCCAGACTCTGCCACCAAAGCTCCGCCGGGAAACACCCAAGACCGCCATTTGGAAAATTCAGCTGACGTACCCCCTACCCCCAAAGAGACCAAGGAACGCAGTGTATCAAACCTTTTCCAAAGGACCTCCACGGAAGGAGGCGACAAGCGACAGCCGAACAAGTTGCGGAAAAAAAGAGCCCCCGGTGCAATAGGCCTTAGCGCACACAGCTCGAGCAACTCCCTTCCTCAATCCAACGCTGCGTCGCCGAATGTTGAAATGTCGAATCCTCTGGAAAACGTTCCGCCTGTGCCCGAAACAATACCAACGTCAGCCATCACTGAGAGGGCCGAAGTCGCCTTGTCACCAGCGGCCCAGCTAGTTCAGCCTGTAATCAGCACCGCTGAGACAAGTTCGCCCACTGAGACGAAGCCCATCGAAAATGCCCTCGCCGAACTGACAGATTCACCTGTCGACTCCGCAAACGGTCATTCAGACCCAGATCACACCACCGACGACCGGACTGCCGGTCTCCTTCAAAGTCCGGGGAAAGAAAGGAAAAAGAGGTGGCTATCACTCGGTACCAAAAAGGACGATGGAAATAGCGAAGCGCCTCCCCAGTTCAACTTGGGGCTCAATCACAACGCGGAGACAAGTACAACCTCATTTGCCAGTTCAAGCAAAGCGCGCAGAAGTTTTCAAGCCGATGGTTCAGAGGCCGCGTTTGCTGAATCGTACGACAGCAAAGACGGCGAAGCTAAAGGCCCTATCGGCTGGATCAAGAACAAATACCGCGAGGCTAAGGAAAATGCCGACCATAAGCGCAACAAGTCCCCTCCTCCGGCTGGAGAGCGCCAGGGCATCAGTGCCGCTATCCTAGGTCGCGGTAAGAGCCTTGATATTAAGCGCGACGAACCATCGGGCCCAAAGCCCACGGAGACGGCCTTGAAGAAGGAAGAGGGTCCAGCTGCCCAGCATCCAATTGACACCACCGTCACGCCAGCCACAAACCCCTCGTCTGAACCTCCCACACACACTGCTATTGAGCATCAACCTGTCAAGACGATCAAAGAAGAGCCCGCCACGGAAGCTTCAGCGACAATTCAACCAGCCCAATCGACTGAAGTTCGAGCTGTCGAACCCATTCCCAGCGCGCACGTGGTATACCCTGTCAAGGACGAGCTGCTATCAACTGAGACTGCTCCTGCTCCTCAACCAGAGCCCGCCCTTGAACCTGAACCGACCACTGTTCAGCAAGAGCCTATCGAACCCAAAGGTTCCGAGCCCCAGCACTCTGGGTCGCAAGCTGCCAATCTTGAAGATGCAGCTCCTGTGGCTGTCGAAGCTACTCCCAAAGCCGCCTGAGCCTTTGTTACTTCCTAATATGACAGCCTATCACTCAAAACATGGGTGACCGTATGACGAACGATTATATACCCAGTTGGGGAGAAGGTACGGAGTTTGTAGCCCGTAATGTCGAGGCACGCTCTGAGGTCTCCCTGGCTTGTTGAATGCGTGTTTTATTGTTTCTGGGGCTTGTTTCACCCTGTGAAGCGAAGTTCTTTTTTTGCTGTGCTTTTCTCATGTTTATCAAACAGTTCCCCGAGCGACCCGATCACGTCCTCTACTTGCGATGTCTCGTCACTTCCCCGATCGGCCGTCACGTTTGGACTTCGTTATCACGAGAACGACGCGGTGTCACTTGAATTCGGGGCAGAGACACATGGAAGGGGAGTCGGTCTGTGGCTAATGAAAGCGTACTTTTGGAGGAAAAATTCTCTCGTTGGTGTTCTTCTTTTCTAGTTACCAGGTGGACAGCTATTAGAAACGTGCGATATGAAGGGCTCTAGCATTTCTTTCTACTTTTTTTTCTCTATACGGAAGCCTGGACTGGAAATGTATGTATGATCTGGACGCTTTTTCTTTTTGGTTTTTGATGCGGTGGTGACCATATGATGATTTGTCGTGGTGAGCAGCTTTCTTGTTCGTTGCCGGAGGCGAATTAAGGAGTACGGGAGATATAAAGACCGATGGTTTAATTGACTCTTCTTCTCAGTTGCAAATTTTCACTGAATTTACGTACCAATCCTCATTACGACTGCGGTAGCAAAAAATCTGTATCCATATTATTATCTGTTCGCCGTACGGACGAGTAGTCTGTCAGTATTTGTTCACACTCAAAATGACGGTAGACACCCAGATTGATGGTAGACTGTGCACGCAGGCTGGGAGTTTGGTTAAACTCCTGGAATTAGTACACAATAAAATAATTATTCGTGTCCAAAATAGGACCACTTCTTATCCCATTATGTTACCAAGAAGTTAATTAGCTGGAATATGCGGCTCTGTTACTCGCTAATGTTAGTGATCATGAGAGGCCGAGTATTTTCGTAATACCTACGAAATCGATTCCTCCCGGCTTCTCACCGGCTTCTTCGGCCGGCTTCTTAGGTGGATCAATACTTTTCCGGCCTTCGTGTCACCCGAGTACATCCGAATGGTACTTTCATCAGAACACGTGACGAAATATTGCGGAGGCCCAAATTTACAATAAGCGCCCGTTGATTGGCCAGGAGAGCCAACGAGCACAAGCCTGGGGGCGTAATAGCCGAGGGAAGCCAGCAATCCATCTTCTCACACCTCCCGCCGTCTCATACAAACAGCTTCCCGACGAGTCAATTTGTCCATCGCGCGAAAGGCCAATTCAACTGCGCTGTCTATGCTTTGCCGTCTTTGCTGGCTGCATTCATCCTAGCCGACCGCTTTTACATCCATCTCTCCCTTGTTCGCTTCTTGTCCCCTCTGAAAAAAAAATAAGAAACACGACAATGGCAGCTCTTCGCCACTCGACGCGAGTCTTCGGCACTGCCAGGACGGCGGCCCTCCGCCCCAACGTCGCCTTCACACGCTCCATGGCCTCCGTAAGCGAGGTCGAGGAGCAGAAGCCGCGCATGAAGACGTTCCAGATCTATCGTTGGAACCCCGACACGCCGACTGAGAAGCCGCGGCTACAGAGCTACACCATCGACCTCAACAAGACCGGTCCCATGATGCTCGACGCCATCATCCGCATCAAGAATGAGCTCGATCCCACCCTGACGTTCCGCAGAAGTTGTCGCGAGGGCATCTGCGGCTCCTGCGCCATGAACATCAACGGCCAAAACACCCTGGCCTGCCTCTGTATGACGCCTCCCATCACGTGCCGAAATTGACGGCCCGAGCCATCTTCGCGATGCCGGAGCCAATTGACGGCGCAATTGAGAGGGTTACGTTGCTAACAACCAATCACAGGCCGAATCCCCTCCGAATCTGACTCTGACGTCAAGATCTACCCTCTTCCTCACACCTACGTTGTCAAGGACCTCGTCCCTGACCTGACGCATTTCTACAAGCAATACAAGTCTATCAAGCCTTACCTCCAGCGCGATACTCCCGCTCCCGACGTAAGTTTCAGTCGCCTATGGCCCGAAGCTGGGGTACTTGAACGCAGCTAACGAGTGTGACGACAGGGCAAGGAATACCGCCAGAGCAAGGAGGACCGCAAGAAGCTGGACGGCCTGTACGAGTGCATCCTCTGCGCCTGCTGCTCGACCTCGTGCCCGTCGTACTGGTGGAACTCGGAGGAGTACCTTGGCCCGGCCATCCTGCTGCAGTCGTACCGCTGGCTCGCCGACTCGCGCGACGAGCGCACCGCGGAGCGCCAGGCCAACCTCGAGAACAACATGAGCCTGTACCGCTGCCACACCATCCTCAACTGCACAAAGGCCTGCCCCAAGGGCCTCAACCCCGGCAAGGCCGTCGCCGAGATCAAGAAGCAAATGGCTCTCGGCGCGTAAAAGAAAAAGAGAGGCATTTCTCTTTTTCTGGCATGCAACGCGGGCGCCTGGGTTATACGGCGAGGTGGTGATTCTGTCATTGGCCTAATTTGGAGAGCGAAAGGGTATTGTTTTTTTTTTTCTTGAAACATTCTGTATTTTAACGGGAAAACCGGTGGGTGAAGGCACCCGAATAAGGAGCCTCTTTTTTGTTTTTCCTTTGTCATATAAAGAATATGCATTCAAACAACCTGTCACAATAAAAAAACACGAACAATATCACGTTTCCGACGACCAACAGCGACCTAGCAAGTGCAAACAGAGAGACGGATAACATTATGCATCTATCTTGCCATTATCTGGGGAGGCCCTGGGGTAAGGAGATCTGGGGCAGCAGCAGTTCAAAGCGCCCGCGCAAGGATTTGCTTCTCCACTTTATCGATCTAATAGAAGGAAGCCTGATGATGCCTTTTCGTGCCTGATATTCGGCGCATTTTCTATTCGCCTGTGACTCTTATATACATTGAGAAGGTTTGAAAATGTCGACGCCGGCGGCTGCGCCAACCCGGTCCGCACAAAGACGATGCGAAAAAAGACCAAAAGTTAATATGTGGGAATGAAGAAATAAATGAATAAAAAAATTCGTGGATAAATACCCAGGGCCGTGTTTTTCTACCAATTTCATGCTTATTCGTAACCTTTTCTTCGCTTCTTTCCCTGAGCTTGCGACTGAGCGTGTCTTTTTCCTGTCCCGACAGCCTCTCGACAACTTCCTGCGTTGCTGCCCGTATACGATTATTGTTCAGGTCGTCTTCTCGGCTCTGCCTGAACTTATCATCTCCTTTGAAAAACATCTTTTCGAAAGTTCCCGAGGCGTCGCAAAACATCATCCACGATGGACTGGTTCGACTTTCCGATTAGAATAGCCTGTAAGCAGCAGGCCACGGAGTTCTGCCCTTTTGTCAAATAGGGTAAGAATGAGGATTAGAGAGCAGGTTGCTGACTTGATTCCCCTCTTGGTTTAGATGCGTACATCTTCATATTCGTCACTCTTGCGGTGTCCGGCATGCGACTTGCCCATATTGTGCGTTCCATCCACTGGGAAGACTGTGAGTTGCCCATGGACTCTGACAAAAGCAGAGTCCCTATACCGTCCTTTCCCCCTCCCTTTTGCATCATCAACTGGCGTTTAAAGGCTAACCGTTGCGTTTCCGTCCTTTTCCTTGGCGCGATAGTCCCCTATATCATATGCATACTCGCCATGACGTGGCTCTACATCGCCATCCTGGCAGCGGCGGCCTTCCGTTACGAGACGGACCCGACCAGCCAGCAAGTTGCCATGCAGGGGCTGTCTACCTTGGTTTTACTGAGCACGGTGGTGTGGGTGGTAACTCGTTGAGTCGGGATGACTGTGTGGTGTGGGCATTGGTGGTGATGGCATCCCTGGGGTCCGTCCGCATAGCAAAGGTGATAGATGATTCGTCGACGAAGTAATGAAATGTTTTAGCAAATGCGTTAGACCCCACTGGGGGCGTCATGAAATATGCCAGTGTCCCAGACGACCATGTTTCCTGCGCGGCGCCAATCCTCGTGGAACAAGCCATTGAACCCGGTCCACACGGGTCGCAGCCTAAAACCCAGCGCCTTACCCTCCTCTGTCGTGGTGAGGAATTCCACTAGGTAGTCCTCCACGCCTTCAAAGCCGACAATGTAACGCGGTGGGTTCAATAGGCCCGGCACCGCCTGCGGACTGCGCCCCCCGGGGATAGACACCGCCGGCGCTGTTGGCGTCGCCAAAAACAGCTCCCGGCGCAGGAAGCCGACGGGGTCATCGTAGAACCGATCTGCCTCGTCTCGGTACGTGTCCCTCTCAACAGTGTTGGGATTGGTGTGCAGCGGCGGATCACAGGTAAGCGCGTATGCGTGCAAGTCTGGGTGCACCAAGTGCGAACGCCATGGCGTAGAATGGCACGGCATTAGAAAGAGGGCAAACAACTCCGTCTCGTGGTTTTGTTGCGCCGCTTTGGCGGTGTTATGGATACGCTCAAAGTCTTGACGCAGAAACGAGAGCACTTGGATGGGCGCGCCTTGATGAAAGTAGGAAAGGTAACCGGCCAACACACCATTCAAAGCGAGGCCGGCTATGAGGTAGCGCTGGTTGCGGACCTGACGCTTGGAAGCTGTTCCCTTGCCCGTTGCTGGCTTGGCAGCAGACGTGAAAAAGGAGGTGACACGCGGTGCTGCCAGGACAGAGAAAATCGGCAGCAGAGGGTAGATGAAGCGCACTTCTTTGTGTGAGATGAATGACAGCGTGGTCACTGTGACAATGACCGCAGCGGCCAGGGCACGATGCGTATTTTTGAGCTCAGCGGTGCCCATTGTCTGCGGGAGAATGAGCGCGGGCAATACAAACGGCAATATCGTGGTGCAGAGCAGTGGGATGCCCTGCAGTAAATAGTAATGCCACGGATTTTGACCATAGAAAACCGCCAGCGATTTAGTAATGTTGAAGTTAAGCCAGTTATGCGCTGGTAGGGTCCAGAAGCCAAAGTATGCCCGATCAGCGAGCAAGGAGAGGCCAAGGATAAAGGAGCCGCATAGAATGGCCTCGCGAGCAAGTACCATAATGGTTGACAAGGTGAGGGGCGAGGCGCCGTGGAAAGACAGACGCGATACTGTGAGGCCGGCGAGGGTGATCCAGATGAGAACATTGGTAGGCCGCAGCACAATGGCTAGCGCGGCTAGACATAGGCAGATGCGAAGGCGCCCAATGGTACCGCCCCAAGTTAGAGGATCAGTAGACTTTGGGTTCTCCTTTGTCGTTGTGGCAGCGCCAAGAAGTGACCACGGCCAGTAGCTGAGTGCCATGGTGGTGAGGGAAGCTTCGAGGGAGTTGGAAAAGGTACGGGACGCGCAATACCATTGCCACGGGCTGACAAGCTGCAGCATAAGCTGGGAGATGTTAGTATTTAAGCGTACTTTACTCCTTCATTGCAACTCACAGCGACGTTGGCATTGAGGCTATCTTGGCCATATATGTTGGCGGCGAGCTTTAATGTGTACCAGTCCCCTAGCGCGGCAATGACGGCTTGCAGGATCGCAGGTGCCGCAATGAGCATGCTGGAGCGCAAGGCGGGAGAAATGTTGAGAAGGCGTGCTGCATGGTCAACGAGCGAATATGGAATGGCAAAGAGTATGGGATGTAGCGAGGAGCGTAGTTGATAGTGCCATTCCTAGGCAATGATTAGAGTAGGAGACGGGGTTATCTGGGGGGGCACAGGCATACCCAAGTGAGCCAAGCGCCGCTTTCAGACCCAAATGCAAGATCCCACGCTGGCTCGAGAGACTGAAAGTACTCGTCCGGTTGGAAGAAGGTCGCGATGCTGAGCGCGTTGACTAGGCGGACGAGGAGGACATCGGTGAAGGAAACGCGAGACCTCCTCCCTGCGGAGCGTGTAGGTACCATGACATACGGTGGGGGTAGCGCAACCGGGTTGAGAATTTAAATCATTGAAAGCAAATCGCCAAGCAATTAATTCATGCGCTGAGGCAAGAGCCCTGTGATGCGTCCCAGTGGTGACTAACTGGTCGAGGTGGCAGCGTGTTGCCAGCTGACATGCGGAATAGCAATCAGCTTCTTGGCGCAGGAAGCACAGTCGAGAGCAGTAGCCGAGAATCAGTGTCTATGAATGGCTGGCTGCGACAATGATATCTGGATATCTGGATGCTGACATCACTCGCATGCAGAGCTCACGGTGTGACTGACACCACTGGACAGGTGGTGTTTGAAGCGTCTTTCCAAGGTTACTTTGCATCATGGCATGCGAAAGGGGGCGCGCTGGCTCAGTGGGGCGCAATCTCATCGCTGGAGGCTAGAGGCGAGCTGTTCCAGATGTGAATCCAGATGTGGTGCGATCAGCACGATGGGCTGGCTATCAACGGCGTGAGGCCTAAAATAGATGTAAAGTGAAGGAGTGAGTGTTTGTCGTTTGCAGTCGATAAAGGGTGGCCTGGCAGAGAGTTGCCCAGGTCGGTGCAGCCGTTTGAAAGCAAACGCCCGCCCGCTCGTGGATTGAGACTGGACTGGGAGGGCTTTGATCCTTTCAACCCCCCCAAAATCCTTGCATACCTGGATGCTTCCATCTCGCATACTAATAAGTACATGTCCAACGCGGATTGCGATTGATCAACCTCAGCCAGCCAGCCGCCAGCACAATTTTGGCGAGCCTTGTTTCTGGAAATCCGACATGGAAATAGCCATCTCTGCTGCAGGCGGACTGCATCTGTCGACGGCCGAGGCAAAAGGCACAACAGCTCAGCTGTCGACATGACCGCCTGGTACAATTCATCAATTCATCAATTCATGCAAGCGTAAGCCGGCTGTCATTACCACGTCAACAATTGGCTCCAGGCTGGTCTCGTGAGGGGCGCCTGACCGGCCGCCCCGGTCAGCCCCGGCCCCGGCAGCCGGTGCGCTACCTACCACTACCAAGTCCTACGGTCCTACCTACAGCACATACGTCGGCGGCGGCGGCGGCGGAGAGCAGCCAAGTGTGGACCGAGGGCAAGGCTCGCGGGACCCGTCGTGGACATGATCATGTCTCGAATCCACGCCCTACTGCGCCGGTTGGCCTCGGGCTCATGCTACTGGTGGGCTGCGCGACGGACTAATGTATGTATGTACATACGTTACTAGTCAGGCCACACACGAGAGCACCCGCCAGCCAAGTCGTCCGAGCATTTGACGGCCACTTACGGGGGCAAAAAAAGGCGAGAAAAAAAAAACTTGAGCGATTCCTCGTACATGTGTGCGTGTGCGTGTGTGTGGAGCAACCCGGCCAGTTAGTGGTGAAGCAAGCCATGACGGTCAGTTCGGACCAACCAGGACGATGGATGAGAAGGAACAGAGAGACCCGGCGGCGGCCGTCACCTCCGAGAAAATTGCCCAAGAGGGGAGGACACCGTCGATTGCGAGAGAAAAAGACGACGTCGATGAAATCTACCGTCCTCGACATGGGACGGCTGAGCCAACAAACTTGTCGGCCGGCCAGATCGAAAAGCCTTCCAAAAAGCAGATCCATGCAACCTGCTCCCGAAACAATCAATGTGTGTCTGGGTCCAGCCAAGCCCAGTCACCACCAGACAGACCGAACGTCGGCCTCCGCTACCTCGCCGCTGGAACACAAAGAACCAATAGAATCCATATCACGGCGCTCACACTTGCACTTAGGGGTATAGCGGCGAACACAAGATTCGTACGGCGTCCACGAGGGCGAAACATGCGACAGGGTGCTCCAGTCAGTGATGGTTGCGGATGGGGTATATATAACTACCGCCTTGCCTCCTTGCTTCTTTGCGTCGCCGCCCACTTCTTCTCCAACTTTTTTTGCATTCCAATCACCTTCGTCTAGTTACAGATGACACGCGTCTGAACGACCGACACTCTCCCCGATTGAATCGATACAAACCAATCACAAGGTGCGTGGGTGCGTTGCTGCTTGCTTTGTCGTTGTCGACGTCATTCTTGGCGTTGCTCTTGGTCCTGCTTACCACTTGACCACACAACACACCACCTTACCTTAGCACCTACTAACTAATTACAGTACCTACAGGTAATTGCCCCTCCCCCACCATAAACGGTCTGCTTGCTGCTGGTTTCTCTCCTGCGTCAGAGGTCTGAGGTTAGAGGGCAGGCGATACATTTTTAAGGTTGTCTCTGGTGCCGGGAAAAAAAAACCGAACCGGCTACCACTCTGCTGTCCCTAGCCATGTTGGCACAAGAGACCAATTCCTCTTCTTTTTTCATATTTACATCCTCCAAACTTTACCTCATTTACATCAATACTGACATCTCTCCACAGTAGGCTTCTTGTCGCACTCTCCATCTCCCTACCTACCACCTACCACACCCTTCCTCACCTTCAAAATGGCCGACTCCCGCTTCCACGCCTCCTCCACCAAGGCCGCAATCGGCGCCGAGAACGAGTTCGCCGCCCACAACTACCACCCCCTTCCCGTTGTCTTCGCCAAAGCCCAAGGAATCAATGTCTGGGACCCCGAGGGCCGCAAGTACATGGACTTCCTGTCCGCCTACAGTGCCGTCAACCAGGGCCACTGCCACCCGGAGCTTGTCAAGGCCCTCACCGACCAGGCCTCGCGCCTCACACTGAGCTCGCGCGCTTTCCACAACGACGTCTTCCCCAAGTGGGCTGAAAAGGTCCGCAATGTCTTTGGCTACGACATGGTCCTGCCCATGAACACCGGTGCCGAAGCTACCGAGACTGCCGTCAAGGTCGCCCGCAAATGGGCGTACAAGGTCAAGGGCGTTGACAAGGGCAAGGCTCTCGTCTTTGCCGTTGCCGAGAACTTCCACGGCCGCACTGTAAGTGATTCCACTTGCCCACTCTCCAAACGGTCTTTTTTTTGCAAGTGAGAAAGGCGCTGACTCGCTCAGATGGCCGCCATTACTCTGTCCACCGACCCCGAGTCCAAGGACAACTACGGTCCCTATATTCCCAACATCGGTGCCACATCCCCCTCCACTGGCAAGCCCATCCGATATAACAACATTGCCGATATCGAAGAGGTCCTCGAAGCCCACGGAAAGGACACTGCCGCCTTCATCATCGAGCCCATCCAAGGAGAGGCCGGTGTCATGGTCCCCGACGAGGACTACCTGGCCAAGGTCCAGGCGCTTTGCACCAAGCACAACGTGCTTCTCATCGCCGACGAGATCCAGACCGGTATCGGGCGCACCGGCAAGATGCTCTGCTCCGAGTGGGCCGGCATCAAGCCCGACATGGTGACGCTCGGAAAGGCCATCTCCGGCGGCATGTACCCGGTCAGCGCTGTCCTTGCCAGCAAGGAGGTCATGATGGTAGTCGAGCCCGGCACGCACGGCTCAACCTATGGTGGCAACCCTCTGGGCTGCGCCGTCTCCATCCGCGCCCTCGAGCTCATCGAGGAGGAGAACATGATTGAGAACGCCCAGCGCCTCGGTGAGATTTTCCGCCAGAGCCTTCTCGACCTCAAGTCGCCCATCCTCAAGATTGTCCGCGGCAAGGGCCTTCTCAACGCTTGCGTCATTGACGAGTCTGCCACCAACGGCCACTCCGCCTGGGACCTGTGCATGCTGCTCAAGGAGAAGGGTCTGCTTGTACGTAACCTACCCTGTACTACTGCGTCATTGACGGTGCGTGATACTAACCGGCTCACAGGCCAAGCCCACTCACGGCGACATCATCCGCTTCGCCCCTCCCATGGTCATCACCGAGGAGGAGCTGCGAAAGGGCGTGAGCATCATCGCCGAGGCTCTCAAGGAGCTGCCCAACGCCCCCAAGGCCGACCACTAAACGACCGCCACCAACCCCCGGCCTATAAAACGAAATGTCGACGCGCAAGCCGAAACGAAAGGACGAAAATAAAACCCTGTACAAGGGTAGGGTGTTAGGCTGGGCTGCATTATGAGCGCGAGGTCCCGGGAATTGAAACGAAACGACAGGGTGACCTTTTATGTGATTTTTAGTCGTACCATGAGATACCCACAGGATTGCCATGACCGTCATGAAGGCAGCATTAGGAACATGGGAGTTTTAGTTTGGCGAATTGATTGATTGATTTTCACAACGCAGTTCAGGTGGCAGGCTGAGGAAAGGGTTCAAGTGGTTTGACACGAATCTGGATGGGTTCTCGAACATGATACTGTCAGAGATGCAGTTACATGGCTCGAGGTGAAGATGTGGTCCGACTTCGGCGACTGTCCTTGGGCACCCACTTCTCGGCATGGTCTTCCCAGCCGCCTCTTCTCACAACTCGCGTTTTCTCGCGCATCTCTTCTTATTTAAGTTTGCCTGCATTCCCAATGCCCAAATCCACCGAATCCGACCTCCAGAATGCAATTCAGGACGTTGCTAATGGCAAGAGCCAGCTCTACGCGTCACGACACTGGAGTGTGCCACGTTCAACTATCCAGGAGCGGATGAAGGGCAGAACATCACGGAAAGAGGCTTATGAGCCGTTTCAAAAGCTTCCTAGGGCTCAAGAATCGCAGCTAGCATCGTGGATATCAGTTCAGAATCTAATAGGGGACCCTCCTTCGCACGAGCAGGTCAGGAAGATCGCGGCAACGCTGGCTGAACGCAACGGCTGCCAACAGCCGATTGGCAAAAATTGGCTTCAAGGCTTTCTATCACGGAATCCAGAAGTCAAGATAGAGGGGCACCGCCGAGAACGATGTGCTGCAAAGACAACGTCCGAGGCAAAAGCCGTGACGGCTAATACGGGCGAGGATTGAGGTGGCCACGGCAAGCAAAATTGCAAAGCAAAAGGGGACGGGACGAGCGGGTGGCCGCGTGCTGGCCCAGATAGGATGGTACAAGCGGCGATGTACATAGGCTGGGGAAGCGTGTGCGAGTTTGTTTGGAGAAATGGGCACTGGTTATTGCTCAGGATGTTGTTTATGTGCTGCCAGCGCAATGGCTTAATTTATTATGCAAGCGCCGCGGTCCCCGTGCGTGTTCTATCAGATATGAGAGATTGCGGGGGATTGGGTGTGGTGTGGTGTAGTGGTGGTGCGGTGGTCATACGCACCCCAAAGGTTTGCAGAGCGACGAGCCTATCGGGGCGGCGAGCGGACAGCATGTGGCTGCAGAAGGGAGGCAGGCAGCAGTGACACGACCTGAATCGAGGGCAAGGTCAAAAAGACAAAAGGCACTCTACCTGCTAATTGCATGCTGCAAAAAGGAAAACGCAAAAAGTTGGGGGAGCTGCAGCACTTTGCATGCCCTCGCTGTGCTGCCACGACCTACTCCAACCAAACAAGCATTCTGGGACCAAGGGCGGCCGGGGTTATTATTGGTCAAAAAGGGCGTACATCCGGGGGATGGGTGAGACTTTGTTTTTCAAGGGGGTGATGTGGCAGCCGACGTGCAGGTCAAGTCCAAACTTGGTGTAAGACAAAGAGGAACATCGTATTCGAGACTCTTTTAGTTGGCATGGCGCACAAAAGATGGAGGCGGCGCTGTTCGCCAGGGGAAGAGAGAAATCAGGATGTACAGATACTTGTTCTCCTTTTTCCATTTGCATTTTTGCTTGCATATATTTTTCCATTTTGACTTCGGGCCGGGCAATGACTGGAATTTGTTTGCGGGATGGGGTGATGGGGTTTGCGGGGAAAGCTCTCAACACCAGGCACCTCGATCGCGGTCCAGGCAAAAGCATATGCAGCTATGTACGTACGAAAGTACTCATCAACACAATGCTTCACTGGCTCCGAAAATTGCGCAAATCAGAACGAGCGGGATCGTAGAGTCATCGGGGCTCACTGGTGAGTGAGTACGACGATCTTTCAAGGTATCGGAGCGAAGAGCGACTGGCTGCAACTGGGATGGGGGAAGTGGTTAGGAGGCAGCGTTCGTAGGTCGCAAGTGGCGCCTTGGGAACGCCCAGGCGTGACGGGGGCAGAAGAGCCGTGGTGGATGAGAGACGGCTGGTTGGCCGAGGACATGGTCGCTGTGTCGTGGTGGCTGATATGGGCTTTGTTGGGAAGCAAGGAGGTCCTCACATTGGTGCTGTATGCGCAGGGCTAGGCGTACCGTAACAAAGAAGTCACGGGGAGAGCACGGCAGATGGGGGTGGGAGAGACCCTTGCCGTATCGTTCTCTCAGCTTGGACACTTTTGCGTGGTTGTTGTGGCGGCTGGACAAGGCGGGATGATGCGGAATGGATCAAAGTCCATCTTGAACATCTTGCCAAGGCAATCTTGATAAGCTCATGTTGCACCGAAAAAGAACAGTCCCATATCTTACCGTGACGAGGCGATAAGAACGCGACTACCTATTAGTTACCAGTAGTGTGCTGAGTAGTACGAATTTTAGGGGTGCGAGCGATCCCCGCCATCTTGACAAGAGACGATAGATGACAGGGACGCCATCGAAACTGGCAAGTTCGAGGCTTGGCTACCTGCCTGCCTTATCACCTCTCTCATGCCGACTTGTTGCCAACTTGTTGGGGGTACCATCTGTGCCCATCCGTGCCTTGACAACTGGTGGCTCCCTTGTCTTTGGCCGTCCTGCAGCGCTCGAGGCCCAAAGAACGACTGCCGGCATGCATTGCAAGTTGGAGGAGGTGCCTAACAAAGTAAAGGATCCTAGCTACGGATACAATGCACCGACATAATATCTGACAAAGAGCCTCTACCTATTCTTAGTAGTTATTAGGAGATAAATATCGAATGTCCCGTACCTTTGTACCTATGCAAGGTGCTGCTCTTTGCCGTGCCGCCCGAGTTAATACTGATTCGACAGCCCTAGTACAAACAAAGCATAGCTGCGCCACCATCGACATGCGCTGGGCCGGGCATTTTGGTCCTCTGCACTGGGCGATGTAGCGGCGAGGTATTCTTTTCAGGGTTCACCCTTGCCACATGAGGCGGATCACGCGTACAGACCGCAGCTAACTGCTCCGTACAGGGAGACAGGCATCCACATTACGTCTGGCCCGAGGTACCTGCGAGCTACCTGATGTCTCTGATGTCAGTTGGAGAAAGCAGCCCCCCTCACAGCCAGTGTAACAAAAGCATAACTAACGAGAAATGGCGCCAACAGTCCCCCCCCAAAACGACAGCATCACGAGCTCGTTCCAAATGTGTCGTGATGGATCCAGTGCCCGCCCACTCGTGTCAGAAGAAAGAAAAAAGGACACTAATTAATCTGTAGCACCTTCAGCAGTGGCATCGCTGGCTGGCTGACACTGGCATACCGAGTCGACTTGTGTTCAAAAGTGGTCAGTCGAGGTAGAGTGACAAAGGCGTTTGCCTCTGCCTCTATCCGTCGCCCTCCATCCGCCATTTGTCCGTTTCCATCGTCACGGACAACCTTCGTCTCTCTCTTCCATCAGCCTCGACATCCCCTTTCGTTCCTCATTCATTCTTTTCCCCCTCCCTTTCAGCCACTTGTGACTGTTCTCCAGCAAACAAGACTCGCACCACTGCCGCCGCCCGCTCCGACGTACACCGAATACATACATACCATACCCTGCCCCGTCCATTCATGCAGTCCATTCAACATCGTCACCCACACCACCACTACGACAACGCTACATACTCCGTGTGCGCGACTCTATTGCAGCCTTGGGCCATCACCTCCCATCAACCACTTGCTCCCCTCACTATTTTAGCGCCACGTCTCGATTCGGCAACCCTGCCTTGTCGGTGACGCCTTGTCGTCAGTCGTTTTGGCCTGAGTCGCCTCCTCCTCCGCCATCGCCCGCCTCTCGCTCTTGTTTGCGCCATCGCTATCTGTACAGTCACACTTGTCAGCCGGCCGTAGCCCGTGCAACCAACGCCCTCCGTTCATCGACAACGGAACCTCCTCTCGCCCCTTTTACCACCCACCAGACCAACTTCTTTTCCTCCTTCATTCCCGTTCGACAGCTTTCGCCCGTCCTAGCTCATCACCCACGGCTGCTTCTTCTCCCAGTCTTGGGTTACAAACCATCAGGGTAAGTCGTCCGCTGTGACGGCGGTGGCGCTGGCTGCTCGCTGCGCTGCGCGCCATACGCTTCTTTGCCTCCCCCGATCCTGTACGGGTTGTGTCCTACATGGTCCGTCCTTCACCACCTAGCTATTCCCGCTCCTCGTGCTATCGTTGCACTCACTTCTCGCCTCGCACTTCTTCCTCGATGTCCGCCCGCCCGCCGCACTGCTTCCCCAGTCTTCTACCTCGTCCCGAGACAAACCTCAACCTTTCCCCCAATGCGCGCGCAACCACGCTCCGTCTTCTCACCTTTACATCTGCACCTCAACTCGCCCCGAACGACCTTTCTGTCTCCAACATACTCCTTCCGATCCCATGTCAGTCACAAAGCATACATCTTAATGCTGCGCATCGCTGCCAACTCTCCGCCACCGCCGCATCACTTCACCGCACACCCTTGCATCTCGACATTGCTGTCCTCGACTTGACGTCTGTGCTTGTCCGTCCGGCTTGTCCTCCGCCCACTTGCTGCTGCCTCGCGCCTCTCGCACCCGTTTCCCCCAGGCTTCTGCGTTCGCGCCTGTTCCCGTTTCCTGGTCCGTTGCTGCGGCTTCCCTGTCCCGTCACACCCTCCCTCATGCATGCATACCTCAGTGCCTTTGACATCGCGCTCCTTGGCTAGCCACTTGCTTTGAACCTTGCAGTCCAGCTAACTCGACGATGCCCGCAGACTACACCGGCCAGCCCAACTATCCGACCCAACATCACCCCCGGGGACATACTCTCACCCGGCTACCCACATCTTTCGATCCGTCTAGACCCTGCGCGACGTTGCTGCCTTGCTTCGACTCCGCTCCCGCCTACCAGTCTTCTATCCCCAGTCTACATCCGCCTTGTCCCTTACCACACCACAATCCTGCGAAGCTTACATGACTCTCCTGACCGCTGTCGACGTCTTTCGAATATTATAAGCCCGCCTGCGGCTACCCTTGAAGGCGTGCCCTCTTCCTGTCCACGTTAATATCCACAGGACGTCATGGCTAGCCGACAAGAAGGGACTTCGTCCCGCGGCTCTCGCAGGAGCAGCCGCCATGTTGGCAGCTTCATCATCGATAGGGAAATTGGCAAAGGCAGTTTTGCAAAGGTCTATATGGGATGGCACAAGGTAAGCTTCGCGCCGCCCTGCTGCGCTCGCTCGACGTCATCCGCTAACAACCACCAGGAGTCTAAAGCTGCCGTTGCCATCAAATCCGTCGAGCTAGAGCGACTCAACAAGAAGTTAAAAGAGAACCTATATGGAGAGATTCAAATTCTCAAGACTCTCCGGCACCCCCACATTGTTGCCCTCCACGACTGCGTCGAGTCCTCTACACACATTAACCTCGTCATGGAATACTGCGAGCTTGGTGATTTGTCCCTTTTTATTAAGAAGAGAGACAAGCTCATCACACACCCGGCTACCCACGAGATGGCACGCAAGTATCCATCTGCTCCCAACTCCGGGTTGCATGAAGTCGTCATCCGACACTTCCTAAAGCAACTCTCCAGCGCACTCGCGTTTCTGCGTGCCAAGAATTACGTTCATCGAGACGTTAAACCTCAAAATCTCCTCTTGTTGCCATCTCGAGCGTTCAGAGAAGAACGGGCTATGCCCATCATGCAGGCTAGCCAGGATTCTCTTATTCCCATATCTGGTCTCGCCTCCCTGCCTATGCTGAAGCTGGCCGACTTTGGCTTTGCGCGAGTTTTGCCTTCAACATCTCTCGCCGAGACACTCTGTGGCTCGCCGCTGTATATGGCGCCTGAAATTCTTCGGTACGAACGCTACGACGCGAAGGCTGACCTATGGTCTGTTGGTACCGTGCTCTATGAGATGATCACTGGACGCCCGCCCTTCCGAGCTAGGAATCATGTTGAGCTGCTCCGCAAGATAGAAGCTGCAGAGGACATCATCAAATTCCCCAGAGAAGTCACGGTAACTCCCGATCTCAAAGCTCTCGTTCGTGCCTTGCTGAAGCGGAGTCCCGTTGAGCGCCTCAGCTTCGAAAGCTTCTTCACTCATCGCGTCGTAACTGATGAAATTCCCGGCCTAGTCGAAGATGACGTGCCAATGCCAACCAAGCGGGAGCTGGAGACTATCCGTCAAGGAGAGGCTATGCCTTCATCGCCACGGGCACCTATGGCCCGGCAGTTGAGTAACGATCCAAGAGACACACGCCCATCTCCAGGGTCTCCCCGCGCTTCACCACGCTCCTCTATCGTGGGTAGCCCTGCTGAAGTAAGCCGAAAGCGCCAGAGCCAAAATTCTGAGCGTCGCTCGAGTACTTCGCCTCGTGATAGTGGTCACGGCCTTGGTATCCAACGACCAGCGCCGATTCAGTCACACTCTGCCCCCAATCATCCTAGGGCCGCCGATCGAAGTGGACGCGAGCCGCAGCCCTCGTCTCTACGTGTGGCGCGACAGCCATTGGATGTATCCCTAACCGAAGAAGAGAAGGCCGCTCAGGACGTCATGTTTGAAAGGGACTACGTGGTCGTTGAGCGTCGCCACGTTGAAGTCAACGCTTTGGCTGATGAGCTGGCGGCGAACGAGAGACTGGGGCAGAACAACCCTTCCTCAAGGGCTAGCCCCATGCAGCGGAGGTATACTCAGCAAGGCTCGTCTGCATCCACAACAGGCGCCATTCCAACACCCGCTTCGCGAACGGCTCTCGTCGCCCAGGGACGCGCTCAGGATCGCCGTTCCTCGTACGAGAAGGCACTCTCTGCTAGCCCCGGATCTGCCTCGAGCGCCATTTCCAAGGCCATTCACGACGCTAGCCTCCGTCTATTTGGATACAGTGTCAACCCAATCCGCCAAAAGGGGTCACCACCTCACTACCAGCCTTTCCCTGCATACCCCACTCCGACATCAGCTGGTCTTCTCGGCGACGGCAAGACCGCCCAAGTGTCTGACGAGGACGCCAGGGCTGCACAGGCCATCGAGGAGTTCGCGACGAGGAGTGACTGCGTGTATGGTTTTGCCGAAGTAAAATACAAACAGCTGGTTCCACTGGCTCCATCCATGGATTATGGTCTTGGTGGTGTCGGCCACGAGGAGGGTACCGATGAAGACGATGGTCTCACAGTTGAGGCTACTGTAGCTCTCTCGGAGGAGGCTCTCGTTCTCTATGTCAAGTCCCTTACGCTTCTTGCGCGAGCCATGGATATTGCTAGTCTGTGGTGGGCAAAGAAATCTCGGTCTGAATCCACTATCGTCTCGCAGACACTTGTGCAACGAATCAATGCCGTCGTTCAGTGGGTTCGTCAGCGGTTCAACGAAGTTCTGGAAAAGTCCGAGGTTGTACGCCTGAAGCTTACCGAAGCTCAAAAGTTGCTTCCTGAGGACCACCCCGGCCATCCTTCGAGCCAAGGAGAGGATTCAATCGGGTCCTCCGCTGGCGGGTCAAGGCAGGTGTACCTGACACCAGGCATCAGCGCCGAGAAGCTCATGTACGACCGAGCGCTGGAGATGAGCCGCGCGGCTGCCATTGACGAGGTAACGAATGAAAACTTGCCCGGCTGTGAGATCTCATACCTCACTGCCATCCGCATGCTGGAGGCAGTTTTGGATAATGACGACGAAGCCGCAAGTCGCAGGCTATCGTCCGGCAAGGAGCCGGCCACGGACGCTGCCCAGGAAGGCTGCGATCTGGACACGGAAGAAGTGGCCCACGTACGAAAGATGACTGCAATGATTACGGCACGACTAAACATGGTTCGAAACAAACAGAAAATGATTGCAGAGGCTAACAGCAAGGCGCAGCACAACTCTGCTATGCGACGACTTAGCGGAGAAGTCACGCCGCGGAGTGTGCCATCATATGGCTCAACATAAATGAGGCACTATCAACCAAACGAAGAGATATACACTGGATGCCAGTCAAGAAAAATTGGCTTCCTAATTGCATATACACGCGCAAGCGGGCTTCACAGCTTGGCTGCCGATTTTTGTTATTACCAACACGGACATAATTATGTATGGCGTTTATATGATTTTTTTCTTTTCGCAGGTGCGGATTCGTTTGTCAATCTTTGACTAACAGGAATCCCCTTCTTTTCATTGATCTCACGAGTTGGGGTTTATACTCACCAGTTTGGCGTTTGGGATTTGGCGTTATTTGGTTTATTGCTTTTGTTGTCTTGCCGTGAAAGAAAGTTGACAACGCATCGGAAACTGCGAGGATAGTTGCTTCCTTTCTTGGCCTTGTTATATCATTCTTATAACCTTCTTTCTGACCAGATTGTGTTTTTTATCAAGTAGTTTGTTGGCTCAAACAAGCATTGCCACTTATTCTAGTTTCTCTTTAACGAGCGTGAATACAGCGTTGAATGAAACCACACTGTACCTTGTCCCTTGTCTATGAGTTCATCGCGGAACAGCTTCCCAGAGATGTATACAAAACGAGAACTGCCGCTACAGTTTCATACCTCAAAATCCAACTCATCTGCACCTGACGCACATACGCCCATGATATGGATATGGACCTTCTCTACACGGTGCAAAGGCTCGCGGAGGCGCGCGCCGCCACGACGCCGCCTCCGCACCGCGCGCCCCGAATCTCCCTCCGCGAGCGCACGGCGCAAGCGCTCGCCGCCACCGAGGCGCAGATCCACGCGGCCGCGCACCTCCGGTCTCTCTACGCGGACACCAGCCTCGCGGAGCTGCGCGCCCTGGCCCGGCGCCGACGAGAGCGCTCCCGACGACTGACCCCGCGCGAGGCCGAGGACGCCTGCTGGGCGCTGCTGGACGCCGGCTGGGACCCCGCGGCCGACCGGCCGGAGAGCGACAGCGAGGAGGACGACGACGAGGCGGTGGAGGAGCTCGCAGCGCGGCTGAACGCGCGGTCGCGCGCGCTGTGGGCGCGGCACGTCCGCGAGGAGGATGCGCCGCTGAGGTACGTGGAGGGGTGGCCGACGGGGTTGGTCGGCGGGGCGCCGACGGTGAGGAGGAGGGCGGAGGCGAGGGCGAGGGACTCGGGGCTGGGGAGGTGTGCGGGGTGTGCGGCGGGAGGGCTGGGAAGGTGCTCGAGGATGAGTATGGGGAGGAGGGCGGAGGATGAGAGGAGGGAGGTGTGTGAGAGGTGTGTGAGGATGGGGGAGGTTTGTGTGGAGGAAGGGGAGGAGGAGGAGGAGGAGGGGAGGAGGGGAAGAGGGTTGGAGGTGGTTGGGTTGAGGGTGGTGGAGGTTGAGAGGGGGAGGTTTGCGCTACCGATGCCCGTGAAGAACGAGGAGGATGAGGAGGATATCCAAGGAAATTGGGGAGGGGCGATGTCATCATGAGGTAGTACACCGTTGTTCGTACTGTATAGTACTGTGAGAGAGGGTCTGGTTCTGTATTAAGCCTCAAGGGTGTTCTAAGGTCCTAGCTACTCGGCTCATCTATTGTGACGACGACATCATACGAAGGATATATACAGTATTCCGGCTCCAGGGTCCCCTGCTCCCCATTCGCCATCCTGTTCATCGCATACGCTATCGTCAACTCCTTCTGCGCGTCCATCACCACAAACGACCCTCCCCAGCCACTACCCCAGGCGACTCCGGCCGGCAGCTTGCCCTCCCGCCCCAGCGGCCGGCGCACCTCCTCCGCGGGGAATCTGTCGATGGTGGTGCCGGTCACGCGGCGCACCAGTTCCCCGACGATGACGCCCTGCGTCAGCCCGTGGTATCCCACGGCCGAGCCAGGCTCCCACAGCGGTTTCCGGGCTGCCAACCTCTCCGCGGCGGTCGTCGCGTCGTAGCGGTCCTCGAGGCGCAGGTCGTCGGCCCCGGCGCATAGGCCGGCGGTGTGGGCGAGCACCTGGGCGACGGTGATTTCGGCCTTGCCGCGGGCGGCGAACTCGGGCCAGTGCCGCGCGACGGGGTCGTCGGGGGCGCAGGGCGCCGGGCGAGATGAGCATCGCGGCGGCCAGCTGGGTGACGAGCTTGGTGGTGGAGAAGACGTTGACGATGGTGTCGCGGGTCCAGGGCGTGGAGGAGGCCGCGTCGGCGCGGCCGCCCCAGATGTCGACGACGTCGTGGTCGCCGCCGCCGGTGTTGAGGCAGAGGCTGGCGCCGATGTCATGTCCGGATGCGAGGAACTCTTGCATCAGATCGCGCAGCTTGGCGAACTTGGGGTCGCAGTGCCCGTGGACTTGGGCCATTTCGACGGTTGCTTGATAGGCAGTGCTACTGTTGGAACTGCAGGGCGTAGACAATTTTAATGGCAATCTTCTTTTAGGGCTCCATTGCAGAGATGATGCGGAATTGACCAAATAGTTGTTTCCTTGCATGAATTCATGCCAATTACTTGCAAGGACATATGAGAGCCGCGGCACGTTCTGGGGAAGCCTGTTTGTCGTTCATGACGGTCGCCATGAGATGGTGGCTACGATAAAGCACATGTAGTGGTCATATATTTCCAAACTTATTCAATCTGCTATGGATTTTTGGGATGAATGCTTATTAGTATTCGTCGAGTCTCTCTTCTTAGCTATTCCGGCCGGTATAAGTGAGAAGTTGCATAGCTTATCCGAAACGGTATTTTCCAAGAGACCTGGTTGGAGTCAGGCCGCCTATTTGATCTGCCGCGCCAGCAGCATAAGCTTTGATTAATAAATCATTCCAAGGTAAGGATGCAATGGAAATTTAGTAAGTTTTCTTCCGCTCATTGGCCGCCTCGTTTGGCCCGGCGGTGGGTGTAAGAGACTATATCCAACCCCTGCCGTTGCAGCCAATTCATACACAACTCAAGTCAACAGCCCACATAATGTTCTTATTATTTGTTTTTAATTCTTTAAAAAAATGCTTACTACTCAAATATTCACTTTTATTTTTAGTTTTTCCCCTCTTCAGCACTCTTCAGCTTGATTTTACCAATCTGCTTCCTCCCCATCTGCACCACTAAAGCGGAGTCGGCTGCGGCCCGCCTTATCTTATCAGGACCCCAAATTTTCTGTCCTGCCAGAAAAAAAAGTTGTCCGCCGCCACTGCAATTGCAGCGACTCGCATCCATCACCAACGTTAATCGCGACAAACGCAGCAAGGATGGTCAAACGAAAGGTTGCTGCGCTCGAAAAGATCGACGCCGATTTGTTCGTCGAGTCTCCCTCATCAATACGCAGACCATGTGCTAACTCTTTCCAGTGCGAGCCTGCAGTACAAGATCCGTCGTGATCCCAAGTACGTCCAGCCCAGCCTCTTTCTAACCCCCGGAAGAATTCCCAATAATCAATACTAATATCATCTCAGATCCTACAAAGATGAATTCCTGAAACAATGGGAGCAGTACGAGTCCCAGCGCGACATCTTCCTCACCTCCCCGACCACCGCCTCGGCCGACTCCATCGAGGCCTTCCACAACATGGTCGACCTCATGGCGCACATTGCCGACTGCTACCCAGACGTCATGGGACGCTTCCCCGGCGACCTCGAGGCCATCCTCACGCAGCACCACGCCATCCTGCACCCCGAGCTGCGCGAGAAGATTGTCGGCAGCCTGCTGCTCCTGCGTCGCAAGGACGTTGTCAACTCCGCCGCCGTTCTCCAGGCCCTCTTCCCCATCCTCGTCGCCTCGCCCTCCAAGTCGCTGCGCGCGCTGCTCTTCAGCAAGATCCTCAGTGACTTGCGCAACTCCAACGCCAAGTCGATCAACCACCCGCTCAACCGTACCATCCAGACCGTCCTTTACAACCTCGTCACCGCCGACCGCACCTCCCCGCGTGCCCTCTGGGCCGTCAAGATCACCCGCGAGATGTGGAAGCGTCAGATCTGGACTGAGTCTAAGCCCGTAGATGTTATGAAGGAAGCCTGCCTTGCCGACTGCGAAAAGGTTGTCATTGGCGCCGTTCGCTTCTTCCTTGGTGGCGACAAGGAGCGCGAGGAGCTCGAGGACGAGAGCAGCGACGACGAGGACGTCGACCTTGCCAAGGTCAAGCACCAAGTCAGCATCAACAAGAAGACGCGAAAGCAGAAGAAAAATTACTCCAAGGCTCTCGACAAGGTGAAGCGCCAGGAGCGCAAGAAGCATGCCCCCCACCCCCTCAACTTTTCCGCTCTGCACCTGCTGCACGACGCGCAGGGCTTCGCTGAGCAGCTCTTCTCCAAGCACCTGCAAAACACCAAGGCCAAGCTGTCCCTCGACTCCAAGCTGCTCGTCCTGCAGCTCGTCACCCGCCTCGTCGGCCTGCACAAGCTCACCGTCGTCCCGCTGTACTCGTGGTTCATCAAGTTCCTCACGCCGCGCCAGCAAAACGTCACCTCCTTCCTCGCCTCCCTCGCGCAGGGCACGCACAGCCTCGTGCCGCCCGACGCGCTCGAGCCGCTCGTGCAAAAGATTGCCAACGAGTTCATCTCGGAGGCGTCGGCCGCCGAGGTGTGCGCGGCCGGCCTCAACGCAATCCGCGAGGTGTGCGCGCGGCAGCCGCTGGCCATGACGGACACGCTGCTGCAGGACCTGGTGCAGTTCCGGCGCAGCAAGGACAAGGGCGTCATGATGGCCGCCAAGGGCCTGCTGTCGCTGTACCGCGAGGTCGGCGCCGAGCTGCTCCGCAAGCGCGACCGCGGCAAGGACGCCACCATCGGCCTGCGCAGCGGCGTCCAGAAGCAGCACAGGTTCGGTGAGGAGGCCCCCGGCGGCATCGAGGGCCTGGACCTGCTGGCCAACTGGAAGCACGAGCAGCGCAGGCGCCGCCTCGCCGAGCAGGGCCTCCCGTCGGATGCCGAGTCCGGCGACGACGACGCGGACAAGGAGGCCGACGACGACGAGTGGGAGGTGGCCTCGGACGGCAGCAGCGAGTCCGGCGACTGGATCGCCGTCAGCAGCGAGTCCGAAGCCGAGGACGACGCACCCAAGCAAAAGAAGCGCGCGCGCACCAGCAAGTCCGCCGCGGAGAACGGGGAGGACGGCGAAGCCGACGGCGACGACGAAAAGGACGAGGAGGCCGCCGCCGCCGAGCACGAGGACGAGATCGCTCGCATGATGAAGCTCGCCACCACCACCGTTCTCACCCCCGCCGACCTCGCCAAGCTGCAGGAGCTGCGCACCGCCGCCTCCGTGCAGCGCGCGCTCGGCGGCCCCCGCGGCAGCAAGAACAACAGCAACAGCAACGGCGGGCACGAGGCGCGCCACCGCGACGAGGGCCTGACGGCGGAGCAGATCGAGGCGCCGGCGAGGCTGCGCAAGCTGACCAAGGAGGAGCGCGTGGCGCTGGCGCGCGAGGGCAAGCCGGACCGCGAGGAGCACAAGAGCACGCAGGCGATCCGCAAGGCCAAGCTGCAGGCGGCGGGCAAGTCGACGTCGAACCGCGAGAAGGCGCGCAAGAAGAATTTCCTGATGACGCTCGGCAAGGCGCGCAGCAAGCACAAGAGGAGCCTGGTGGAGACGAAGAAGGTCCTGCAGGGGCATGTGCGGCGCAGCACGAGTGGCGGGAGGAGACGCAACGGTGCGTGATGAGAGATGGGGATGGATGTGTGTTGCATGGGGCTGTTGTTTGTGTTTTGTCTTGGTGACATTCTTGCATCATGGCGTTTCTGGAGTCCAATTGCTTCTTATTACGAGGAATGGAAAATTCTAGATGAAAAGGGTCTTGTTGAAACGTCAAATCAATAAATATATACACCACATCTGCCAGCATGCTTTCCGGTTTTCAAAGACGACATGTACTTTTAAAAAGTGACAGGAGAATAAACGATAATCATCATATAGCATGCAAATAACGAAAGATGTACAGATTATGCAAAATATAGCCGTAGCTTGGTATCCTTAAACCGATTCAATAGCAGGTTCCCCTCCCTTAATCTCACATCGACGCCGTCTTCGGCTCGACTTGCCTCTCTTCATGGTCAGCAGTCGGCTCAATGCCAACCTTGGTGTCGTTAAATGAGTCGATAACACGCTTGTACGGGGGCGCAAAGTTGACGCAGAACGCGTAGGACCACGCAGCCACGAAGAAGGCGAGCGGCACGGTCATGGCAATGCCGGAGCCGTGCATGTCAATGACCTGGCCCATAAGCGGGGGTACGCAGGCGCCGCCGACGACACCGGCGACGATGTAGCCGCTACCGCGCTTGGTGTGGCGGCCGAGGCCGCGCATGCCGAGGGCGACAATGGTCGGGAAGCAGACGGACTCGAAGAAGAGAACACAGTAGAGCATGGCAATACCCGTGTCGCCGCGGCCGGTAATGGAAGGGATGGCGAAGATAATGCAGCAAGTGAGGAAGGCGCCGAACACGAGGCGCGGACGCACAAAGCGCATGATGCCAACGCCGGCAAAACGGCCGATGGCAAAGGCGGCCTGGGCGCCGGCGAGCAGGTTCGCGGCGAGGGCGCGCGACGTGCCGGGGCGCGTGTCGAGGGCGTAGTTGATGAAGTAGCTGGCGATGGCGACCTGGGCGCCGGTGTAGCAGAACTGGGCGAAGGCGGCGTGGAAGAGTTTGTACTGCTTCCGGAAGGGCTTGTCGGCGACTTCGGTGGTGGTCTCTTCGGCCTGAAACTCCATGTCTGGGGGGTGGTGTTAGTGGGGGAGGGGATCCATGAGGGGACGAGGGTGGGCGAGAAGGTATGCTTACCGGCGTCTGTCACCTCTGGAATGTCGGCAAAGAAGAACACAGTGGCGAGGGAAAAGACAAAGACGGCAATTGCGAGGTAAACCCACTGGACGTTGGCCTGGGCTTTCGCGTCGCTAAAGGCGAAGAAGACCTTGGAGGCCAGGACGGGAGCGATCACAGTGCCGATGCCGTTGAAGGCTTGGGAGAGATTGATGCGGAGTTCCGAGTAGCGGGGAGGGCCGCATACTGAGGGAGTGGGGGTTAGGAACCGGGAAATGAACACACAAGTCAACGAGGGGAAGGGGGCCTGGTTCTCACCTGTAATGTAAGGATTAGCGGCGGTCTCGAGGGAGCCGAGGCCATTGCCAATGATGAAGATGCAGGCGCAAAAGCCGCCAAAGGACTCAGCCTTGAGTGCGGCAATGGTGCAGAGGGCGCCGATGCCGTAGAGGCAGAGGCCCCAGATGAAGACGGCGCGGTATCCGTAGTGGCGGAGGATCCAGGCGGCGTGTCCGATGGATGCGAGTGGGTATGCTCTGGTTGTCACGATCCACGGTCAGCTAGGACAGGGAAGAGAGAGAGCGAGGGAGTAGAGGCAAACACACCCAAAGTAGGCCGCTTGAAGACCGGAGGAGCGCGAGGGTGTAAAGTGCAGAACGCGCTGAAAGTGGGCGTTGAGGGTATCGAGCAGACCGTAGCTGAAGCCCCAGAGGAAGAAGAGGGCAGTGACGAGGCAGAGCGGGAAGAGCGATTGGCGGAGGGTGAGCTCGGAGGCCTTTGTGCGGTGGGTGACGTCGGCGCGGAGCGAGCGGCGACGGAAGTAGTCTCTGGCGGAGGCCATTGCTGGCGAAGGAAGGGGAGATGATTCCCAATTCCTATGGCACCGTGTCCTTGTCGATGATGATGCTGGAGTTGATGATGTGATGTTGATGCAAACGGGAAAAAGGAGGGTACCTGTAGCTTTCCCCGGACGGTTGAGAGGGGCCGGTGGGTGGGGATGGCGAGCTTATATATACCCAGGCTTAGGGGTTTTTGAAGAATTGAAGGGAAAAGGGGGTCAAGAAAATTTCGGAGCAAAACATTCAATTAAAGCAGGCTAGACATATCTATTCGGGCGGCCGCAAGCACGAGATCTCAATCGACAAAGAAGGCAAGGCAAGGTTGTCAAAATTGTCGACGCCCTTGCTTTCTGACAAGGGACCCCCCTGCTTGCATCGTGCTTGCAGCTCCAGCCACATGCGCCGCAGCAACCTGTCAGGCCCGCCTATATTGCAGGGGATTTTTACCAAAAAAGAGGGCTTCCATCTTCCACTGCTCTTCCTTGGTCTCTTTCTTTTTCTCTTTTTCCTTCTTTTCCAGTTCGCCACACCCTCCTCACTGCGCCTCCCCCAGCTGCTGATCATCGCTTCTGGGGCGTCCCCCGCACAACAACAGAACAGACAAGGTCGTGGCTGATTTAGTAGTCCCGACGGAAGATGCTGGGTGGACGGTACCCTTATTATTCCTCGTATAGAAAGTCTCTCTTCCGACGAGTGCAGCATTTCCTGTCATGCAGATCAACGGGACGAAGTTTGACCCCCCCGCGTTCGCTTCGTTCGCTTCAAGGCAAAACAGGACTTTCCCCTCATCTCATCTCGGTTCCACCAGCTGGCCTATCCCCTAACCCCCGGTTCCCCCATCTGAGCAGTTTATACGGATGCATTATCCATACCAGGCAACCAAAGCATGTCGGCAACTGTAAAGTAGGTAGGCTTTCGATGAGCGGTCCCAGTGATTGCCGTCGACCATCACCTGCTGCGTCGGAGCATGTCCGCCGCCATGAACATATCCTACTCTCGTTCAATGTCGCTACCCTCCAGCTGTCGATGTCGCTCGCTCCTCGTCAAATTAGGCCCCCAACCAGCAATATGTTCCATCGCGATGATAACATATCAGCGTAAGGTAATGCCGAGGAACAACGGGTCGCAAACAGCAGCCTTCGATCCGTAGTAATCCGTACCAAGACGCATAAAACAAGGAAAGTAAATTAATAGGTAAAACATTGGTATGAAACCCCACGAAAAGCTTAAAAATATGTTTATTCAATAAATTCCATAATTGACTCCTCTAGACTGGGGTATAGGTCTCGCAAGTATTATATAAGAGCCATCTTAACTCTGCTTATCGTGCCAATCACGTCGCGAAAAATGCAAATTGTCTTGAAACCGGGACGAATGCTTCATTGTTAAATGCTTGAAAAGTAAAACTCACAAGGAAACAGGTTAGAGCGAGCATGTTCAGCGAGCAGCGTCGGTGATCCATCCAGTCGATGCAGACCTACACAGCTACTTACATAATTATGCACCGACTACCAATGTTACACACCCAGTTCCATCTCGCCGAAGTTATTGAAGCACCCGACAGATTTCGTTGGATTATTTACTCTCCGTTTCAATGAGATAAAACAAGAGTCGTCGTTATCCTGGCGACAATCACGAACCGACTCAAAGCCGAGAACAGCACCCCAGTCCTGCCGCAACGTAACATGACCACCCCAGTCGAGAAATCCCCCGTCTCCTTGTTTCCTTGATACCAGCTTCACCATCATGCGCATCCTCCAAAAAATGGCGTGGTGCCGAGACGTGCCCAGACAACCCTTGTGGCGCCTTCTCGGCGCCATATGCTTGTCTCATTACCCCCCCTCCCTGTCACAGACGAGGCTGCGACCCCCAAATGCCGGCATCCCCAGATATATCCGACGGAATAAGAATCCACACCACCCAGCGCCAGCCACACGCGGGGGAGCTGCATACATTCCCATCGAATACGGCATCGGACGGAACAGTTCTTGGCTGCGTTGCCGATATATTCGAAATGATGGAAATGGCTCTTTGAGGGACCAGGGCGGAGCTGAAGATGTACGGTAAGGCGTTTGCGGGGTTGATCTGCCGTCGGGTCTACCACCGGTCCTCGTTGACACATCAGCATCATCGTCCTTCTTTGACACCACAGCAGCATCTCGACAGTTCCCCTTCAAAGCCCATGACAACCGGCAATTCAAACCAAGTGACGTCAGCCACCGTGCGTTTGAGAAGTCGTCAGAGTGACCAGCAAACGTCCTCGCCGAGACATCTATTCGACATCTGCGCATCCTTGCTCCAAAAGTCGCTAAACACTGCCAAGAGGCTTGTACAAAATGAAATAAGCCTGGGCTGAGCATAATCACAACGTCAAATAAGACACACGACTCCAGAAATATGTGCGCGACTGGGGGATAGGCCCTGTTTAGGCCATCGTCGCACCAGAGTCAAATTGGGCCGCCGTTCGCCCATCTCAGTATCTCATATGGCCCGGCAAACGGCTGCCCAAGCTGGCCTTGGAGCGACGGCAAGTGGATGGCATATTCAGTCTTCCGAGCCTTTGGCATCCGTCTGTCCAAGAAATTGCTTTGCCGCCGGCGCGCGTAGCTACAACCTCGCGCAGGCCGTCTTCACCAGCCGCGCCAAAGCACTGAAGCCCGACAGCATGACATTCCCTACGCGCTGCAAGACCTGGGCGGCTGGATACGCTTGCCCGATTTCTGTCGCCAATGAGATGCAGAGTTGCTCGATTGACTAGGATGAAAGAGGGCGGAAGGTATATGCAGATGGCCTCAGCCCAAATGTTGGATCCGTTGAGTAAGTTGACCGAGAGGAAGTTATCGGCAAAATACATGACGCAAGGACTCCAGGTACATCGCCTCTTGGTCTCCGCGACAATACCTTGCTCTGACAACCTCGTCAGGAAGGGCAGGTGCAATCGACAGCATCCGCATCCTTCCTGCGTTGTCAATCACGCCGCCTGCCTCTGCATCTCACCAACACTTTCGTATTTCCACCCTCTTCGCCTTCTCATCCTCGCATCAACCTATCATCCTCATATTAGCATATTCGGTATTATTCCATCCACCACCGGCTCCAACAAAGCCATGAGCTCCCAAACAGCACCTATCACGTCCACCTCCCCTCTAGTTACCCTCAATATCCGCGGCCACGCGACCGTCCGCCGCCGTGCCGAGTTCGTGCGCGTCACCGCCAACATCCTCTTCGAGAGCTCAGACGTAAGGACGGCCGCCCGCCTCGCAACCGACGCGCTGCATCGCATGCAAGCCGACTGCACTGAGCTGGCTCGTTCGCCCGATTCCGGGCCGCCGGCCGACTCATCGTCCCCCGAGGCCGCCAACAGCAACAGAACAACGAGCACCTTCCCGGCATCGTTGAGTGGTGGAACGGCCCCGTCATAAACACCGATTCTCGGCTCGTCCACCCCGCGGAGATGCCCTGGGCTCCCAGAATCACGCGCATGTACCGCGGAACCACCTCGCTGCGCGTGCTCTTCCGCAGCTTCCGCCAGATGTGCTCGTTCATGGACGCCTATCGCGGTGAGGTGTGCATCAGCTTCGCGACACCCGTTTGGGAAGTTGGCCCAAATTCGCGCGCCTATCTATGCAGCGCTGCAACCCAGGCCGCGTACCAGGATGCCCGTGCCCAGGCCGAGGCCTACGCCGTCGCCCTCGACGTCCTCGGGTCGCCATCTACAACTCCTACCACCGACTCGGGGTTCGCGCTCACCGAGCTGTCGCAGGTGCCGTTACAAAGGGTAATACGCAGCATCGACATTATGCAGCAGGACGCACCAATGTTTAAGTCCACAGCGGGCAACGGCGGGCAACGACAACATGACGGCGGGCCAGCCACCTCATCAAGGGACGGGTCAGATCTATGAGTCGCCGCTTGACGTGTGCGTGTCGGTGACGTGCGACGTGACGTTTAGGATTGAATGATTGAGCATGGTTTGTGGTTACGGTGGTTAGTTTTCTTCAGCGATCGGAAGTGGTTATTTAGCGTAACAGCGTTTAGGATACGGATGGAGACATCAACATTCGAGCCATATACTGCAAGAGACAAACTTTATAAGAGGGACTTGAAAAATTGAGACGCACGAAATTGATTATTATACAACCATCGGTCGGGACGCGACCAGTCAGTCCTCTAAAGCTCTAACACGTCTAGAATGTATACCATCCTTCGCACCAAAGGCCAACAACTCTACTTGTCCTGTCTATCTCGTCAGGATCCGAAGCGGCGACAAAACATTTAAAAAAAAATCGAAAAAAAGTTGTTTGCCAAAACCTTTGCCGCAAAAAGTGTTGGTTCTCGCACGCATGCCGCCCAGCAAGCCGATTGTGTTGTTGCTCGCTTTCTATATGCTCATGTCGGAAAGAAGCAGCTGCAAATACAGCGCGGCCCAGCGCTTGGGCACATGCGCAAAGCCGTTTTTTCGTCCCCTCGAATTCTATCCTGGCCTGTTTCCTATCATCCACCACTCCGTCTTTTGAACAAAGGAAAGGTTATGTTTGGTTTGGCGGTTTCGACCCGCCTGTGGCCAGACACACGAGGTATCGCACCACATCATCCCGTCGCCTCCCGCCTAAGCGCCTCCACGGAGAGAGGCTCTGGGGGTAGGCGAGCATCCATAGGTCGTTTATTTGGCGATCTCAACGCCGCCGGTGGCACCGAGAGCCTTCTTGATCTCACCGTAGATGGCGAACTGACCAGCGGTCAGGGTACCGACCATGACGAGACGGGCACCGACACCAGTGAAAGAGCCCTTGATGCCGAGCTCCTTGGCAATCTTGATGAGACGCGAGGTAGTGCCCTCACCGGGGAGACCCTTAGTCTTGTTGATCTTGGACAGCATGGTGTCGGCGGGCTGGGAGATGAGGGCAGCAGCGAAACCGGCCATCAGACCAGAGCCCAGGTTGACACCAGTCTGGGCAGAGGGGGAGAGGTTCTCCTTGGGGAAGGTGCGGAAAGCGGCCTCAGAGACCTTCTCGAAGACGACGAACTTGGCCATGGTGTAAGGGATCCTGGTGTCCGGTTAGTGCGTGCTCACGAATGAGGCGGTCACAGTTCGGGACAACTTACTGCTTGAACAAAATGGGTCCAAATCCAGCGTACATGGCGCCGAGACCCTCGGTCTTGAGCATCTTGCCCATACCGTCAACAAGACCCTTGGCAAAGGTGGGCTCGGAGACGAGACGGATACGGGTAGCCTCAAGAGGGCAGAGGGCAATATCGGCGAAGAACTCAGCAGCACCGGAAGAGGCTAGGTAAACAGCGGTACGGTTGTTGGAAGCAGTCTCGTAGCCAAGGTTGTTGATGGCCTGCTGCTTGAAGAACTCGTAACCACCGAACTTCAGGGCACCCTGGAGGAAGTAACCGGCGAAGGTGGGACCGGCACCAGTGAGGAGAGCGCCAGCACCCTCGCTCTGGACAACCTGGCGGAAGCCGCCAATCATGCCGCGGTTGTAGGTGGCGGGGTCAAGCTGGATACGGGTCTTGACGCTGTCAAGGAGAAGAAGCGCGTTAGTCAATTGAGTGCTTGATCGCGATGCGCAATAGTTGGATCCGGATGGCCGGGCCAGCCAGGGGGAAAGCCGAGGGCGCGGCAGAACGCCGACAGGAGCCAGGGCAACTTACACATCAACGGGAGTCAGGGCACCGTGAGTAACGGAGCAGCAGATGGCGCCGGCAAGGGCGAAGCGGGAGTAGAGGGCGAGGCCGCTCAGTTTCTGAGGCTCGGCAGCCTTGACATTCTGGACGACAGCGTCGAGCTTGGTCGAGCCGGTGGATTTCGCGTCGGAGGCCATTGTGACTGTGGGTGATGTTATGCGATGATGGAGCAAAGAGAAACGACGAAGGAGAACACAGGAGTGGAGAGATGAAGAGACGAAGTTGTGGAAAACACACAGAGATTGGAGCGGGTAGAGGGTGCTTGGGGAGAAAAAGGGAAAGAAACGTTTCGGGCCAGAGTGCGGTTTGAGACTTTTTTTTCTCGCTCAGTCACTTCGCCCAAGGCCGGGGCTAGCCAGGGGACCCGCAGGTCAGGAACGACGTTACGGCGACCTTCAGGGGGTGTCAAGCACTAAACAAGGCACTAAAGGAAAATTTATAGCAGGTGGCTCGGGAACAGTCGGGAGACTTGATTGGTGCGGCGGAAAAAGCCTGTGCTTGGCCCGTGCGCACCCGTCGAGTTCTGAGAAGAAGAGAGCCATCACGGTCTTCGGGCAGTCCGCGAATGGTTGATGCCATAGATATCTTTCAGTATTAGTATAGAAGCCGGCTAGAAAACTCCAGTCGCAACCCTGTTCGATTATGCCCGTGACTGCCTTTCAGAGGCTATCGCCAGTCACAAATTCCGTTGGCCTTGTACCTCTATGTGCTTTGCGCCGGCTTTACTCCGGCTAACTGCGAGAGCCAGTCGGCGGCTCCGCTCAGGAAACGTGATGCACCTCCAGAGCTCCGGACCACTCCAGTGCCCTGCCATGTCTGACAAACAGCAAACACATACGAAAATCTCATCATATTACATGCCAAGTCTCATTTGACATTTCGGCTCCGTCCCATGCAGCTTGAATTTTTACCGCGCACGCAATGCGAAGCTGAGAGCCCGGCAAGCTGCTCCCTTTCATCCACATCTACCGACATTGTAGCGACGTCATAGCTTACCCTGTAGCAATCTCTGAATCGTGGACCCTACAACAAGCATCAACACCTTGCGACGGGTGATGCTCGCCTGGTTTGACGCAGTATCTATGTGTCGCGTGGCCACCCAAAAAAAGATTCGTGGCTAATGTCGCGCGGCGTCCTGGATACTCCGAGTTCAATGATGGTAGCGTGATGTTCTTATCAGTCGGCATCGCCGGCTTCCTCCAGAAGCAGCATCCACCACACGGAGCTTCCCTGCCTTGACGCTCAAAACGCGAGGGAAAAAAAGGAACCAAACACTAGGTGATAGATGTCTTGATATCATCACGAATTGACGAACATTGGGGAACTGTAGTCTTTCTTCGCAATGTGGGAGCAAGACGTGGGCTGCCTTTTTCAGGGCGGCCGCAAACGGGCAACCATTCCGGTCCAACCTTATTTACTTACATGCGCTCACACCGGCACCAACGGGCCGCAACACGTCATGATGCAAGAGGCGAGGTTATTCCACGGCTCCGTCAACTCGACGGTTGACACGCACGTTTTGCTAAAGTCGTTCGAGACCCTTCCGTATCGCCTCACGGTGACGCTCCGTCTGTACCACCACGACCCCGCAGAAACACCTAAAAGCTAGCAGGCACTCTCGCCACTTTTCCTCGCCCGATCACCTCTCCCAACCCGTCCCGCCGACTCGCTTCACGCAACCGACCTGACTTGGCTCAGAGGAGCGTCGACATCATGATATCCAGCGTCCGATCGACCGGTATACCATTTCCCGGCACGCAGGCGCGCGCGCTGCCTGGTGACGATGACCCCGACGTCGAGCTCATCATCGCGGAGCAAGTCCTCACCGTCTGCCTGACCATCTTCATCTTCCGTGGCGAGCCCGACACCTACTACAACCGACACGTCCTGCTCTACATCTCCTCGCCCGACGACCCGGGGCTGCACGAGACGGTGCATGTGCAGCGCGAGGACGAGGCGGCGCCGTGGAAGGTCTACCGACTGCAGGGCAAGACGGACTGGTCAGAGCCCGCCAACTACCTCGCCCACGTCAACGCCGGCGCCGTCCTCGTCCGGCCCGAAGCCGTCACGGCGCCTGGTGCGATCATCGCGGCGACACCCGTCACCGGCCGTCACAACGACGGCGGCTGGAACTGCCAGAACTTCCTGCTGGAGGGCCTACAGGAGTTCGTGCGGCAGGGCCTGCAGTCGCAGGCCTGGTACGATGCGGTTGAGGAGGAGCTCTTGGATAAGGTCATCGAAGACGCTGTCGGCTGATGCTATCGATGAATACCGCACCACGACTATACAACTGCACTACCGGATAGGTCGAGCCGTTAAGAGCTCGCCGACGTAACGTCGTGGCGGATGGATGAATATTTTATTAAACCGGCGCAAGCTCCGGCTAGCTTCCCACGGTCCCGGGATAGCTAATCCTACTAGTCGGACGGTACCACCTCTGCGTCCCGCGCCAGAGAGCCAGTTGTCGCCGGCGCTGCAAAACTGCTAGGCAAAGAGAGAGCCGATGCATTCTCACGCATTTGCGGCCCGTTAAGCAGCCTTAACTCTCCCATAATCAGCGACACAGCTAATGTCTGAGCCACAATTTGGATGGGGAATTCCGCGTCAGAACAGTGTTTGATTGCTAGCCTAAAAAGAGATGGTCTTCATGGCCTGTATTTATAGTCAATTGAGAAGCCTGGGGTTACTTAGCTTCTTCAGCTTCCTCATCAGCTTTTTTTCCATCCAGTTGCTTGTGGCCTGAATAAAATGCGTTGAAATCGTGTGATGCAATTTATGGCCACGTGACCCATTGACCAATTCGGCACCAACGTGATTTGGAGAGGCTGCTGGAGAGCCTGTAGTGGTGGGCAAACAGTAGCTGCAGTGGCTGAACGTTTCCATCCACTTCAGCACTCGATGAGAATCGTCGCCTCGTCGTCTTCTTCGCCACTATCGTTGCGCTACGGCGCCTCATGAATTTCGATGTCTGCTCGGGAGGTGAAGAAGCTTTCATTCTCATGCGACACGTGTCGGCGTCGAAAGGTAAGACGCCCTGCACCCCAAAAGGAGGCGTGATTAGTTGCTTACTTGCTGACTGGTGATTCACCCATTGAACAGGTCAAATGCGGAGGAGAGCAGCCGAGGTGTAATCGCTGCATCGCTCGAGAAGATGATTGTATCTACAAGCAGTGCGTAGCCTTCTCTAGTTACCGTCGCTTTGCCCCAGCTACATGGTCTTGTCTAGAGCTGGATGATCCAAAGGCTGATCTTGTAACAGGAACCCCACCCTGAGCTACACCTCGCGGTTGGAAAAACGCATCAAGGAGCTTGAAGCCGAACTCGCCATAGCTCATGGCCACGGATCTCCAAGCACTGCGCACCTCTTCAACCAAACGCCACCCCTTGCCTCATTAGGCCAATCCGCGTCCTCGCTAGCGAACGCTTCAGGTCAACATGACCGCGAGGATGGGGCCACTGCATGTACTGGGGGCCTTAAAGGAGTGAAGGGCGACGGGCAAGGAGGCATCACATATACCGGCCTGACCAGTTTCTTTCAGCTTCCTAGCGGCCGCGAGTCTTCCCCTAATGAATCTACCACATCGTCTTCTCAGCAGACAGTTCAGAGGCGGCAAAGATTAGTTGCCAACGCCTGGCAGCAACGGGTACTTGAGAACTACTCGGAAATTCCGGAACCGTTTCAGTACCTCCTAAACGTCCATTGGTGCTGGATCCAGCCAATGTTCAACTTTATATACCGGCCAGCCTTCACCCGTGATCTTCAAAGCATGGGCCCTTACTACTCGCACACGCTGATGAACGCCATCCTATCACATTCAACCCGTTGGGGCAGGAGCGACCCTTCTGTCAGGGAACAGCTCGAGAAGTTCTATGACGGCGGCGCTCTTTTCGGCAAACACGCCAGAAATATGGTGTTCGAAGAGCTCACAAGTGGCCTCCCCTCCATTCAAACAACATGCTCTGTGCCGACGGTACAGGCCCTTCTGCTGCTCAGTGCCCAGGAGTGTAGCGTTGGAAACAGTGCGCAGGCATGGATATACAGTGGCATGGCTTTTCGCATAATGGACCACTTGGGCATATGTGTCGATGGCGAACAGTACGCCGGAACTGTTCCGTTGACGGATGAGGATGTCGAAATTCGTCACCGTCTATTCTGGAGCTGTTTCTTGTGGGACAAAGTCCTCAGTCTCTATCTTGGGAGGTCCCCCACGTTGAAGTATTCCTCGGTATCACCACCAAGGATCATTTGTAGGCTTCCCCGCCGCGCATCTCTGGCTCGTTGCTGACCTCGAAAATAGTGGATGACTCTTCTGAGAGTGAGCCATGGGTTCCGTTCGGAATAACTGGCGAGATTGGCTGGAAGTACCCCCCGTCACCAGCACATTCAACCTCGTGTTTCATGCAAGCATGTCAGCTTTCGTTGATCTTGAACGAGATCCTGCTTCATATGTATGACCCTGTCAAGTCCAACACCAGAGCTGAGCTGCGAGACTGCGTCGAGAAGCAAGCGCCTATTCTTCGGCAGTGGTGGAATAGTCTCCCTACGCATCTCAAGATTGATGTTGGAGACCTCCCCTCAATGGCTCCGCCATCCCACGTCGTCACCCTCAAGTCAGTACAGCAACATTCCCGTCATTTGATAGAAACTAACTAACTGATCCACCCAGCTCCTTGTATCACACTTTCAAGATCCTGCTCTACCGTCCAATGCTGTCCCAGTCTACTACAATAACAGAAGGCAGTATCCAGCCGCTGCAAAGTTACCTCATCGAGTGCATCAACTCAGCGACATCCGTCATCTCCATCTTTGACCTTTTCTGTCGCACATTCGGGATTCGCTACTGTGTCCTGTCTCTCTCATATAGCGTCTACATTGCTACCTCGATCTTTCTTCTTCAAGTTCAGTCCAATCCGGAGGACTCACAAGCAATGCGTCATCTCGAGTATGGTGTGCGAGCTCTCGCACAAGTCCAAATGATCAATCCAGGTAAATCACACGCCACACCCTGTTTTGCCCCCCCTGAAAGCTAATACTTGCCGCTCTCGTCCAGTTATTAGCGGCGCCCTTGACTTGATCACTCAACAACTCAAGACGCTAGATCTAGATTTGACAAGACTAGGCCTCCCGAAGTCGGACGCTGTGCCCTTGATGTCTTCCTATGGCATTCCAGATTCACGACAAGTTGATATGTCAACAGCAATTCCTCCAGGTCCAGAATCGGCAAACAATTTCGGATCTTCCCCCTTCCCTTTCGTGGAACCTCTCAACCCCGAGGACTTCACCATCAACCCCATAGATTTCGCGTCGATGATGGAAACTATGTCCACATTCGAACCGCTCAGCGTTCGAGTGGCTGCTATCGACAGTCTCGGAAGCAGCAGGACATGACGATAAAAAGCGCCTACTCGCTAACATTCATCAATATCAGAGTCGTCTTGGCTCATGTACAAATTCATTATTTCCAGGCCAATGGCTCATCGCCCTCACTACTTTGTCATACACGGTGAATGTTATTCCGCTGGAAAGCTACGACACACCGAAGTCAGTGCTGGGTGTTCCCTGGGGTTATCCCAATACTACTTACAGTCAATCGAACCAATCTTGGAGATGTGCCCCTCCAGAAGGCTGCGATACCATCTCTTTGGAGTGTTTGTTTGGTACAGTCCAACATGCCCTTGTACTGAGAATTCACACGCTGCATTCTCGTCTTGATGTTATCAAAGGGCATCGACGTGTACCTATTTGATCAACACGTGGTACCACAACCGCCCAAGAGGATTCACTTACACTGTGACCACTCCACTGACGCCACCTAGGACGAGGGTGGTTGAGATTCCTCCGTCCAGCTTAGGCCACCACTTTGCGACTTGCTCCTGCAGCATCGCAAACGTCGTGAACCGCACCGCGCTGTTTGTGCCCTGTTTGCAGAGAACAGGAGCAAGCCCGGCCCACAGTGCCCTTATACCCTCTTTGCGAACGAGAAGGGCGGTCACACCAACAAGGCTACGGCCTGCGTATGCTCCGTCATGAGACTTGGAGGTGGCATGTATCATCTTAGTTTTCACTGCTTCACCGGGTGTAACAACAAGAATGCTCTCTGCGACGCCCGCCGTCAGCCCGCTCGCGACATTGATCCACACAGACCGTGGCTGTCCCGGCAGAGTGCCGGCTGCGGCGTCTAGCCTTGCTCTGGCCGTTTCAAAGGCGAGGAAACGTATGCCCGACTTTGCTGCGTTGGATAGTGCAAGTGCGGCGCAGCCAGCATATATGCCGCCAAAGCCGTGCCGGGATATCGTTGAATAGAGAAGAGCGAAGGAGCTGGACGGAGGGCCGGAGGAGAGCTGGCGTCTGGTTTTGGCGAATTCGGCCGGATACTGCGATGTCGGGGTTTAGATGATTGCCGATGCATCATTCCAAATCGAAAGCCTTACCGTGATGAGGGTCTCAGAGACACCGGCGACGCCCCCTGCCACAATCTTGGTGAGGACTGTCGAAGAAGAATCCATGATGGTCTTGGGTAGCGAGCTTTTAGTGGCTAGAAAGATGGACGTAATGGGTAGATTTATATCTTGTTCACTGATATCGCCTCAAGGACACCGGAGAGCCAACTCTTCGCTATCAGAAAGCATCAACAACGTTTACTGTGCTCGCTCAGATTCCGAGTAGTTTGACGTATGATTCGTCGTGATTCGATTGCCGAGCTGGCATCCTTGTTGGTTGAGAGAATGACTTCGGGAGTTTGCCGAGACGCCTGGAGCACCACCAAACCACAGCGACGTCTGCAGGAGTCAAGGCTATTTTGATGCCCGTAGATTGAGATTGAATGTCTGGATAAGCTATTGTGCTTGATGTTGCTGACTTTGTTGGACACGGAGAAAGTAGAAATAAGTGTCGCTGGAGGCTCCCGGGGAGCCAACAGCCAGCAATGTTGGGCCTGCGGGCTGATCCGCCCAACTCATATTGTTGATTAAGAAATAAAAAACATTAAACTTCGAAACTTGACTTCTATATGTATCATTTCAATTCGTGTATAAGCTCTATGTATCCCATAATTCTCGTGCGTTTTCGCGGAATATCCTCTCCACGAGACCTCTGTCGTCTCCGCACCAGTCCAGAACCGCCTCCATCCACGGACGAATGTCAAGACCCTCGAATCGCGTGTGCGGCCAGTCCGTCGCAAAAACCCCCCGACTGCTGCCAGCCACTCGTAGAATCTCCTTGGACACCGCTTCCAGGTTCTTCGGGTTCGCCTCGCTGCCGAGGCGATACGGCGCGGACAGCTTGACAAAAGTGCTGCCGCCCTTGAGGAGGTTGACCAAGGAGCTGAAGCCGTGGATGTCGTAGGGATCTCCGGAGGACATGTCGCCGAGGGAAGGGTGGCCGATGTGATCGATGCAGACTCTCACGCCGAGGTTGGGCACGATCGGCTCGAGGAGCGGCATCATCCCCATCGGGATGTAGATCTGGATGACCCAGCCCAGCGGCCTGCAGTGTTGAGCGTAGGAATGGAGCAAGTCCCGAAGGTCATCGCTGCCAATTAGTTTTCCGACTGAAGATAGGTTGATCCGGACACCTCGAACACCCAAGGCGTGCCACTCCCTCAGCGTCTCGAAGGAGGTGGCGGAGGGCTCGAAGCCGACCACCGCTCGGGCCCGGTGCGGACCGAGGACCCGGAGCGCATCTAGCAGACAGGAGTTGTCGTTTCCGTAGATGGACGGCTGAACGAGAACAATGTTGTCCAGCGCCACAGACGACTCAAATGCTAGCGCCTGCTCCAGCGTGTAAGAGTTGGGGCGGTACAGCGCGTCCTTGGCCAGCGGGTAGCGCTCAGGATCAAGTATGTGCATGTGCGAGTCCCAGGCCCCCGGAGGTATCCTGTTACCGAGAGATGGTTTCGAGCTGTGGCATGTCTCCTTGCTGAGATATGGCTTGGTCTTTGTTGCCGGCGCGACCAGAACCGGGTGAGCGCCTGCGCGCGTAGAGAGCATAAGTAGAGGGCGATGATTTGGGGAAGGAGGTATCTTGGATGCGCATTGCAAATCGGGAACCCCTCTAAAAATTGGAAATCTGAGTATTCTAGCAAGCACAGGTCAGAAAGTGTTGGATCATGAGCCGTTCAAGTGACCGTAGGAGAGGGAGCCCTACTTTTGTAGAGGCACGCGAGGCGACCAGACGGAATAGACCCGGTGGAAGCCTGGCATTTTGGCCATTGTGCAACCGGTGCTCGGGTATAACCCGCTAGCGAACTGATGAAAAAGACCAGAAGCTCCGTAATGATAAAAGGCGGGAACCATGAATGTTGGTTCAGAATCCACGGGCTGCTTGATGCCTTATCGGGAGTCCCCCGAGCGCAGCGCCACGATGTTCTTATTTCCGCGGCGCCGATAAAGCCACATTTTGATCGGCAGTCCCCCGAGCCCGGAGCGCTGCGCCACAAAATTCTTCCGTCTCCCCTAACCCAACGGCAAGAGGGGTTTCCTACATACATGTAGTAAGCCTCGGCGAACTCCCGAGCCGGATGGGACAACTCCAGCCTGGATGGGTTCGCCAGTTTCTGCAAATTTTACCATCCATCACAAAACGGTCGCTCGCATCTTCGAAGCGACGATTCTCGATTCCGCAAGAGATCGCGGGGTCGAATGGGGTTGAGGGGTTTCTTTCCCCAGAAAGCATAGCACGCCAAAGCCGGCCCTTGCCCAGAAAGCAAAACCTTCGTCATCCGGCATATATAAAGCTCCTGAAGTCTGCTGCAAGGAAATATCTTTTATGACTGTGTATGTGACGATACCTTCCTCCAATTGGCCATTCTCGTCCATTGCTGACTCCCCAAGAGCCATAGAGCTGGAAATTCCGTTTGACCCAGCGGCCATGGCCAAATTCAACGCCTACTACGTTGCGACCATCATCGTCATCGCCTGCGGCTCCATTCCCAAAGGTACGGCCGCCGCATCAGTCTCGCACTTCTATGCACTACTAACTCTTCCAACGCAGGCTATGACGAAGGCGGCTTCAGCGCCTCTGTCGGGCTCAACTCGTTCAAACGCGACTTTGGTCTCCTCCCCAGCCTCTGGAAAGGGGATGCGACTGGTCTGGCCAATCGCAAGGCCAACATCTCATCCTTTGGCGTTTTGGGGGCCGCTTTTGGGTCTCTCCTTGCCTTGACCATCAATGACCGTTTCGGCCGCCTGAGGAGCTGGCAGTTCTTCGTCCTCCTTTGGGCGAGCGGGATCCTGATGCAAGTCTTTTCTTCCGGGATCATCGGCCTGATGCTCTTCGCCCGCATCTGGGGCGGCCTCGGTGCTGGTGGCCTGACTGTCGTTGCTCCCCTGTATCTCTCGGAAATCGCCCCGGCAAGATCCCGAGGAATGGTGGTCAGTATTTACATGGTCATTTTGCTGACTATCTTGACAATCGGTGAGTCCATCCATCATATCACCAGGCTTCCCGTCCTACCACGCTGACGGTATAACTCAAGGCTTTTTTGTCAACTACGCTGCCAACGCCACTCTTCCCGCCACACGGATGCAATACCGCCTTGTGCAGGGTATAGTTTTGGCCCCCGTTGGCATCGCATTCATTGGTTCTCTCTTTTTACCAGATACCCCCCGCTGGTTGGCCTCAAGGGGTCGATTCGAAGAGGCACGCAAGTCGTTGGCCAGATTGCGAGGAACGACGGTTGAAGATGACTCGCTTGGCGCTGAATTTGACGAAATACACGAAGAACTCCGCCAAAAGCAGCGAATTCTCGCGGATTCCTCCATGTGGACCCTCTTCAAAGAAGTAGTGACCACACGAACCTACCGTACGCGCTTCCTTCTTGGTGCGGCGATGCAGACGGTCGCGCAGTGGTCTGGCGGCAACGGCATCACATACTATATCCCGGAAATCTTTCGCTATGCTGGAGTTGTTGGCGAGAACACTTCACTCATTACCAGCGGTGCGTACGGCGTGGTCAAGCTCGTGTTCACCATGATCTTCACTTGGGCTCTCGTCGATGTCTTTGGCCGCCGCCGTTGCTTCTGCGCAGGCCTATTTCTCCAATGCATAACCCACATCTACATGGCTGTGTACATGGGCGTCTGGATCGACAAGCACAACAAGGCAGCTTCAGATGCCGCGATCGCATCCGTCTTCATCTACGCGGCCGGATGGTCCATCGGATTATGCACGGTGCAGTATCTCTACGGCGCCGAGATCTATCCCACGCGTATCCGCAACGTGTGCTATGCCACCAACATGGCACTGCACTGGTTTTTCCAGTTCGCCATCGTCAGAGTCACGCCGAACATGTTCGTCAGCCTGCACATCTGGGGGGCGTATGTATTCTGGGCGTGTGTCTGTGCCGTCGGCCTGGTCGTTCTGGGCCTGTGGGCTCCCGAGACCAAGGGGATCCCGATGGAGCGCATGGAAGAGCTCTTCTCAGGTCCTTGGTACATGGGCTGGCGCGCCGTCGTCGATGAGGACAGGGAAGCTCGGCGCTCAGCGGAGGATCAGTCATCGGAGAAGGGACATGATGTCTCATATGCAGGTGACAGGCGGCAGAGTGACGGAGCTGCAGTGCAGATAAATAGATGAATTTTTTTAAGTTGCTTTAAATCAATTCCTGTTTTTTACCTTTTTTTTTAACAGATGATTAGCTCCCAGGGTCCCAGAATAGCTGGAACTCTAGGTGGAACGATGCCACCACCTCTTTCGATGCAATTATGGCCGTAAGTCCGAAACAACAAGCCGTCCCGCAAAGCGCTATCAGCGATTCATGATTGATGAAAAGATGCCAAGTTTCACGTCGATTGGCTTGAAACGATTGCCCTCCTATCTCCGTCGTACCGTCTAGTCCGGCCTCCCGCAAGCTGCCATTACGAACAGTGGACTTTCGGGACCTTGGCATCACCTATCGCCGAAATAATCTGGTCTCTGCTCTTCGATGTTGTCATGGCTACCCCCGATGGTCGCTAGTCAGGTCTCATCGGCGATAAGCCTGCGCCGTGATTGGCCTGCATGATTGACTGCTCGATGCGCTTTTGCCACTAGCGAGAGACCAGTCCAAGCGGAAGCCGGCGAGAGTGTAGACCACACTCAATGATATCACCGTCGTAATGAGTTTTGAGTTTTTCCCGATTGCTGAGATAGGATGATATAAAAGGGAGCGAGGGAGCTCTCTAGTTTTGCCGGGACTCCCTCTTGCATCATACATCATACACTATCCTGGTTGATCTCTGGTCTCATTGAAGCTGGGAATCACTTACACCTTTTTCCTGCATAATACCACTTACAACTGCCTTTCACCATGACGACCGACTACAAGTTCGAGGGCTGGATGGGCGAGGATGCCGAGTCTGCCAACGGGAAGATGGTTTGGAAGGAGTTTGAGCCCAAGAAGTGGGAGGAGAACGATGTCGATATCAAGATCACTCACTCTGGCATCTGCGGATCCGACCTACACACACTCCGTTCTGGCTGGGTAAGTTTTCCCCAACGTTAACGACCTGGGAGACATCCGATGCTCTCCTAGTGCCACCGGTTAGAGCAACGGCGTCTAACAGACCTTCTCTAGGGTGCTACCCCCTACCCGTGCGTCGTCGGACACGAAATTGTCGGCATCGCCGTGCGCGTCGGCTCCAAGGCCGAGGGTGGCATCAAGGTCGGCGACGTCGTCGGGGTCGGCGCGCAGTCCGACTCGTGCCTCGGCCGGGGCAAGAAAGAATGCACCCCATGCAAGACCGACGAGGAGGAATACTGCGTCAACGGCAACATCAACACCTACGGCTCCATCCACTACAACGGCGACAAGACGTACGGCGGCTACGCGCTCTACCACCGCGCGCCCTCGCACTTCGTCATCAAGATCCCCGACGGCCTCGCCCCCGAGCACGCCGCGCCCATGCTCTGCGGCGGCGTGACCGTGTACTCCCCCCTGCGGCACTGGGGTGTCGGCCCCGGCAAGAAGGTCGGCGTCGCCGGCGTCGGCGGCCTCGGGCACTTCGCCGTCATCTTCGCCAAGGCCCTCGGCGCCGACGAGGTGGTCGGCATCTCGCGGAAGGCCTCGAAGCGCGAGGAGGCGATGGCGCTCGGCTGCGACGACTACATCGCGACCGAGGACGACAAGGAGTGGGCGGCGCACAACGCGCGCCGCTTCGACGTGATCATCTCGACAGTGTCGTCGGCCAAGATGCCGATCGCGGACTACATCACCACGCTGGCTCTCAACGGGAGCATGGTGCAGGTGGGCGCGCCGGAGGAGCCGGTGCCGTTGCCCTTGTTCCCGCTGCTGCTGGGGCGCAGGAGCCTGGCGGGCTCGGCGATTGGGAGCCCCAAGGTGATTCGGGAGATGCTGGAGTTTGCGGCGGAGAAGAAGGTGAAGCCGTTTGTGGAGAAGAGGCCCATGTCGGAGGCGAACCAGGCGATCTTGGACATGGAGGACGGCAAGGCGCGCTTCCGCTATGTGCTGGTGAACAACTAGAGGAGGGTGGCAGACTGTGTTGTGTAATGGCTGTGAGGAGTTGATGGCGTGAGGGTGACTATAGACTAGACGAGTTTGATGAATATTACTGGACATGATACAAATGCAAAAGCACCTGGCAACGGGTTGCATACTATCGACGAGTGCATGAGGGACTTTTGTTCTGTAAGTGGTGGGTGGTCACCACTTCCGACTATCTGTGTTCAGCCAAGCTGCACAAGACTGCTCACTTGGAAAAGAGAAGCGATTTTGCATTCGTTGAATAGTTTTCCTGCGAAAATGAGCGCGCTGATGTGTGCAGGAATTCTGCACCTGGTACGGATATGAGACTTGGATGGGCGGATCTCTGCCGAGGTACTGCAGTATCATCACCACCACGATCAGCCAATATGCGCATTTCGGCATCTGCTTCTTCAATATCTGGCTCAATGAGGGTGCACTGCATGTTCATCGGGCCGCTCACGGCACACATGCGGCCGCACATATACATGATATCGTTTCTGACGATGCACCACCAGCCTCTTGGCCAACCCTTTTCGATCCGGCGGCGCAGGCCCAGCCCACGCCACCGGCAGGCCGTGCGGCCGCCCAAGACAAACACTCTGTAGGGCATGAGGCTGGATCCATTGGCTTGTCAGAATGTTTCACACGGAAAGTCCGGGGATGGTGGTGAAGGTGTTGAAGGTGTTGGGCGGAGGGAGGAGGCACCCCAACTCTTGGTAGGGCGGCTGGCTAGTTAGCTGGACGATGCAGGTTCTGAAGAGAGCGGCGTAATTGCGATGGGAGATCTTGCCGCTATAAAGCGGCTTCAAGGTACCGCTGTGACGCTGTGGGTTACTCATGCATGCAGCGGATGGATTGGTTTGCGCATCGCAGGGCGTGTGCCAAGCAACCAAGTGTAGAATTTGTCGAGCTGAGAGGGCTGGGAAGCGAGGAGCGAATGTGCAGATGTCGCCACCGTAGTGTCAAGGCCGGAAAAAACATGAGCAGATGGAAGAAAAAGAAACGGTGTTTGGAAAATGAGGATTGGCTGACTGGGAGAATAACCCAACGCAAGGGCTGGCGTGTCTGTCGTACGGGGTACATGGCGACACTTGATCTTGATTGCGTCAGGTTACAGCAGAGTAGTGAATCGGTAACGGGGAATAAAACATTGGCAAATGCGACATTTCACAACATTTATGCTTTGCGAATTTGCGGAGGTGTCGCAGTTGCGATCTCAAAGGCAGTACCTGGCAGATAGATGCCCAGCAACACTGGGCAATGCCGTCCCTTGCGTGGCAGCGGAAACGTGAAGGCGGGGAGGTGACGTTCCAGTGCAGCAGGAGCTGAGGCTGGTTAGAGTTTGGGCAGCCATCGAATGGTTCTCCCAGCATAAAATATCGTAATTCATGCTTCATGCGCGGGCAAAAGCGTAAAAGTGACTTGTGCTGTCAAGCTAGTAATGGGGGTGGGTGAAGGTCCACGGCGCATGAAGAGCAGTTCCGAATAAGAAAATCGCAATGGCACCAGGGTAAACAAACGTGGAAGAATTGGGAAGCTGACCTCGTACGATGTCCAGATCGTCCCTATACAGGGCTGCATCTTATACCGACCGACCATCCATGCACGGAGGATGTGTGGCGAGAAGCTGTTGCCCGGAGATACACTCTTTGAGTAGGCACCCGGAACAGCGAGCGCGACTAAAGTGGGCAGTAGGTAATGAGGCAAAGACTGGGATTGATAAAGGAATGACGACAGGATTCATTAATTATCACAGGCTGTCGAATTGGCCCGGCACAGCCCAACGTGGCACAGCTGGGGGGGGGGTGAGTGCAGGGCAGGCAGGCAAGCAGGCAAGCTTCATCACATCACAAGAGAACAAAAAGGGCGGGGAAGAGAAGAGCACAAAGACGGGCAATATCTCAAGGGCGGGCATTGTTTGTACGACCACGGGCCAATAACAAAAGGTAGGACGGACTGAAATTGCCATCACCGTCGTCTAAGTGACGCCGCAGTTATACGGCACAAGCCAAGCCACACACATCACCTCAAACCATTTCTCATGTGATCTTTTCGTTCCTCTGCCATGTCTCGTAAATCATCAACAGAGAAAGGCCATGTTTTTTTTTTTTTCGATGCACGATGCATCTTTTTCACTTTCTTTTTTCTTCTTTTTTTTTTACGAGAGAAGAGAAGCTAATGCCCGTCAACCTGTGCGGCGTGCATTAGGGCGGGCGAGTTTATAGGGCGGAGGGCCTTGTTGTGGCTGGTGATTGGGTGATTCTGCTGGCTGTTTCCTTGCCTGCATGAATTACCCAAGGTAAAATAGGTGGCTAGTGGCTCAATGCCAGGGCTGGGACTGGGGCAGCGTTTTTTTTTCTTCCCTCGTATTCATGTACCACGTATCTGCAGGCACCTCCGACTCCATAACCATGACAATCACCATCTCTCTCCTCCGGAGCCCTCATCGGCTTGTTATCGTCCAGCTTGGCTCCGGCTTGGCCAGTGCTGGACTTCGTATACTGCCTCACTACTAATCCTCCCAGCCCGTTTCTTTTCCAAGCCTCTCTCTCCATCTGGAAATCCACACGGCACCACTTTCCTCGCAGTGCAAACAGGTTCCGGCCGACAGGAAGGATCCAGAATGCTGGGTCGAGGATGCGCAAGAGGCCAAGAAAAAAAAGCCTCGATGACTCTTGCATGACGATTTTCATCAACTAAGATACGAGCGAACAGAAATTTCCCAGAGATGGAGTCGCTGGCCCTTCCGCCGTTGCCGTCCTCTAGTCAACAGCCAGCCGTTTATTCCCGCCGTTTCACCAGTCTATCAACCCCACGCCATGCATGCACCGGGCAACAAGCAGCGCCCAGGCAGTAAAAAGGACTCTCTGCAGTCAAACCACAGCAAGTTGCAAAGCAAATCAAGCAAAGCAAAGCCTATAATAAGCGACCATAAAAGCAGGGATGGCTGTTTCTCGCCCAGTTACCTCAGCCCTGCCAACACAACCGCTCCACGATGCGTCATGCCAGAACGAGATGGCATGGCTAGCTGAGCGTCAGAGGCTGAAAACGATACGGAGATTCCTGATTAATTATTTCAAATCGTACGGAGTACAAGGCGTGCAACACACCACTTCTCGTTCATCTACGCTGGCTGGCCAGCCCGTTCTGGCGCCGGCCTCTCATCAAATTGGATCGGCAACCGCTAACACAACGTTTCACGGCCGCCGGGAAGGTCTTGCTATCTCGGGATCCAATCCCTTGGCCGGCCGTCCCGGCCTCCTCACACACCCAGCCAGCCTCGCTCTCTTCCCAGTGTCTAAAATGCCTGGCCCCTCACACACTGGGAAGAGATGGGCGTGGTTAATTCAGCTCCGGCCGTGAAGCGAGAGCCACCAACCATTCATTCATACGAAGTGAAGTCCGAGATGGCGGCCTAAAAAGAACAATGGGAGCGGGTAACGCCAATAGAGTACCCACGACTTGGGAGTGCTAAAAAAAGACCAATCCCGCCCCAGCCCAGGGCTAGGCGGCTACGGGGATCCGGGTGGATGGTTGCGTGGGCGGCAATGCCAGCTTTCCGGTGAATAATATTCCCTGAAAGGAAAAAAGGGCACATACCGGTCCTGGATTTACAAAATTCTATCACCTGAAAAGCTGTCACATGGAGCAAACGAGTGAAAGGAGCGCGAGCAAGCACAAATCACATTGGGCTGTGCTGGGGAACCGAGCCGCCGAGCGCCATAGCTGCAGAGGAGCAGGGTGATTGACGGACGTCATCCGCAGCCAGCGGAGGCCTGCCACCTGCGTGTAGCTCTTCCCAGACGAGGAAAGGACTACCTACCTGCGTCCACATTTTTGTTTTCTTCTTCAGAGGCAGGGAGCGTCAAGGGCGACACGAAGAAAAGGCTTGTGTGGTGGGCAGAGCCCACAAACAACCAGACGGACAACACACATCAGCGCCGCTACTGCACGTTCCTGCAAGACCAACGTCGTGGTATTCGGCGCCTCTCAGCAGCAAATCGTCTTACCAACCTCGTAACAGGTCTATCCTGCAGGACACTATCGTACGGAGAATAAGACGACGAAGAAAAAGTGGACATGCGATGCTTCTTTCGAGCGGTCTTGTTTCCATTTGTCTTGGTTTCCCGGCCACTTTCAACCAGCCAGCCAGCCAGCCAGCCAGCCAGCCAGCCAGCCAGCCAGCCAGCCAGCCAGCCAGCCAGCCAGCCAGCCAGCCAGCCAGCCAGCCAGCCAGCCAGCCAGCCAGCCAGCCAGCCAGCCAGCCAGCCAGCCAGCCAGCCAGCCAGCCAGCCAGCCAGCCAGCCAGCCAGCCAGCCAGCCAGCCAGCCAGCCAGCCAGCCAGCCAGCCAGCCAGCCAGCCAGCCAGAGGCTCATCGCCAACGCACCAAGACGGAGTGTATCCGGCGAACCGAGGGCCTGTCGTTTCCTAGTGGCACCGCCGGGTTCCCAGCGCACCCCGTCACTGGCACGGCACACACAGTCAACATAGATGAGTCGATGACACCGCCCTGGCACCTCTGCTGCTCGATTTTTAGTAGCCCCAGCGTCCAATGCTGCCGATACGAAGATTCTTGGTAATAATAGGGCAAGTAGTCCCAAAGAATCCCGGGCCGGTTTATTAATACATTAGCTGCTAATCTGTAATTAACTGGCCAGGTAAAAAGTGATGCCTGACGGCGCCGTACGGCGGCGACGGTGGGCGGAAATGAAAAGTTGTACAGCGACGCTGCTGTGACCACGGTCCAGCCATCCATCATTCAATGAAATCATCAACAGCCATGACAAACTGCTGGCCATCGACAGACCATGGCGGCTGCAGGACCCCTGGAAAGCTTAGACTGGTGAAACAAAGGTCAAAAGGAAAAAGCCACCAGGACCAATCACTGCAGGCGAAAAAGCAACTAGAACAACTCAACCGCTGCAGTTCCCTTCTGAGCAAAGGCTGAGCGGCCCTGCTGGGACCCCCAAGTCCAGTGACTTTTTTTCCCTTGCCGCTATTACACAACAGAGAGACTTGCCAACCAACCATTTCTCAACAGAGCAGAGCGACAGGGGAACCTGGTCAGTGTGGTGGGGCGTGCGTGTAAATGCCGGGCCCCCCCAAGGATGTGCGTTACTGGAGGGTTAAGACCGAATCAACTGCCCAACCTCCATCAGACAGGATCGCAAGGGGGGGCGTGTGCCTCTTCACGGACGGCCTATGACGGTGTCTGAGAAGGGGGGGGGGCGTGCGATGTTGCCCCGAAGCTGGGCTCGTATTGTGGTATGGGCGGCTGGGTATCCATCTTGGACGACGCTTCCTGTCTGCGCTTGCGCCCATCCAGTCTCTGCTTCGGTGGAGAGACAGAGCGAGGAGGACATGAGATCCCGGCCTAGGTTTTCGCTATTCCCACACAAACGGGCGCCAAATGTGCTTGTACTGTGTTTGGTGATGACAGCTGAGCTGGGGCCCTCTGCAGCCCAGCCGTGTGACAGGCGAACACACGTATAAGGACCCCAGGTCTCCTCCCCCAGCATTCACAGGAAGCCATTCTTCACCCTCATATTAGACACAAGAAGAAGCTTTGTTTTCTGTCCCTCGTTCTTCCCTCCCGTCTCTTTCGCACAGTCCTACATCTATCTACACATTCGCTTCACACATACTCACACATACTCGCTTCCTACCCGCTCTTGTGCTGCTTCTCGCTTACACCGACGATGAAGACTGTCGCCGTCATCATCTCGGCCCTGGCCGCCGGCGCTCACGCCTGGACATACCCCGACTGTGAGCAAGACGGCTGCTACCGCAACCTCATTGACAAGCGCTACGCCCATGAGGCTCCCGCCTTTTGCATCGGCTGGATCGACGGCACCACCACCGACGCGGCTGCCATTCCCACCCAGTACCGCAACTGCCCCGGCGTCTCGGCGCTCTCGTCGGCCTGCTCGTGCGTCGCTTACACGGCCACCCACACCAGCAGTACCTCTACTGCCGTCACCACGACCAGCACTCCTCCCCCGGTGACGACCAGCACTCCTCCCCCGGTGACGACCAGCACTCACCCTCCGACAACCACCACCACTCAGCCCCCGGTGACCAGCAGCTCGACTACCGATTGCACCACCGAGACTGAGACCTCGACTTCGTCCCAGGTGACTAGCAGCTCGACCACCGATTGCACCACGGACACTGAGACCTCGACTCCTCCTCCTGTGAGCACCACCTCTGCGGTCACCACCTCTACTCCGGCCACCACCTCTACTCCTCCGGCCACCACCTCTACTCCTCCGGCCACCACCTCATCCGCTTCTCACGTCACGACCAGCAGCAGCACCCAGGTCACCACGCAGCCGCCCACGACCAGCTGGACCACGTCGACCTTCTACACGACATCCACGCACACCATCACCAAGTGTGAGCCTACCGTGACCAACTGCCCGGCGTCGTCGACCATCACCGTCACGTCGACCATCCCCGTGTCCACCACCGTGTGCCCCGTTACCAGCACCGAGGTGCCCACCACGCAATCCTCGGTGCCCACGACCAAGTCGTCCAGCACGGAGCTGCCCACCACCCATTCCTCGAGCACCTCGGTCCCAACCAGCAGCCAGCCAACCTCCTCTGTTGACACCACCAAGACGGCCATCACCACACAGCCGCCTGCCACCTCCAGCACCACCCAGTGGACCACTTCTACCGTCTACACTACTTCTACGCAGACCATTACCAAGTGTGAGCCCACTGTCACTAACTGCCCGGCCTCGTCGACCGTCGTTGTTACCTCGACCATCTCCGTCTCGACTACCGTCTGCCCTGTGACCAGCACTGAGGCTCCATCTTCCAGCAGCACTCAGGCGCCGCCTTCCAGCAGTACTGTGGTGCCTCCCTCCAGCAGCGTCCCGGCCTCGTCGACCGGCATTGCTACCACTACCGCTCCCGCCCCTTCCACCACCCAGTGGACCACTTCTACCGTATACACCACTTCTACGCAGACCATCACCAAGTGCGAGCCAACAGTGACCAACTGCCCGGCCTCGTCGACTGTTGTCGTCACCTCAACCATCTCTCTCTCGACCACCGTTTGTCCTGTGACTAGCACCGAGGTTCCTCCTTCTAAGTCCTCGACCCGGGCCGTTCCTCCTGCATCGTCGACTCAGGCTCCTCCTCCTCCTGGCACTTCTACCCAGGCTCCTCCTCCTCCTGGCTCTTCCAGCCAGGCTCCTCCTCCTCCTGGCTCTTCCAGCCAGGCTCCTCCTCCTCCTGGCTCTTCCAGCCAGGCTCCTCCTCCTCCTGGCTCTTCCAGCCAGGCTCCTCCTCCTCCTGGCTCTTCCAGCCAGGCTCCTCCTCCTCCTGGCTCTTCCAGCCAGGCTCCTCCTCCTCCTGGCTCTTCCAGCCAGGCTCCTCCTCCTCCTGGCTCTTCTACCCAGGCTCCTCCTCCTCCTGGCACTTCTACCCAGGCTCCTCCTCCTCCTGGCTCTTCCACCCACGTCCCTCCTCCCCCCGGCTCTTCTAGCCAGGCTCCCCCTCCCCCTGGCTCCTCCACCCACGTCCCTCCTCCCCCCGGCTCCTCCGGTTGCCCTCCCGGCCAGACCACCGGCCCCAACGGCGGCTGCGTCGCCCCTCCCTCCACCCACGCACCTCCTCCTGGCACCACCCAGCCTCCTGCCATCACCACCAGCACCCGTCCTCCCACGGTCCCTAGCACCGCGCCTCCCGTGGTTACTGCCGCTGCTGGCCGCTTCGGTGTCGAGGCTGCCGTGGTTGCCGTCGGTGTTGTCGCCGCTCTCTTCTAAGCGACAAGACGAGAGAAAAATACGCGCACAAAGTCACACTCATTATCATTTTATTACGACTGTTGGGAACAAAACGCGGACTTAATTGCGAAGTTGCTTCTGGCTTGAGAGAGGCAGAACACTTTTCCGACACTTTTGGATGGGAACGATTTCTTTTTATATTATTGGGGGTATTATTATTACTTGAGGATATGGCTGTTTTCTTTTCTAGAAAGGATAAGGATCTTATTGGGTAGTTTTTATTATTATGGCCAAGATGGCATATCTGCCGTATATGCAACTTGAGCGGTGAAAAAGAGCAAGTGTTATGGACAAGGCGAGTTGCAATAATTAGCCACATAATATATTCTCTTTTTTTTTAGTCCTTGAACTTGTGATGTTTGTTTCTGCTTGTGATAATTGGTAACACGCGAACTTTTGTCTTTTTTGTTTAGTCACAGCCTTGTGTTCCTGTCGATCCCCGACGCCATCTGTGTTAAACTCGTTGTGGCCGAAGCGCCGAACGAAAATCTTACTATTTTTCCCTCGTTGATGAAACAAATCTGCCCGAAAATCGAGTGGGGTTCGGCCAGGGGCACCTTCCTAATCTGTAACCTTGTATACACTAAACAACTTGGGCGCGACGCCAATGCCAAAAACCTGCAGAAATGACTGGAAAAATGATGGGGAATAGGGAGGTTTCTCTCCCCTGCACCATGCCGGGGCAGCACAATTACAAAACTATTTTTCTTAATGAAGGAAGATGGATGGTGGGCAACTTGACCATACTAGTCGAAGGTCTACGGTCTATGTACGTACATAGTCGCCAGCCAGCCTGGGAAGCCCACAACCCGGGGCTGGCCTTGTCAGGGCGGCACAGATCGCGGATGGACATCATGACACGCCCGTGCTTCTTTTTTTTGCCTTTGTGTCGTTTCAACGGCTGCTACATCTGAGCGGTATCGAACCACGTCTGTGGGTGGCCGACTGCCCTCTTCGACCCATGGGGAAGCGAACGCGGTCTGTGGCCAACTCATGAATGCCTGTGCCCGGCCCGGCTTGGGGCGGCGTCGGGTCGGTTTGGGTGTTTTTGCCGCCCGGCCCCCTGCATCTGAGGACCGGGGGGAGGGGAGGGGTCCTTTTCTGGACCGGACTTCGCAGAAAAGCAACGACGGGTGCTGAGCAAGCAGCTGGGCGCACAGGTCCCAGGATCACAGATGTAAGGACACCGTGGTGAGAAGGGGCGGCAGGGGGGTTGACAGGTTGACCGAGCGGTGCCGAGGTGAGGATGCGAGGGCAAAAAAAGGAGTGAATGGATGCAGTGCAGAAAAAGCGATACGCCCATCCGACTTGAACGCGTGTGCGTGGAGGCAAGCGATGCAGAAAAAGAAAACGAAAAGACCGAGCAAGACAAGCAGAAAGAAAGACAGCGGTGGAAAAGCAGGGAAAAGGGAAGAAAAGAGAGGGAGGAAGGTCGTCGCCGCTTTAACAGCCCAGTCCAGTCCAGTGGAGGGGTGAACGTGCTGGCCAGGCCCCCACGGCGTTGCTTCTCCAGTTTTTCCTTCGTCGTCTGAACAAACCTAGAACCTACATAGGCGCCCAGCAAGCAAGGTACGGGAGATGGACGGCAAGAGATTAACCCGTGGGCTTGGAACAGTACCCTGATCGGTTCATTTCGAGACACTCGTCAGCTTACCGACCGCACCCGTGCCGCCGTGACCTCGGAGGGAGAGAACAAGACGGAAAGGCAAGGCGACGGCGCGACAGGATATAAACCTGGCAAACCGAAGCCATGATGAACTGGTGGGTAACTACGTAAATGGCGGTTTCAGAAACCTTCTCGACAGCCCACTCTTTTTGCACGGCTGGAGAGCCCTGGAGGAGACAGAGACAATGGAGTGGGGGATGCAGGGGGGGGGGGGGGC